AATTTTAATTAGCTCCCCCGTATACGGGAGTAGCCGGATTCTAACCGGAAGTAGCTCCGGAAGCGATAACGATTTATATACTAGCTTTCTTTAAAACTACTAAACGAAACTACTACCTTCTTATCTATAATAACTACTACCTTCTTATCTATACGCTAACTACCTTTCTATATAGACCTCCCTCTACCGCTCGAAAATCATCCGCAAATCGTCGTCCTACGACTAAGTTACCTATAATAGCTATATACGCCCTTCCGTATCCTCCGTATACTATACCTCTAGAGCTACTCTATCGCGTATATCCTTCGAATATTTAGGGTAGATTTAACTAGCTTTTACCTCTGTATTCGTAATCCGAGTATCTAGTACGTCGTTATCGAATCGCTTAATAAACTCCTTCTCGCTCTTTAATATTAATTAGTTACCTTATATTACAATCTACTCCTCTCCGGACACTATAGTATTATCGATAATATTACGTAAGAGCAGGTTAGCAATATAAGCTTTTATAGGATCCTCTACAATTGCTGTACTAGTAAAGGGCAAGAGGAGGTTAGCGATATAGCCTAAGTTAATAGCATACGTAACACGCTCTTTTATAACACGCTCTTTTATAATACGCTCTTTTATAACACGCTCTTTCTAAACATCCTCTTTCTTTATACGCTATTCCGGAGGTAAGGATATTAGAGCCTAAGAGGATAGTAGTAGTATTAGCAAGGGCTCTTCTTTTATCTAATTACTCCTTAGTTTAATGCTATATATAACTAACGCTTTACTAACCTTGCGAGTAGTTACTATAGTTGTTAATGCTTCTTACACTAAACCAAACGAATACCGAACAACTATATAGTCCGAATCCGGCTTAACTACGCCTTATCCACGCACCGAAGAGCCACCTTAATTTAACTAACTACCGGCTATTTAAACATCATCAATTCAAGTCAAATCAGTCAATAATTGACTGATTTTGACTGATTTGAAGTCAAAAGTCAAACTCTATGGCAACAACTCGATCATGTGCATGTCAAGTAATCAGAGTAGACCAAATTCTCGTCATCATCCATCTTGCTGATATACTGTATCGAGTTGAGCATGTCATACCCCATCGTGGGTCTTGATGACCAAATTGCTGTCGTCTAGGAGTCCTTTACCCCCAGCAGCGGAGGAGGAGGGCATGTCGCAATGTTGGTCTATTCTTGGCAGATGAGAACGACGCAAMATTGCTGTACGATTGCTTGGTCATAGTGGGGACGATGTGAGAGTGAGAGTGGATGGAAGGAGAGAGGACGGACCGCATCTCATCTGCATGTCATTACCCCTCATCTATGCAATGTGAAGCGGGGACGAGATGCAGGTATATCACACGGAGATGAGATCAATATTCTCATCATTGGAAAATCATCAACATCTTGTCGTTCTACATTATATCCACCGACTTTGAACATGTCATCCGCCTCATTCCCCGTCAAAAGCAACGGCATCTTCCACAGTCTGCCAACTTTCGATCCATCGATCAAGAACAAAACCGCTCTGATCACGGGAGCCAATGGCATATCTGGCTTCCACACTCTCCGAGCGCTTCTTGACAGCCCAGAACGATGGACCAAAATCTGGGCGGCGAGCCGTCGTCCTCCTCCACCAGAGATGATGGAACTTTTGCCCAAAGAAGCTCGCTCTCGGGTTGAACATGTGGCTTGTGATTTCCTCTCCGACCCCAAAGACATTGCAAAGCAATTGCAAGAGAAGGGTGTCAAGGCAGATGTAGTATTCTTCTACTCCTACCTACAGCCAACCCCGAAAGAAGGTGCCATGGCGTGGAGTAATGCGCAAGAATTGCTCGAAGTGAACAGTAGGTCGATCTCATTCATCCCAGCACATTCACTGACACCAATAACCAGCCGCTTTGCTTCGTAACTTCCTCGAAGCACTTCCCTTGGCGAACATCACACCCTCTCGTTTCCTCCTCCAAACAGGTGCAAAGAACTACAACGTCCACCAGGGACCTTCAAGAACGCCGTTTGTGGAGAGCGATCCCCGATCAAACGTAGATCCAAACTTCTATTATCCACAAGAAGACCTTCTCTTCTCCTACTGCAAAGCCAATAATGTCGCCTGGAACATAATCTGTCCCGCCTGGGTAATCGGCGCAGTGAACAACGCAGCGATGAACGCCTTGCACCCCTTTGGCGTATACGCCGCAGTCCAAGCTCACAAAGGTCAACCCGCAACATATCCCGGCGCGTACGAGAACTGGATGGCAGTCGGCGAACACAGCACCGCGTACCTCACAGGCTACCTCTCCGAATGGGCCGTCCTGGAAGACAAATGCAAGAACCAGAAATTCAACAGTAGTGATACCTGTCCACTTCCAAACAACCGTCTCCTCCCCGAAGTCTCGAGATGGTATGGTGCAAAAACAGTTGATCAACCCGAACTTGATGAGAACAAAATCACATCGATTGAAGCACCTCCTGCTGGAACACCTTTGCCACTGGGATATGGTCCCTCATCCACGATCCGCTTTGCTTTCTCCCTGGTGGCATGGGCTTCGGAGACAGAGAATAAATCTGCTTGGGAGGAGATTATGAAGAAGCATCATCTCACACATAATCCTTTTGAAAACCCAAAGGAAAATTTTGAATTCGGGGATATGGTGGTGTGGAATTTGGCGGGGGCGTTGAGTATGAATAAGGCGAGGTATTTTGGATGGACGGGACATGTGGATACTTTGGAGAGTTTGTTCATGGCGTTTAGTGAGATGAATAAGCTGGGGATGTTGCCTCCGCCGGTGGTGGATAAGGCGAGACCGTTGATTTGAGTGATTGAGGAATCGACACAGGAAAGTGATTGAGAGCAATTGTTGCGTCAATGACAATTTCAATGGTATCTTCTATCCTCAGCCCGTGAGGGAGTGCCTTCTATCATGTTCCTGTTCCTGTTCCCATCTCCTTCTTTTTCCAATCATCACTATCGGCTGACAAAGTCGATAACTCCTTGCATCCCATGCTTGAGACTATCGACTTCTGATCTCAACCCGGCGTTCTCATGACGCAGCTGCTCGATGGTTGCCCATGCACCTCTAGTCCCATTCGCGCCTGCAAGAGCATTCACTYGCTCATGGCCAACTTTCATGGGTGCCACATTCCAAGAACTTCCATCGTAGATATTCTCAGACGGGAGCATGGATGGCGGTTGATGCGTTGACATGGGCGTCTGGATCCCCGAGCTGAATATCGAACTCGCATCCGTGTCACGATCGGTGTCGGATTCGAATCCGGAGTCGGCGGTGCTACCAGCCGATCTCCTCTTTCCTGCCCGACTCTCGTCGTCATCGGCACCACCATCAGCGTCAGCGCGAACCATTCGAACGGTATTCACGACTTCTTGGCTCTTGACCTTCTCTTCTGCAATCTGCTGGACAAGTTCCAGGTTCACTTGTCTTTGTTCCTCTGCTTTTGATGCCAAATCTTCCAGCTGCATCTTCAAATGCTCTGCACGAGTTTTTGCTTCGGCGACTTCTTCTTTCTGGGCTTCCATTTCTGGTCGAATGCTCTCAAGGAAGTCGACCTTTTCCCTATAGGCGGTTTGCATACGCTCAAGCAACGCCGTCGCGTTCAACAGCAGATCGTTGAACGCATGGGGCGACAGAGGATCAACTGGTCCATGTGGAAAGAGGGAGCTGTTGATGTTCATGCTGAGTATCTCGTCTGGTAGAGCAGATGAAGGTGTTGGTTGAACCTCCTTGCGAGCGAACCAGGATTTGGGTCCGCTTTTGGCGGCGGAGTTGGAGGCGCTCATTGTAGTAGACGTCTTCCTACGACTCAAGGGTCTGGGCGTAAACTCTGTGTGGTGCTCCATGACAAATTCGCTGTCTTCCAGGTCGTCTAGCGATGCAGTTGGCACGCCTAAACGTACGGGGGCTGACTCTCCACTGAACAGGTCGTTGAAAAGTTTGTTTCCTTGCGAAGCCTGTCTGCGTTCGGGAGAGGTGTTGTTGGAGTTGTTAAGTTTGGGAACCCAAGATCGCGTGCGAGCTTGGAGAGTCGAGCCAGATCGTGCGAGTGAAGTCGCGCCAGAGAGCAGTCTGGATCCTAGAGTCGTCGGGGGAGTTGATGGTTGCGTCGATGCGATCGAGCCTTCGTTGGATCGAATGTTTGAAAACGTAGCAGAAGAAGTGTCGTGGTCACGATCATCGAACATTCCTGCAGCCCCGTGGTAGGCAGTGGGTGACGTGATGTTTGAGATTTGGGCTCGAGGAGGAGTGCGAGGTTCGGCCATCTGATCGCGCGGCGGTGAAGGATACTCCTTGCTAGGAGTAGAATGTGGAGAAGTCCGACGCCGTGTTTCTACCGGGAACGGAAGCTTGCAGGTGTCGGGGTGCAGAAAGTTCGCATTCACCAATGTGCAACCTGCTCCCTGTTTGCAAGGCTGAGTTGAAGATCGTGTAAGAATATCGACGCAAGCAGCTGCGGGTGAGAGTGCAGTGTAATATGGATTTCCTTCCTTTGCTCGTCGGCGTCGAGGCTCTCTGTCTGGGTGAACGATTGACCGCCCCTGTATGGGCAGAACGCGTGGGCGCAAAGTTATATGAAAGGACGCTGATCAACCTCCTTCGTTCACAACAGCGCCTTCGTTGGTGTTGTTTGGGTAAAAACACGCGGAGATTGAATTGGCTCGGGCCGCTGGCGAGGTAAGCTATCGCGTACCAGGAGATGGACGTCGTCTGGGTTGCTAGCTTTCTCGCTGCTGGCGACAAGAGGATTTCAAACGATTGATGTAATGTACAAAGTGTATGTCAAACTGGTGTATGCTTGTTTCTGTCAGAAAATGTGGGCGTGTCGCAGAATTGTACTACGTGTGGCCGCGGATGTCGCGTGAAAAGGGAAGGCTGGGAGAGGGCTCTCCCAGCCCAGCGCCAGGGTTTTCGATCGGCGGTTTCGCATTGCTGGGATGGAACGGCTCATCTCTGCCGAAGTTGCCATGGAGCAGCCCTTCCCTCTTCCATTTCCACCGGGCACTGGACTTTCAGTTGCATGCGACGCTGGGAACGTTCAACACTTGTTATCTCTCATTGTCACCAGCCAGCTTTCGCCAGCCCTGCCTTCATTTTGCTCAGAATCTTCACTTGCAGGCATTTGCGACTGTCCCGAACTCTACGGCGATGTCATAGCTGTTTGAACAAAGTTGTCGTGACGGACTCCCGACACATGGCGAGTGGGTGGCTCAGCCGGAGTGGCTGAGTTAGCATGCATGGATGTCTTGAAACTGCATCAAAGAGCAGCGACCCACGGCTAGGCGATCGTCCGTGGAAAAGGAATGTTCCACCCAGAATCTTCCTCTCGCTGGGACATGCGCGATCTGCGTCCCTGAAGAATAATCACATTCCTTCGCATCCTTCGTCACTACGTCAGATGCAGTGATGAAGATGCCATGTGGCCGAATTGAGCGCCAGAAAGATGTATAATCACTTCTTCTTCCATTGTCTGCATCATTCACAATATCCTGGTCTTCGGCACATTCATAGTGAAGCTGCTTCCAGCAGCAACTCATCAGAAACAATCTAAATGAAAGTGGTTCAGTACTGGTGGTGTTAGCTATCTGGATGAGCATGACAGGTAGCTCATCGCCATTAGAATCGAACAATGTACCAATCGCCAGTTTCCTGGTAGCCGAGAAGACGTCGACACTGCATCGAAATACAGGAAACGCTTCACCGTTGGCAGAGGATGGCCCGTGGCATGACAGCCCAGCAGCCTCAGCGACTCGGCTTTGAATTGCTCCTATACTCGCCTGGCTAGTCGTGAGTAGAGCAATCTCCAGGCCATRGGTGAGGTAGTACCCAGGCCAGTCTGGTGTGGAGAATCAATGGCGACGATCTCGCGAGTTCCATCTATGTTAGGACGCGATACCAAGGAGAATTTGAAGTCCTCCAGCTTATGAGAAGAAGCATGGTGTAATGAAGGTCCATCCAGACGAACGGGAGAGGAAATGGCMGTGGAAACGTCGACATGAAGATCTTGTCAAGGGGCGTGTTGCGATGAACGAAGCTTGGTCCAACGCACCGACGTGCAGAGCCAGATCGTGCTAGTGACAATTGCGAATCTGCAAGGTCTGATCATTGATCAAGGCAGCGTAGATGCAATCTGAGTTCCTGCCCGACTCCACGATCCAGGCGCGGATGTACGGCCGCATACTCGCCGAGCTTTGCTGGTTTGTGTGATCTACGACCTCTAAATCAACCTAGAGTCCAAGTTCCCGGCAAGTGGCTGAAGTGTAGCACCATTTTGCGTTTCACCAAATCAAACTGGAGTGTTTGTCGCGATACTTTGTTCTCATCGAAGAGCAGAACTCTCAATTTCTCGGTACACTTTGTAGATCGGTGTGGCGTTGTGGCGAAGTGGCTGTGAGGGAAGACTTTTTACGCTTTTGTCCCTGTTCATCCGGACGCCTGGCCAATGACTTGCGTCTTGGGATCTTCTAGGGCTTTCGTCACGTCGTTGTTACTGTCCCATTCGGGGGCAGATTCTACGAAGCGGAGTGCACTTGCAGCGGCGAGACCGACACCATGCTGTGTTCTGCTCAGATCGACATGACTTTCGTACACATCTCCCGAGGCTCGCCCCGTGGCACGAGGTTCCGTACGGTGGGTACTACGGCATCAGCATTGTGATGTCGGCATCCTTGCGTGTGATGATTTGTAGTAGTTACCCTGCGTTTGATCCCTTATTTTGTTCGTGGAGGTCCAACAACATATGCCCAGCTGCTCCTCCTCCAAAGCAACACCCATCGATGAATGACCGTTGTTCCTCTTCGCGGCAAACCGGTCACCCACACCGTGGCATCACCACAGCTCTTGCCATATGACTTTCAGCCCTGGGAGCTCTCGGTCACCAGCTGGAGTCCCTGGTGTTATCGTCCCATACCGCATGCATGTTTCCCAACGATATCTCGAACTCACCAAGCAAAAACTAGAGCTCACCCGTCTACCTCGAGAGCCGTTGTCTGCTCGCCAACATCGATCCGGCATTGAGAAAGCCGATCTCGAAAACCTGATCGACCACTGGACCGATGAATACAGCTGGCGCGCACAAGAGAATTTTTACAACGATGCACTCCCACAGTATCGCTTGCTTATCCATGGCATCCGGATCCACTTCGTTCACAGACGATCGATGTCAGCAAGTGCGATGCCTCTCCTGTTTATTCATGGATGGCCGGAAAGCTTCATATCCGTTTCCAACATGATTGATGACCTATGCGATCCAGTCCGAATTCCTCTCAGAGGTGATGAAGACTCGCCAGCATTCCATGTTGTTGCTCCTTCGATTCCTGGCATGGGCTTCAGCGACCAAGTCACAGAAGATGGAAACAATTTCCACGCCGCGGCGGAGATTTTCGACGACCTGATGAAAACGCTCGGATATGAACGGTATATGCTGCACGGTTCAGGATGGTAAGACGGCTTCAGGATGATGAGCATGTCGTGCGAGAAAGTTGCTGACATGCCCAGGGGTTTCAAAATCGGTCGGCGAGTAGCGTTGGCGCACAGTGAAAGCTGCATTGGCATGCACRCGGCAAATCTAGAGCAACCGGCTCCTAGGTTGGTCATGTCCCTCTTTCTCTGGCCATCCTACCTGCAAGCTAACAACACAATCAGCTTATTGCCTCACACATTGAGACCTACCACCCTGACTGCTCAGCCCAGTTGGTCGGAAAGCTCAAAGACCATATCCTATGCACTATGCGATTCTCCTGCCGGCTTACTGGCGTACATTGTCGATGCCATCGGACCATCATTGCGTGCGTCTCCTCAAGTGCCGAATCCTTGGACACCCACGATGCTCATCGATTGGGCGATGCTCCACTGGCTGCCTGGCCCTGAGGTGGCTCTTCGGTGGCTGGATAACTCCAAGCCCATGTCGCATAGCCTGTGGACCGCATTCAGCAATGTCCCACTTGCCATTTCCCAATATGAAGATCCGAACGCAATGCAACTTGATATCGGTTGGGCCGAGCAGATTCATCCGATTGCGATGGTTAGACACCGGGTTGGTGCTGTTCGCTTCCCCGCCTGGGAGAGGCCGGCTGAGATCTGCAATGACATTCGAGACCTCGCGCGGCTGCTGGGAGCCCCCAGTATTACTTCTTACGATGCTCATACAGCTGGCTTCAATCAGACATCGTATTGATGTATGCATGCACGCAAAATCCTCCAACTCTCAACACGTGCGCTGCGAGCTCGGCCTGGTAGTGCCAGACATGAATGTTCTTGAGTGTGATGATGGTCTTCACGTTGACCGCCGGAGTAGCATGGCATACAGTTTAGCGATCCTCTCATGTGCTGAACAAGCATTATGAGTAGCAGACGTCTCAATCTGTGTCGGCCCTCACCGCCGCCGCATGGGCGGTGAAGGCAGCATGTGCCGCAAAAAGGTCGTTGTTGGCTGGGAGCGTGTCAGGGAACATGGTAGCTTGTGATGCCCACCTCTTCATCAAACAGGCCATGGAGATTGTGGTGGACTCTGCCTCTGCGCGTGAGACAGCATCGAAAGGCGRTGGCTCGTACAAAGCGCTCGTGTTCGTCCGATTCCGATGGAGACTGTCGAAGCATCGATAAACCTTGGCCACGTGAAACGTGTGTTATGAGTACCCACCTAGGTAAATGCACGCAAGTGGCGTTGGGCCGCGGTGGCGCTTTGACAACRCGGACTTGGCTCTTTGAAATTTTGTTCTTCTCACCTCAACACCTACCTTTTCACGATTGCATCTCGAGTAACTTGCACATCTGACCTCGCAACCACTTGGACATTTGTTTGGCACCCAGATTCAGCTTACCCCAATTTCACTCGCCGCCTTTCTGATTGATCAGGCAATCGCGCCTGACTAGAATCCAAGCTGGCAGGACAATCTAATCTCAGTCCACACCGACTGGCTCTTCAGTAAAGAGCCCCTTCCCACTGTTCTCCGGGAATCTACTCCCCCCTTCTATGCGTCCAGAAGATCTCTTACGATTCCTGTCGAAGCCAAAGAAGTATGAGGACTCCTCCCCTCGGGAGTAATCAACGCGGAACTGACACTGCTTAGGCCAAGATAACACGAGCTACTTGCTGAAACGATTCAAACATCTAACAACCTACTGTTCAACACCTGAGACTACCTGCAACCTCTTCACCCGATACTTCCGCCTGGTATCGGAGACCTTCACCGCGACCTCGACCCATAATCGACAACATTCCGCAACGCAAGAGCTCCGTGATTCCCCTGTGCGCTCGACCTCCCTAACGCCCGCCAAGGTCGTTTCGAAACATACAACTCATTGCTTGCTGCTGGCGTAAGCCAGCCTCCAAGAAAAGAGAAAGCAGTGTGCCTTCTCTCTAAGACGAGCTTCACCATTCGCCCGGGTAGCAGAAAGAGCTATAGCGCGCTAGAAAGCGGTTGATTGGGACGTACTCTTCAGACGACGGTCGAACGAGGTATCTGCATCAATTCCTTGAAGAGGGTGCTTGGAGATGGTCGACTTCGCCATTCCACAACATTACACCAACTCCCCGTCCTCATTGAGTGGCACTCCCCATTTGACCATCAATCGAGACATCAATGCTATCGATCTCGATTCCAGCAATGCATTCGAAGGACCGGAAAAGCTTCTAGAAGTATGGTTSTCTCCCACGGAGAAATCCCTTCCGGCCTCTGCTTCGCCGCTAGGCTTGAAGGCAGTCTCGCAGGATTCATGGAAGGAAATGCTTGATCTTGTCAATTGCAAGGTCTTGTCCGTCATCGAGTCTCGCAATGTCGATGCTTATCTGCTCTCCGAGTCGAGCATGTTTGTGTTCCCGCACAAGCTTGTGTTGAAAACTTGCGGTACCACGACCTTGCTCTGTGGACTTCCACGCATGCTGGAGATCGCCGCACTCGAAGGTGGATTCCCGCACATCAAGGCCGGCCTGCCAGAAGGATCTATCGCGGCAGCGACTCCTCATCGCGTCTTCTACAGCCGTAAGAACTACTTGTTCCCAGACCAGCAGCGTGGTCCTCACCGTAGCTGGCGTGACGAAGTTCGATACCTTGACAGAATGTTTCTGGGTGGAAGTGCGTACATGATTGGGAAGATGAACGGGGAGCATTGGTACTTGTACATTACAGGTCCGGGAACGCAACTTACTCCGCCCGGCACGCCCATTGAGGATACCTTCCAGACCCCGACCAAACAAATGGTGCTTCCAGACAAGACCAGAGGCTTGCAGTCCGAGGAGCCGGAGGATGAAACGCTTGAGATTCTCATGACTGACTTGGAGGAAGTCAATGCTCGCCAGTTCTATCTGGAGGATGCTAGCGAGATTGCCCAGGACAACGTACGTCGCGCTCACTTGGCTCGTAAAGACGCCATTGGCCACCTTGGYGTTATCCCCGAGGGCAATGATTCCTCCACTAGCATCTCTGGGAACACCCTCGTCAGTGGAGGCAGCCACGATGACGATTCCAGCTTCGACGTCTTCGCCCAGACCTCCGATGAGCATTCTGGACTTAGCTCCGACTCTGAAGAAGAGCCGCTATCTTTCGCGGAGGAATTGAGCACCGAGGGCCACGCACTGGGAACGGTCGTGACAGAATCTTGCGGCCTGGGCGATCTGTACCCGACCACCAAGTACCCAGATGCTCGCATTGATGCGTATTCTTTCATGCCCTGTGGCTACTCGGCCAATGGTGTCGTTCCTATGCCTGGTGATGGCGACTCGACGAGCTACTGGACTGTGCATGTCACTCCCGAGCCGCACTGCTCGTACGCCAGTTTCGAGACCAATGTACCCACTCGTCACACTGGTCGTGAGACTGTCGACGTGGTTCAACAGGTCGTCGGGATCTTCAAGCCTGGCCGCTTCAGCGTCACTCTATTCGAGGCCAAGGATGGAGATGAGACTGGATACGCCAAGAAGGACAAGCGTATGGACTTTGTCAAAGGCTACCGTCGCGTGGATCGCATCGTTCATGATTTGGAAGGATATGAACTCATCTTCCGCTACTTTGAACGTGAAGATTGGAAGGGAGGAGCTCCTCGGCTTGGCGAGCACAGCCCATGAACCTTGCGAGGCGTAAAGGATACGATGAGAATTTCCAAATTGGATCTGCCTACTGCTTGTTTATTGCGTGTTGCTCTAGCATTGTCACTCATTGCTGATATGTACGTTCTTGCGATAGACATTGTGTACCTGCGTCAAGTTCAATCTGGGGTTTCAATCATGCTTTCAAAACCGCTTCAAGGCCGAGCTAAGATCAAGCGAGCACGCGGAGAGTGTTCTCCATGTCTTGTAGGATCTCCTGGCTTCGTTCTCTGTCACTCTCCACGTCTATCGAATGTGGGATCTTGTAAGATACGACAATCTCGACGGCTCGAACGAGAAATCGAACATCGTCACCTGTGAGGCCAGGCCGGTCACTTGACGATGTAGCCAGACGTTCTCGGAATACACGCGCAAGGAGCTCTATACTCGCGGATCGCATGTTACGAGTGTCCCTCACGCTTTGTTCATTGTCAGTAAATGAAGGCATGCACATGATTGTAGGAATCTCCTTAAGATTGATTTTGAACGTACACAGGATAAGTGCCAGTCGTCACTTTCAATCCTCCATCTTCCAAAACAACATTGTGTCCATCACGCTTAGAAGGCCTGCACTCGCGGTTCAAGTGATCGATTCGAATGTAGAAACCCACTCGGCCCTGCCATCGCTGCGGCTGCAACATATTCCAATGACGAGAGATCTGAAGACTGCGAATCCGTGATATCTCGGGACCGAGAGCCGAGATCCAGCTATCGATGCGACGCTTCCACGGCTCGGGAGAGTCATCTATACAGATTGCAAAGATGGAGTCCGTTGCGTAGAGAGGCAAGGTCTCACGTCTGAAGATTGTACAGGTGCGGCTGATGGGAGGTGTGATTTGGGTGGGCAGGAGGTTGTGGTGGGCATTTGGTAGTAGCTCGGGTATGTATTCATAAATACGAAGTCGAAGCTCTGCAGGAAGTGCTAGGAGCGACATGTGAGATGTTGCTGTTCTTGACGCTTTCTTGTGATCGGAGTCGACCGAACGAGGGATTTCAACTTGAAGCTTGCAGCCTGTCCTAGTGTTGGTTCGACGACAACTCTCGCGGATAGGGGGTCACTGTAATAAGAGCAAGCAGATATGCGATATTCTACGGAATCGTGTCTTTCTGTGGCTTCGTGGAAGGTGAGGTAGAATACATGTAGGTCTAAGTGAGGTGGCGGGATGCCGGGCGGGTGGTCCCGAAGCCGACCAGAAACGACGCTAAAAAACGAATAGACGGCAAGGACGGGCAGAGCGTCGCGCCCACAGGGCAACAACCACCACCTCGCGTATCCTGCGCATCGTCTGCCCACGAATACCACGCGATCCCTTTTCAACCTCACACACCACAACTCTGATGCTCGCTGCTCCCTGCTAGCAGCTGACGCATTCGCGCATTCGGTGGCGAACCCGTGACGCGACACCTACGCGGCTTTGCGACGGGAAGAGACATTGAAACGAGCTCATACTGCGCGTTTCACTGGACAGTATGGCTGCCGTGCAGGCCTCACAGGGCAATATGCAGCAAACGGGCAACAATGCGGCATCAAATGCCGCAGTGCAAGGAATACTGCCCCCGGGGGTGAACAAGGAGCAGCTACAGGCAATGTACAAGGTAGGCCATCATTCACCAGAGATGCTGCATGCGCATGTGAGCTGATGTGTATTCTCATCTAGGAATACCAAACCAATAAGCAGAATGGCGTTCCCGAGACCGATCCAGGCCAGGCGAAGTTGCGGACTATCTTGACCCAGGTGCATCATCGGACGGAAGTGTTGAAGCGGCAGGCAGCTGCGCGGCAGCAACAACAGCAATTCCAACAACAACAGCAAGCCGCCATGCAGCAGAATGGGGCCGTGACCCAGCAGCACCAGAATGGCGGCTCGAATGGCCAGGCGCAAGGCTCCACACCTACCTCAAACGGCGGCATTCACGCTGCACAACAACAACCTCCCAGTCTCTCGAATAGCGTAGCTGGACAGGCCGAAGCCGCAAGCGACGCTTCATTCAGCAAAGAACAGCAATATACACTTCGCGCTCAGATGCATGCGTTTGGCGCACTTCAGAAGAATAGGCCCATTCCTCCAGAAGTCGCTGATAGAATATTTCCGTCGAGGCAGGACAAGAAAGCAGCTGGCTTGACTGAGAATCTGGGTGCTGCGGGCAAGGTTCTTGAGGAGGCAGCAAAGGGCTCTACTGGGAAAGTGACACCAGAAGGCGAGGATGATGCCCGCCCCCGACACCGTTTCGACACCTTTACGGATCCTTACAGCATGTTGGCGAAGAATATCAGCTACTCCGATCACACACATCGCCCGTACAGGTCAATGATCCCGAGCATAATGCCTCTTGGTGTTGATCCGGAGCGCGTGAGAGAGGAGCGCGAGAATATTGTGTACAACCGTGTGCTCACACGGAAGAATGAGCTCGCGAAGCTGCCTGCGAATATTGGTGCGTGGGATTCGAGCAAGTCGGAAACACCAGAGGACAACACAAACCTGAAGCTACGAGCTCTCATCGAGTACAAGATGTTGTCTCTCCTGCCCAAGCAACGGGAAATGCGTCAAAAGGTCGGCAAGGAGATGGTCCTCTCAGACAACCTCTCCATGACGGCCAATCGCTCTTCATACCGTCGGGTCAAGAAACAATCTCTCCGGGAGGCCCGCATCACCGAGAAGCTCGAGAAGCAACAGAGAGATGCCGCTGAGAATAAGGAGAAGAAGAAGCACAATGAGTACCTCCGATCTATTGTTCAGCACGCGGATGATATTAGAAACAACGCTCTGCAACACAGATCGCGCGTACAGAAGCTTGGACGCATGATGGCAGCTCACCACGTGAACATCGAAAAGGAAGAGCAGAAACGCATCGAGCGTACTGCAAAGCAGCGTCTGCAGGCTTTGAAGGCCAACGACGAAGAGACATATCTCAAGCTGCTCGGACAGGCCAAGGATTCTCGTATTTCGCACTTGCTGAAACAGACCGACGGCTTCCTCAAGCAGCTTTCCGATTCAGTCAAGGAGCAACAGCGGACCAACCATGCGCGGTACGGCGGCGAATATGCACCTGTCGAAGAAGAGGACCCAGTTGTTGGAGACGAAGTTGAYAGTGAAGATGAGACCAAACCCAAGGTCGACTACTACGAGGTGGCTCATCGTATCAAGGAGGAAGTCACTGGTCAATCATCGAACCTGGTTGGCGGTCAGCTCAAGGAGTATCAAGTCAAGGGATTGCAGTGGATGATATCACTGTACAACAACAACTTGAACGGTATCTTGGCAGACGAGATGGGTCTCGGAAAGACTATCCAGACGATCTCACTCATCACATACCTGATCGAGAAGAAGAGACAAAACGGGCCGTTCCTGGTGATCGTACCCCTCAGCACTCTGACCAACTGGAACAGCGAATTTGAGAGATGGGCGCCGAGCGTAACGCGCATTGTCTACAAGGGACCTCCGAACCAGCGCAAGAACCATCAGAACCAGATTCGATACGGCAACTTCCAAGTCTTGCTCACCACTTACGAATTCATTATCAAGGACCGGCCGGTGTTGAGCAAAGTCAAGTGGTTGCACATGATTGTTGATGAGGGTCACCGAATGAAGAACGCCAACTCCAAACTCAGCAACACCATTACGACCTATTATCACACCCGCTTCCGATTGATTCTTACCGGTACTCCGCTTCAGAACAACCTCACTGAGCTGTGGTCTATGCTGAACTTTGTCCTTCCGAACATTTTCAAGTCTGCAACATCGTTTGATGACTGGTTCAACACTCCATTCGCTAATACTGGTGGTCAAGACAAGATGGCACTGACTGAAGAAGAGTCGCTTCTCGTTATTCGTCGTCTTCACAAGGTTCTACGGCCGTTCTTGCTGCGTCGTCTCAAGAAGGATGTCGAAAAGGATCTGCCTGACAAGCAAGAGCGTGTCATCAAATGCAACCTGTCCGCACTGCAGGCCAAGTTGTACAAGCAACTCATGCTGCACAACCGAATCAACGTTATGACCGCTGATGGAAAGAAGACTGGAATGCGTGGCTTGAGCAATATGCTGATGCAGCTCCGCAAGCTCTGCAACCACCCCTTCGTGTTCGAGGAAGTTGAAGACCAGATGAACCCCAACAAGATGACTAACGATCTCATCTGGCGTACCGCAGGCAAATTCGAGCTTCTTGATCGGGTGTTGCCAAAATTCCAGGCCACTGGTCATCGAGTGCTCATGTTCTTCCAGATGACACAGATCATGAACATCATGGAGGACTTCTTGCGCTTCCGTGGCATCAAATACCTCCGTTTGGATGGTAGCACCAAGGCCGACGACCGATCGGAGCTTCTCAAGCTGTTCAACGCGCCGGGTTCTGAGTACTTTTGTTTCCTGCTCTCCACTCGTGCAGGTGGTCTTGGTCTCAACTTGCAGACTGCCGACACCGTCATCATCTACGACTCCGATTGGAATCCCCACCAGGATTTACAAGCTCAGGATCGTGCCCATCGTATCGGTCAGAAGAACGAAGTCCGAATCTTGCGGTTGATCACGTCGAACTCTGTTGAAGAAAAGATTCTTGAACGTGCGCAATTCAAACTGGACATGGACGGCAAGGTCATTCAGGCCGGTAAATTCGATAACAAGTCCACAAACGAGGAACGTGACGAGATGTTGCGAGTCATGTTGGAGTCTGCAGAAGCTGTCGAGAGTCTGGAGCAAGATGAGATGGAGGATGATGATCTGAACATGATCATGATGAGGCACGACCATGAATTGCCAATCTTCCAAAAACTTGACCAAGAGCGTGCGAAGAACACTCCATATGGTGTTGATAAGAAGCTCCCGCGTCTGCTCGGCGAGAGCGAACTTCCAGACATTTACATGAACGACGACAATCCGGTGGTGGAAGAGATTGAGATCAACTATGGTCGTGGTACCCGTGAGCGTGCAAAGGTCAAGTATGACGATGGCCTTACGGAAGAGCAGTGGCTTGATGCTGTCGACGCTGATGACGACACTATCGAGGACGCCATTGCACGTAAGCAAGCTAGAGCTGCCAAGAGGGGAGGAAAGAAAGACGAGGACACGCCGCCACCGGAGGTCGACAGTGAGGATGAGACACCAGCACCCAAGAAGCGTGGACGCAAGTCGACGGGCAGGCCTGAAAAGCGCAAGGCGGATGAAGCCTCGCTGGATCGCCATCCCGAGCCGCCGAAGAAGTCGCGAGGCCGCGGCGGCAAGATTGTGGAGACCCTTTCCAAGGAGGACCGCGAAACACTGCAGGTCATACTTGACAACGTCCACGACTCACTCCAAGATCTCGAGGAGGAGTCAACTGACCCCAACGTCCCCAACCGTGGCATCATMGATCCATTCCTGGAACTACCACCTAAGCTCGACTACCCTGATTACTACCAATTGATCAAGAACCCCATCTGCATGAAACAGATTGAGAACAAGATCAACAAGAAGCAATATCAAAATCTGAGGCAGTTCCGCGCTGATATATCGCTGCTATGCTCAAACTGCCGGCAGTACAACGAGGACGGCAGCATCTTGTATCAAGATGCGAATATGATCGAGGTAAGTTTGCGTGGAGTGTTGTTTGGTGTGAGCATTGACTGACCATGTTCTATAGAGTGCATGTATGGAGAAGCTACGAGAAGAAATGGCCAATCACCCCGGCTCGCAAGATCTCGAAGGTGACAGCGTAGATGGGAACTCAACGCGACCAATGTCGAGCGTGAGCACTCCGCAAACAGCTTCAAAACCGGCCATCAAGCTCAAGCTGGGCAATGGACCTTCACGGGCAAATGGAAATTCTTCGCGGGGCGGCACAGAGAGTCTGGTGCAGAGCGATAGCGAGTAGGGACTATGTCTTTTTATCGTTTGGAGTTAATAACGGGAGGCAACTTGATGCATTACGGCAGAGTAAGGCGGCGGAATCATTTGGGCATCTAACTTTCGCGGGCGCATAGTCGGTCAGCCAGGTGGCCGAAGCTCCCACAGAGGCTGTACAATCATATGACATTGCATTGATCGCAGAAGACTATTGAGTGACGAATGTGAGAGATTGATGTGTTTGAGAAAGTTCTGTGCCCTTCGAATCTACTCGGAATCGCCGTCTAAAATAATACACCCTTTGTGCTGGGAACCTCGCCTTCCCTCCCTGCCACCGGACTGATGGCATTTCTCAAAGCAATAGCCAGTGCCTTGAACGCACTCTCCGCTCGGTGGTGGTCGTTAAACCCCCTCAAACAATCCACATGCATTGTGATGCCTGCGTGGAGAGCAAAGGACTCCATACAATGCGGAATCATCTCACACGACAAATCGCCAATCTTCTCCCTCTTCAATCCCAGCTCTATAACCGAGTACGGTCTGTTACTCAAATCCACCACGGCCCTACTCAGCGCCTCATCCAATGGCGCATATGCGTATCCAAACCGCGCCAATCCCGTAGTGGTCTTCAGGGCTTCTTTAAAGGCTTGCCCTAGTGCTATACATGTGTCTTCTGCGGTATGGTGGTCGTCGATGTGGAGGTCGCCTTTTGTGACAAGGAAGAGGGACCAGCCGGAGTGTTTTGCTAGAGCGTGGAGCATGTGGTCGAGGAAACCTATGCCGGTGTTTACGCTGATTGTTTGGGATTTGGAGGCTTGTGTTGCGTGGGATTGTTCTTCTTCGCCATTGGAGGCTGGAGTGGAGAGGTCGCCGCCGTCGAGGTTGAGGGAGAGTTGGATTTTGGTTTCGTTTGTGTCGCGGGCGAGAGTTGCGCTGCGGATACGTTGTTGTGTGGCCATTCTGTATTGTGTGCGATAAGCAATGTAGAGAGTAATGTGAAGCAGAGGTCTGACGGTCTTGCACTTTCTTGCTTCTGGGATCGGTTAGCGGCGATCGATTGGGACCCTTGTAAACCTTAAATTTGCGATAACCTTCGCCAAAACTTCGAAGGGAAGTCATCTTGAATTCACCCAGTCACAATTTTGCAATCGTGTTCACGACGAAATGTCCACTCAGAATGGAGACACGGAGATGACGGAAGCAGCGACCACCGCCGGCGCGGAGGTAAATGGCGCGACTGAGGAGTTCGTCTATGAGAAGCAGAGGTTGCGATTGGTATGAGAGCCCAAAAACTTCACAAGCACTTCGAAGCCATGCTGATAATTTCCAAAGCTGCCAGGCGCTACGGATACCGCGGCGTCGTTTGCGTTTGAAAAGGAAGATCACACTCTTGGAAATGCGCTGCGATATATCATCATGAAGAAGTACACCTTCTCTCCCGCGCATTCCCTATAACAGTCATCCATCACATGCTAACTAACTCCCTCGACAGCCCGGATGTTGAGTTTTGCGGATACTCGATTCCTCATCCTTCAGAACCTTTCATGAACTTGCGGATACAAACTTGGGGTATAATTTTCTCACTTTAAATCGTCAAATCTCGACTCAGACTAACGGGTATATCAAGACAACGTCAGCGTTATGGAAGTGCTCCGTAAAGCGTTCGACGACCTCTCGGATCTCTGCGATGTGGTTGAGGAGAAGTTCGTTGCCTCAAGGGATGAATACAAAGTGACCAACCCTGACGGCAAGCCCACTCAATGATTTCACGCACACGGAGTATTTGAATGGAAAAAATCACAAGCAAGTCATCTGGAAGTACCATGGGAAAGTCGCACGATGATGACGAGTCATACGAGCTCGCTATAGCCGGTGGATGTGCCGGGCATCACTTGGAGCGCCTCGGAAACTGATTACTGCGCACGTTACGATGCAAAATGGGCTCATAAGTGCTGATTTTGCTATATATCGGAGGGCTGCATCGGCTTTCAGTAAACCCGGCTGGCACTTGCGGGGCGAAAATCCCGGCCCTCACACACCCTTCAATTACAGACGTGTGCTCATCAAATCCCCTCCGTCTCGAAATAAGGATCGTTGGGGTCTGCATCTCGCTGTTAGCTCAAAACTTCGACATTCGATAGCAGAAGACGTACCATAAGGAAACTTCCGAATCACAACATCACCCTTGTAATCCCACAAATCGGGAGTGAGATCCTCAGAACCCACTGTGCACGTTGCCTCCGATTGCCCGAACTTCTCCACTGCCGTCGCATTGCCTCCTTCGTAATCAATTCTGACCATGTTGWCAGTCCGGCGACTGACGTCTCCCTCATGGTAATTCGCAGGCACGAACATCACGCTCGAGTGCGCAGCCGTGAAGACGGTATTTGGCAAATCTCCCGTGTGCGGGACATGGTGCATGCCCAGGTTGAACCACACCACCAGATCCTCTTGCACTAGACTCTCTCCGTCGAGGAACTTGTCAAAGTCTACAGGCGGGTTGTAGATGTCCTGGTTGTTGTATGGGTGAGCCGCGCGAGGTTCCGTGTCTTTTTGCTTGGTGACTGCAAGGTCGTATTTAGCCCAGTTGATCGTGTTTGCCAAGTTGCTGGAGTCCTCTACAGTCAAGTGGATGGTTGATGCATCTGGCATGATTCTATACCCGCGAAGCTCGCCGTATTTGTTCTTCTGGTCCTGGTTGACTATGTGATATTGTGTGGCGGCATTGGGAGCCCAGGTCATTCCGCCTTCGTCCTCAGTCTCGACGAAGCCTCGGGAGAGCTTCATCGTGTTGCGAGGCTTGTCACTCCAGACGTAAGACTCGGTAGTTGGGATGAGCGTTGTGAGCTCCATGGTATTGGCAGTCCCAAGAATGTCGAAGTCGGCTTTAAACAGGAGAACGTGGTCGTGCATACTTCCCGAGAGAGAGTCGTGGATTTGGTAGCCGTAGTCGCCGTTGTTGGCGTAATAGGCGGACTGAATGTAGCCGGAAGCACGAACTTCGGTCTTGATACTGCCGTCGAGGAAGAACTGGTAGGATATCATGCTGGATAGCAGACTCAATGTTAGCGGAAGATGTGATTGTGTACGATGATCAATACTCACTAGTCATAGTTGCCAATCGTCGATACGGAACGAACCGTAAAGTAGACGTTCTTCGAGACGGAGACGTAGCTACCTGTTGAGTGTCGCTGGATAGGAAAGTCCGCATCATATTCGAACAAGCAAACAGAGTTGATATGCGTGCGGGTTGTTTCGTCAATGTAGAAAGATGTGTTGACGTAGGAAGCGTAGGCTGGGCAATCGTAGCCTGGGACCAGTTGGAAAGCATAAGGCCCGAAGCCATAGTAGCTGTCCAAATAGCCTATGCCGCTCTGAACGGGATCATTCCCTGCGTAGTGAGCCAAAGCCTCCTCCAGGCCGAGCTCGTAAAGAATCCTTTCCCCTTTGTAGCGGATGTCGAAGAGCGCGAGACCACGGTCACGTGTGAAGCTGATGTAGAAGCTGAAATCCATCCATTCAACGTACTTGGACTCAGGATTCGCGGCGTATCTTGAACCGCCTGGCGCAATCATTGCAGGAGGAGAGGAGTCGTCCATTGGAAGAGTTTCTCCTTGCTTATCCGTGGTGGCCCAAGCACCTTCAACATTGGCTCCAAGCTTGACAAAGTCGGGCGAATAGAACGCCTCGCGGAAAGCATCAGTGGTAGGGTAGTAAATGTCGTTGTAAAGCCAGCCTTCAAATTTCCACATGGAAGAATCGCGACCTGTAACGTCTGCTTTGAGAAACAGACCGAGAGGAAGTAGAGTTCCGGCATCGAACTCGTCGACTGGCTTGTTCCAGAAGGTGGCCCAGTATATCAGTTTGCCATCATCTTGCCAGAGTGGGTCGATTCCCCAAACGTCGAGTGTGTCATTTTCGAGACCCTGTGCAATACCACCCCACAGTCCCAAGGTGATATCGGCAATAGATCCTGTGATGTTATGTACCCAGGCAGACCGCTTGTCATTATCAGCATCGATGTTGCGCACTTTGCCACCTCCCGTGCTAGTGTAGGGGTATTCGAGTGGCTGCCAGGTCGTTGTGCCGTTTTGAACAGGCAGCGGACCGACAAGGATATCAGTGTAAGTAGGCTCCAAAGTGGCACGGACATCAAGTACGACGTGAGCATAGCGAGCAGGCGCCGCGCTCGCTCCGTCTATATAAGAGAGTGCGTCGGTCTTGTTCGGATGCATGAGCTCCACCAGGAGAACGGTGTTGTCCCACTCTCCAGCTTTGTCGGAGACTGTAAGATTAAGATCCCTCTGGTGGAACAGCCATTGGGTAACGCCGGCTGCCTCGTCATCCGTCAAACCGGCCCAGATGTTCTCTTTCGCTGGTTGGACAGCTGCAGGGCCATTCTGAGCACAGGTAGTGTCATTGACATATCGTTTGGCAACGACATGTGAGTTCTTCGCGAGCCGAGAACGAGCTCCCCTAACCCATGCAGCTTTCGGATGCGGTGATGCGGAGGATGAGGCCACTAGAAGAKATAAACATGCGATCGAAGCCAGTGGAGCCTGCAGAAACCCAAGGAGCTGCATCTTGACCGTAACAGCCTTGAATGAGAAGTCGTGGCGATGGCACCAGAAAGACAACTTCACTGGGCCAATGACCTCTCATATTTATGCACAGCATCTTGGCCGAGCCATATGGGCCTATCCTGAGAATACCTATGCGGTGTAATTCTCATTGATGTTGGCCGCAATTCGTATCGCTAGGCGAGCTAGTCAGATAGCGATAGACATGGGTCGTCTTCGGCCGGCCTTTGATTGCTTGGCATTGAAGACGGTATGGCGGACGAGACCCTGACGTTACAGGCCACTGCAATCGTATCATTTGGTTCGACATTATTTTGGCGAATCCTGGTGAGCAGGAAGTGTGCGGCCTGCACGAAATCGACAGAAAGTAAAGTCTTCAATAAAGGTGTTCAATGACTTGAGTTTCGTCAGCTGCGAAGACATCATGCAGAACCCGCAATGGAGATCAGGATGCTGGATCTTGAAGAGACTCGCGGCTAAGACTCTCCAACCAATCTGAGAGGTCCGCAGTTCCGTGGCCAGGTTCGTGTGCCCAGCCATATGCACTAGTATCGACGAGTCTTCCATGACTATCATCGTCGGTCATCTTCAGCTGCCCGTGGTCACTAAGATGTCCATTGTTCTTGCAGATGTGATCTCCAGCTGGTCTGAAATTGACTTTCGTTATGTGTCAGTTGGCCCTCAGGTCATCTTGTCGGGATAAATACCATGTGGTGGGAAAAAGCGTTGCTTCTCTGCCGCGTGAGAGAATGCTGCAAGCGGTCATAATCGGTGCACTCGTGTTGAGCAGCCCTTCCACGTCAGGTCCCACACAGAATGTCTGTAGAATTTTGGAATGCACCATCGCACTTTCCCCAGCTGGCCCATGCGTTGAGAATGAAAGATCCCGAGATGTTGTGCAAGTGAGCGCTATGGTGATCATCACCATTGACCATTCTTCCATTCGCGCCGAGGAATAGAATAGGCAGCTAACTCATGCTCACCCATATACGGAATCGCGATCTTTGTATACGAGGAGACCGGTTTGCTCACGAACCTGACTATGCAGTCGAGATGCCGCGAGCAGTAGAAGTCGCGACGCCAGCATTGAGTTCGCAAGTGCTTCATGCATTGGTCCAGACGAGATGCAAGACTGTTTCAGGAGTCCGCGATTTCGGCTTTGTGGGGGTTTGCGTCGCTCAAATCATCGTGCAGTTTCGGCGCAATCGTCAGACAACGTCCAGAGTAGGACCCGAATTGTTGGCGCGGAGGTGTTGACTCCGTGCATATAATTGCAAAATGTCAACGACGTGGCAGCCGCGGCTCCGGACTGCAGATGAAGAAGCGGTGTATAGAGTGTCGCATTAGTAAACGGGAAGAAATACGAGTGATGACGAAAGTGGATAGACAATTGGTCGGAGCGAAAGAGAAGATGAATGAGAATGAAGATGAAGATAGAGATGTTGCCGTAGCAAAACGTTTCTCCGCCTCCCTCCTGAGACTACTAGCGACTGCTGGGTGTTCAAAATGGATATTGGCAAAAAGGCAAAAGTCCCAGTCCAATAGGGACGCCTATTGAACTGGGTGAAACGACGACACGAGCGGCGTTTACTAACTGGGGAGAGCCCAAGTCACAGGGCAGGAAAGCCCTGCGCTCCAAAGACGAGGATGAAGGATCGAACCCCCGCCTTTGCGGATGACTGGCCCACTGGGCCAATTATGAGATGACGAGGAAATAATTATGTTAAGTAGGTAATGCGACAAGTTGTGCCGAAGTGCTTGCGCGCGGAGTAGGGGGGAGCGGGATGGCGGGATGGCGGGATGACGGTGAAGCTGATCAACAAACCAGTCAGAATGCTTGAGCAAGGTGGCCATCTTCCTGCGCTTGGCATGTTCGAATGGATCTCGAGTACGGCTGAGAATGAGTTGATCCTCTCTCCGATTGTCCGGTGATGCGCAGCAGATTTAGCTGGCCGTCGATGCGATGTACCAAGACTTGCGACCGAGTATAGGCGTAGGATGGGTCGACGATGCTTTGCGGTCATCGCGGACACACTCCTTGGATCACATGAGGAGCGAACGGGCTGACCTTACAGATGCGTACTCTGCCCTCGACATTGGCCAGCATGAAGCAGAGCACATGACCGTGAGCCGGTTGAGGATCCAAAGGCCTCCAGGAACACCAGTGGGAACAGCCCGGTCAGACTTCCACTCAGCAGATCAACCAAAAGGAGCAATTTATCCGCAGCACTTTTGCTCTCCGGGCCCGGACCAAGCTCTTAAGAAGAAGAAAACGCTGCGAGCGGACCGTACTCAACGATCGAAGGGATCCGGTTGCATTGTTGTGCCCGGACGTCAGAAATGACAAGCAAGAGAGGCCTCGCACAAGTTCAGGCTTGAAGAGTGGGCCACCGACCCACAGCTATCCATTGAATGGAAGCTTCTACCCGGGCAAGGAAATGCGTGACACACCTTCGTAACGGTACGCAGTGGCATCCAGCTACGATTCGACGCCGAGGCAGCTCCAGATCCACCGTTGACCAGCGTCCGGCCCCGGAATCGCCGCTACCATCCACATATCTCGATATTCGGCAGCTTTATCCAGGACAGCTCATTCTCTTGACCACCAGGTGAAGACCGAGCGGGAATATCGTAGTTTCGAAAAAATACTGGTGTCAAGTTGAGAAGCAAGCATCTTTCCGTCCAGGGAGCCTTCTCTTCTGCATTTTTTGATCGCCGTATGCCTGGTGCATTATGTGTATCTCCTCCAGACCTGTGAAGCCCAAGCCTCTTTCAAGATCAGGCTCCCAATTGTGTGCATTGTTTAGCAAGCAGGAGCATTGCCAGATACAGTGGTAACTCTTCAAAGCGACTTCCTCAGCTTCAAATAACGGTTGCTGTCGATGACTTCCGGATGAGTGGGGCGGCGACTCTGGGCGCGAGGAGTCGCGAAAACCAGGCTCAAATCGAGAGTGCTCTGTGGGCCCAGGAATGTCACATCAGAAGTGTGATTCAAAGTCCAGCAAACGATTGCATAGATCCGTAAGGAAGGTGTGGTCCCGTGAAAGCTGCGAGGTGAAGTCGGGCAAGGGTCATGAAAATGATCGTCCTTGGCAGTTGGTGCCAATATTAACGGCAGGAGCGACCATCATTCTCCTGTGCCTCTACATGGACATCGCTTTCGCTTTCGAAGAGCGTGAAGAGAAATTTCCATCTCATCCAAGCCTCTATGCCTCACCACAAGCGAGTTCCAGAGGAGGAGATGCCGGGATTGGCAGGAATATCCGCGAAGACACCAACGCAGTAATTGAAAGAAGCACTCTCAGCAAACCTTTGGGTTCCATTCTCATATTGAAGAGCATCTACATCACATAGAATAGACGCGTTCAATTTCTCTTCATCAACTTAAACGGCCCAGCACAAAGCTCCTGAAAGACCTGATCCACGTCATACTTTCTCGAAACATTCCTCATTCGTTCCAAATTCTCCTTTCCATAATGACCCATGACATCCTGATGCTCGCCAGCATTGTTCATCCCGATGTATTCCTGCAACAAGCCGTAACTACGCGCGAGATCCGCGATGTCGTTCAAGAACGCAACATCGGCGGCAAGCACCTTTTCATCATCTTCTGCCCGCGTCCAGCCGTGGTCCAACCCGATGCCTGCAGCAAGTCAGCTCTGACATAAAAGAACACACGTCATGTCGGAGATTGTCTTACGACACTGTGCAATCTCTTTGATGCCGAAAGGGTTGCTTCCACGGGTCCTCGAGGCGACTATCGCTTTTGCTGGGATTGGATTGTAACTCAAAGTTAGACATATACCTGGGATAGTCTCCAAAGAAGCGTAATGAACTCGCCAGCGTTCATAGATTGCAGCGTACAGCTTTGCGTCAACACCAACGGTGATCTGGCCGTAGTTGTATCTGTGATGCAAACGATAAGTCATCGCCCATCTATAAACATAGTTCGCAGGTGATGGCTTGGGCGCACGCACCTGTTACCTTTCTTGAAGATCAATCCAGCTCCTGCTTCTTCCGCCATCTTGGCAAGAGGCTGGATCCTGGTCGTGTCTCGCGTCGCGGGAACATTGAACAGTGGATCCAGTACCTTTGGATGATGCGCTTCTTCAACAGAGTGATTAGGGTGGAACAACGCTGCTGCTGCAATGTCAAGCCCGGTACACGGCTCCTTCAAGACCAGAAACGCCACGTCAGCTACAGGATCCGTTTCATGCGAATTCGACTGCATCTCGGCGATTGCTGCGATGGAAGCCCCAACTTGCGAAGAGTCGTAGATCAGATTGCCGCCCCAGGAAGAAGTCGGAGAAAGAGGGATTGTGTCCATGCCATAGCGGGTCACAATCCCAAAGTTACTCGCGCCCCCTTTCAAGGCCCAGTACAGATCTGGGTGGCTCTCTTCATTCGCGTTGACAATTCGACCATCGCTGAGAACGACCTCGAAATTGCGAACGGTATCGCACGACCAGCCATGACTGCCGAGAAAGAAGGAGCTGCCGCCTATGAACAAGTCACGTTAGTGCTGGAAGGCCGAGCCGCATAATCAAAAGATGCCAGTACCTCCTTGCATATAACCACCAACTCCGACATCCGCATAATGTCCACCCGATACCGCAAGATCAGCAGGTTCCAAAGCTCGATAGACCTCTCCCCAACGACAACCAGTTCCAACCTCCGCAAAGAGCGTGGAGGAATAAAGCTTGATTCCATTCAGACGCTCCAATGAAAATACAATGTAATCCTGTGACGCGGCATCTCCCAAAGACTGAAGCGGAGAATGGCCTCCACTCCGTATGGAAAATCGTGTGTGGAAGTATCGAGCGATACGAAGACCGATGGAGACTTCTGAAGCGTTATGGGGGCGAAAGAAAGCACCAGGCTTGACCCAGACTCGTGATGACCTGTGGCGATGTTCTCAGTATGTGTCACCAGATTATAAAGTGTTGTCAAGTATGCACTTCCAAGCGTGGGCTCACCAGCTTCGTTCGACCTGCTCGTCAAAGTCATCTTGTTCAGTTGTCACAATGGTATCAGGGCAAGCATGGTGCATCGTTAGTGCTGCGAGGGCCGTGGAATTCTGACGGTTTTGCTTTGTAGTAGATGACCATGAACCAGCCCGTAAGAGAATGCTGTGTCGCTTTTGGATCTCTTCCGCTGGGCTGCCGCCAACTCCAATGTCAGCGAGCAGCTTCCTCAACCCAGCACATGAATCATCATCCCGAAGACCCGCCATGTTTGGATGAGGCCAGAGAGCGTGATGAAACAAAGAGGCTACTGTGCAGTCAGCGCAATAGCATAGTACATCACCCACCATCTGGAAGTCCGATGTGCCGACTGGAGGTCGGCTCGCGAGTCATTGAATGTGGCATTGCAGATCTTATAAACACAGCATGCCCCGATCGAGCGACCGTATTCATCAGAATGGACTCTAGGGCTTTCTGCCGCTGTCCACGATTCATCTGTTACCACCTTCGAATACCTTGAAAAGGTAACAGATGGACCATGGACACCGACGAAAAGCCCTAATGTCTGGTCCTGGCAATCGGCAAGGCGCGGCGGCCTACGTAAGGCGCTTTAGCGCTTCTGATTGGTCCAGAAGTCTCGGAAGGTTGAAAAAAGCGATTGCTGGGGTGTGATTACATATCGTGGGCGAGGATGATGATGGGGAACGTGATGTGATGTACTGCATGTAGTTAGATGAAAAGTCGTAGGATGACATCTCATCAAGTTGTGGGAACCGATGTTCTACACAGAATACCGTGTTTTGTTCTGGCCTCTAAGCACAATGTCGTTGAACAAACAACCACACATCGCGTTCTCATGCAGCACGCCTTCAGCCACCTCCCCACGCCGTCACTTGAACTGCTTCTCATAGCCGTCTGCAAAGTCCATCTCCTGCTAATGCGCCCGCAATAACGCTATCACCTCCTCGATCGACAACTTCCACAAAGCGCCGAACTGGTCACCCTGTCCCGCCCGCAAGGCTCCTTTCAAGATAGGAACAGGCTTGATCGCATCCAAAGACACACCATGAAACAGCAGTCCCCTTACGATCTTGATGGCAGCATACCTCGCCGCAACAGTCAGACCTAGCTTTTTGTGGTTCATCACATCCTCCGCTGTAGCTGGCCAGTTGCTTTGATATCCCGGATGGGTATTGAACTGACAATCTTCGTCGTAATCGATCTGCAACCTCTTGATAAGCTGRGCCTTCTCCTTGCCGATTCTATCTAGCCACTCGAGGAGTACGGATAGCTGCCTTTGATAGAGAACCTGAGGCGCACGAGCCTTGTTTGTGCAGACGTACACAGCGTCTCTACCCTGGAATCGACTCTCCGTCCAGAAGATGAGCTGTGCTTCCTTACGAATCTGCTTGCAGGTGAACAGAAGATTGGGCTCGGCAGGGAATGGACGACGCTTGATCTGGACTGGAAGATGAGAGATCATGGCGAGTCGGAAGATCCTAGTGCGAACGGCTTCTGGCAGGTTGATCAGTCGGGTGTGCTGCGCTTTCACCACGATGATGTTGTGATACTGCGTCGCCGGGCGAGAAACGGCAGGATTGACTTCGGATCTGGTCAGGTCCATGACTCCCATTCCGGGAATGGGAGCTGGTGTAGCAGCAGATGGAGGCGGGACTTGCGACGGTCGTTTCTTGGATTTGGGTGTGACCTCGGTCTTCACTGATGCTCCTGTTCCAGCGACCCGACGAAACGCTGCCGCCAGCATGACTCCACGCTCAGGCGTGGGTGGCGGATTCATCGTTCTCGCTGAAGGTGGCGCAGTGAAAATTGGTGCGATTTGCGGTGACGAGTGTATCTGGTTGTGGCGGTCAGTGGATGATGACACGAACGGAAGTGCAAGTGCAAGGTACATGTAGGTAGAGTGGAAGATGGAAAAAGGAAAAAAGAAGCTGCGGTTTGAGGAAAGAGCGACGCTCTTCACGGAGACGTCACGTCCCTCATTCACTTGAACCAGAACACATCCCACCGCTAGCGACGGACAACAGCCTGGCTCGTGCGCGGTTTCGATCGATATCGATTAGATCGTATCTGTGGGTCTGCTCTCGATACCACGTTGAAGTTCGCAGCCTTCATGGTCGACAGTTAGGAGCGCTCTTACGATTCGCCCCATCTGAACGAGGACATCAAGCTTTTGACCCACGACACAGCAAACAACCGTCTTCGCAGTGGCTTTGAAGCAGAGAGAAAGTGTATTCTGCATGCTTTGCCTCACATGTTCAATGCCCTCACTCGCAGAAAAGCTGACAGGATGGGAAGGGAGTGAACTTATCATTTYAGAGTTGCAGGTCTCAGGTCTCAGGTCTCAGGTCTCCTGTCGTTGGATTTACTTCCTCGCGTCAAAATCATCACGCGTCTTCTTCATAACAACGCCGTCGCTATGCCCCATTGATCGTTCGACATCCCAGAAAAACCAGATCATCGCTTAGGCTGCGCGCCGCCACCGCCCATCATCTTCATGAGTCCTCCCAAGTCTGGCATGCCACCACCACCACCTCCTCCTCCTCCGAACATATTCATAAGAGAACTCATGTCTGGAGCGTTTCCTCCTCCCATTTGCTTCATGAGACTAGCCATGTCCATTCCGCCGGGCATTCCCGGCATGCCACCACCGCCCTGTCCCATGGCAGCCATTCGCTTCTGCATCGCCGCCATCTGTGCTTTCTGGTTTCCACCTCCAGCCATCCCTTTCATCTTCTCCATGTTTTGTAGTCCACCCTTCATCTTCTTGGCCATGCCCGCCATCATCCTCTGCTGCGTCAACAGCTCCTCAACCTCTCTCACGCTCGTCCCACTTCCTCTCGCAACGCGCGTAATACGTGTTGGTTGGTCGACAAACATCTTGCCATCAGAATCCAGCTCCTTGGTTGTCATAGAGTCACAGATGTAAATCATGCGCTTCAGTTTCAACCCGGCGTCTTCATCATCCATGCCTCCCATCATTCCGGAAAGACCTGGAATCATACCCGCCATCTTGGAGAGTGGTCCCATCTTCATGATGTTGGTGAGTTGGTCCCTCAAGTCCCTCACAGAGAACTTGCCCTCGGTGATGTTCTTCATCGTCTCTTTTTGATCCAACTTGAGGGACTGTACATGTTCTACTAACCCCTGCATATCTCCCATTCCCAGCAACTTGCTCACAAAGCTCTCCGGGTTGAACTTCTCCAGATCCAGCAAATGCTCACCAGTTCCGATGAATACAATTGGCGTGTGGGTCGCCGCAACTGCGGAAATGGCACCACCACCCGCGGCAGCTCCATCCGTCTTCGTGATGATGATTGCTCCGAAATCAGCCGTAGCCTTGAAAGCCTGCGACTGCTGTTCCGCCGCCTGGCCAATACTAGCATCCAACACCATGACCGTCTGATGTGGTTGCACAGCAGCCTGAATCTCTACCATTTCTGCAAAAAGCGCATCCTCCTGGTGATGTCTTCCGGAAGTATCCACAATGATGATCTCGAACCTCTCCTTCTTGAATTTCTCAACACCCTCCCTCGCGACCACCACAGGGTCTGTTTGCGTCAGAGATCCGTAGTAAGGGATCTTCGCCTTGGTGGCATTCTGCTTCAACTGATCAAAAGCTCCAGCACGGAATGTATCGGCACACACAAGACAAGTCTTGAATCCCCTTGCCTGATACCATCTCGCCAATTTCGTACAGGTTGTGGTTTTACCCGCACCCTGCAATCCCACGAACATGATGACATTACTCTTTCCCTTCTTCGCTTCGTATGGCTTCTGGTGAGGATTGACGATATCCACGAGAGAGTCGAAGACGGCTTTTTGGATGATGCGCTTCTTGTTGGCATGTGCGGGCAGTTCGGAGAATTTGACGGACGCTTTGATGGACTTCCGGAGGGAGGCGACGAGTTTGATGTTGACGTCTGCTTCGACGAGAGCGTTGGAGATTTCCTTGATCATGCCATCAAATGCCTTTTCATCCAGAGTCGCGGAGCGGGTGAGGTCGTTGAGGGCGCMATTAATGCGGCGGCCGAGATCTTGAAGAACCATGATGGCGGTTGGTTGTGATACTCCTGGGTTGCTGCAAAAATGCCCTGGCCCAAAGGAGTAGTTGTAGAAAAGTGGTGGAGGAGTTGAAGTGGTCTTGTGGTGGAGAGGTCAATTGAAGTACCTAGGTAGAATGCGGGCCCTTGGGGAAAGGCGCGTGAAATAGAGGGCTTCGGAAGCGAGCCGAACAAGCGAACAAAATTCCAGATCTCCAGTTCGTCCGATGCGAAGCAAGACCTGCCGACATTTTTCACATTCTCCATCACTGCTCAACATTATGCCTCCAGCACCACAAAAACGACGCCGCAACGGCGAAGGCGAAGAGCGACGACCGAAGAAGAAAGTGCGCAAGGTCAAGAAGCAGACGGATTATCACAGCTCAAGCGAAGAGTCCGACGCTGATGACGGTCTTGCGATCAATGTACAACGTGCTTCGGATGCGCCAAAAGGATGGCCTAAACACGTCAAGGAGGCGGTGAAGCCAGCAGGAGGCAATGCCGAGCCATTGGGCAAGAGAGGGGCGGCACAGGAGGCCATGGCCGCAAAGAAAGCGAAGGCGGAACCGAAAAAGTCCATCTTGAAGGCAGTACCACAGAAGGTGGAGGAGGTGGAGGAGGAAAGCGAGGACGAAGAGAATGATGGAGTCAAAGTGGACGAATTGGAGAAGAACACGGCCCTAAACACATTCCCCGGCGAGGGCGAGGACTCGGACGATGAGATTGACGACGATGAGCTCGAACTGGACGACGATGAGCCCGATCTTGATGCGTCCTCTTCCGATGACGACTCAGATGCACCCTCAGAGACGGAATCTGCCACATCCATGACCTCCTCACAAGCAGCGCGGAACAAGAAGAAGCGCAATGATCCCACAGCTTTTGCAACGAGCATCTCCAAGATTCTCGACACAAAATTGAGCACCGCCAAACGCAGCGACCCTGTACTCTCGCGCTCTAAATCAGCCGCCGAGGCCAACAAGACGCTTGCCGATCAGAAATTGGAAGGCAAGGCCAGGGCACAGATTCGCGCGGAGAGGGTGGCAGCGAGAGAAAAGGGACGGGTTAAGGATGTTCTGGGAGTCGAGACGGAAGGCGTGGACACAGGTGCGGTGATGGAGCTGGAGAAGAAGTTGAAGAAGACAGCACAAAGAGGTGTCGTCAGGCTGTTCAATGCCGTCAGGGCGGCGCAAGTGCAGGGCGAGAAGGCCCGGATCCATGCCGCCAATACCGGAGTCGTGGGAATGGCAAAACGGGAGGAGCGAGTGAATGAAATGAGCAAGCAGGGTTTCCTCGATTTGATCAGTAGTGGTGGAAAAGTGGTTGAGGCTTAAGAAGACAGAACTAGGAGTCGGGAGTCAGGATTCCTTTCCGTCTAAGAGCTCATCGTTGGCGGTGTATCGCAAAACAGTTGTACGAATGGGTCGAGGAATGCTGAACTGTGGTTGATGAATCCTGGAAAGCTCGTTTCCAAGACGAACTCTCCTTCGCCTTGGCAAAATCTTTCACATGCCAGCATTCCTCAAACAATCTCGGGTTCTTGCCCCTCCAAGTGACAATGTCAACGTATCTCCGTCCACATCTCACATCGAAGACCCGGATTCTCTCGCCTCTCGGACCATCTCCGGAAACAAAAGCAGCTCCACAAAGTCTCCGAAGCGACGTGTCTCTGGACAAGTGATCAACAGATAATCCTTCCATGAGTCATCTTAGCTCCAGCCGGACACAAACAGCAGCGACAAGAAAAGTTCAAATTGAAGTCCACCCCAGATTGAACTCATTCACTTACCAAACCATCAAGGTCTTTCTACCACTCAATCCAACAATGTCTGAACAACAACTTCCATGGCCACCAGAGACAGGCGTTTGGAAGACATATCCCATGCACTGCCACTGCGGTACCATCCGCTGGAACATCACCATCTCCCCACCACTTTTCCCCTCCGACGACCCCGAGAATAAAGGCACATACGCAGCCGTTGATTGTCATTGCTCATACTGCCAACGAAATGGAATCCTACCGATTCACCCGAAATCAGCCAATGTAGTCTTCACACAGGGACTGGAGGAGCGCAAAGAATATTTGACGGCGAGTAAAAAGTGTCCGCAGTGGTTTTGTGGGCAGTGTGGGAGTTGTATTGGGACGGATTTGAGTGTTTTGGCAAAAGAGATGGGGATGGAGGGGAGGTATTCTATTAATGTGAGTTCTTCGTGCCATTTTATTGATCCGTGCTGATTTGTGGTGCGTGTAGTTGAGAATGCTCAAAGACTTTGATGTGAGTAAGATTGAGGTCAAGAAAGTTGGTGGGATGGATATGAAGGATGCGCCGCCCAAGTATCCGCCTTTTGAAGTTTGAAGGCTGGAAGATTGAGAGGTGAATCTGCTTCTGCGTTGAGCACCTGCATTAAGAACACTGGCATTAAGAGCACTGTGCGGCTATTGCTGTATTACCGGCCTTCCTAGGACTTTCCATCTCTCATAATCTCTCATTCCTCGATCCTGGACAACCTGCTTGTCATCCACTTCCATGCGCCGTCTGTACAATCGGTCTCAAAACTCCTTCGATCCTGTCGTAATCGTCGTATCCTCAGTCTCTGCTGCACAAGCATTACTCCATGCTCATTCCTCCATACGGTCGATTCCCAGCAAAGTATCAGACACGTCGAGGACACTATCCCTACGCTTTCTCTCCACTGGGCCTCCTCCCTGCTCACAGATCGCATGCTCCTTCATAACCTCCATTTCCTCCTCCTGGAGCTTCTTCTCAGCCTCCAACATCGCGTACTCTTTCGCCACCTGCAGTTCTTCCTCCTGTCGTCTCTTCTCGGCCTCCACCTGTTGTGGCTCCTCCAAGACCATGTACTGCTTCGCAACTTTCGCATCCTCCTCCTTTCGCTTTCTCTCAGCCTCCAGCATGAGTGGCTCAAACTTCTTGAGCGTACGCTCGTCTGCAGCCTCTGACGAGAAATACCAAATCTTCTCCTTTCTGCCTCGAGGTTTGAGAATTCTGTATTCTCGCATTTGACCGAAGAAGTGGGCCTCAAATCCATGCTGCTTGAAGGCGTCGTACTTCAGATTGCCGGTGGTTTGAGTCGGCTGGCAGTGCCGAGCGGCGCGCATGGCGAAATCACGGTATTTGCCTTTGGCGAGTGTTTCCGCCTGATTCAGAGACATGACTGGCTGAAGCTTGTGGCTGACGGGGTCCATGGCGGAGATTTGGAAGACGCGCTCGACGAAGTTTGCTACCGTCTTGAGGCAGAGTCGAGGAGCGAAAATGAGCAGCAGATCGTGGAGTGTGATGCCATTGGGTGGGATGGCAGCCACGATTTCTTGCTTCGAAGGCAGTGTCAGGTAATATCGGTCGGAAAGGCGCTGGGAAAGAACATTATCCGCGCCGACCGCTGCTGCGAACGCCGCCTTGTTCGGCAACGTCACTTGAATTGGTGTCTGAGGTGAGTCAAATCTGCCCACGATCCCGCGGACTTCAGCCTTGCTCATAGCTCTTGGCTGCACTTCGCGGGTGTTGACGGCGGCGAATCTTCCAGAGGGTGGCATCTTGGACTTGGCTTTGTTTGTGTTTTTCTGCTTGCGCTTTGCGCCGGCTGGTGCCTCGACTGGCGCCGGGGTATGTGCCTCGACTGTTGCCGCAGTTGGTGCCTCGACTGGTGCAGCGACTGGCGCCGCGTCATTGTGGAGTTTTCGGAGCTGGTCCCATGCGGCCAAGATGGTTTTGGCTTCCTCGTGGGTGGTGAAGAGTTCTGGTGTGTTTACATCTGCCACGCACATTCTCAAATACAGAACGCGCGCCGCTCGCCTCGCGAACAAGAAGAGACCGCCCTGAGAAAGCAGATAGGTGGTGGATTGTCGCCATTCGGCGAGGGAGTTGGGTGGCGGCCCGAAAATGTACAGTGCTGACGTCCAATTCTCCTGCTGGACAGGGCTGAGACCGCGGGCGAAGGTCATGGCTGCGAGGTTGTCAGTGACTGGAAATGGTGCTCGGTGCGCGAAAAAAAAAAAAGGCAAGTGTGATGTGGGTGTGCGCGTGCAGGGTGGAAGGTCAGATTTGAAAGTGGGTGGCGTGTGATGCTGTAAACAGCGCTAGCGGGAAGCTTAAATTCGTGAATGTGAATCCTGATGCTCTGGGAAGGTGGGACCATGCGAACTTCGAGCAATGTAATAGAAGCACTCGGGCTTTGGAGGGTATCTGGATGGATTACATTGGGAGTTTACACAACTCTGGTGATCTCGCTGCGATCTCCGCCGGTTCTACTTGTAGCTTTCTCAGGACAAGCTCGATCTTCGGTGCCGCTAGTAGAGATCTGATTGATTACGCAACGAGCAGAATCCATGTGTACATCTTAGACAGCCCAGCCCTCTTGTCCTGCGACTGATAGCTCGGGACACGAGGAGCTCTCTCGTAATACTAAAGTCTGAGATCATCTCGAAGGTCAAGTACTACGTTGTAGCCGGCGGCTACTCGACATCACGTACGCGAGAAGCAGATACGCGCAGATGTTCAACGTAGCTACTCGGTTCCCATGGCATCCCTATAGCCTAGCGGGTAGCTACGCAGATAAGTATCCATCTATTCCTCTAATAGAGACAACCCTGAAGGAGACACCGATTTACATAGTTACCGCAACGTGATTTCGCGCAGAGTACAAGATACTCGAGGTCGCTCTACCTCGTGACTTTGTAGGGAGGGTCTTAGAAGGCGTCTGAGATGCTCAAAATTCAATGCTTTCGCGAGACTAAGACATATGAGTGAGTCTTAAAGCTGGCCTCCTATAATCTAATAAATATGAGAGGCACTTCTCTGAGTTCTTAATATAATTATACTTAGTACGTTCAATTCGTTCGACATCCGCAGAATGCAATACTAGAGTCGTCGATCTTAAACAACTCGGGATCCCAAATCCAGAATTCCACACCTTGTGAAAKCCACATTTTGCTATGGACCTTACTACGAGAACAGCCTTTAGCGAACCCGCTAGAGACGCGGCGTTTCGCTCTAATGTATCGTTACAACTGTATAACAATTCATCGTGAAACTCGTTAACATAAAGCACATCTCATCTATGCGAACGTCTTGTCGGTAAACATGTGCCATCGATCATACATCAAAGCTTCCACGAATGAGCTATCGACAATGAAACTCAGGCTTGGCTTTGACTGATCGCCCAATCGTATGATTGGTGTCATGCAGCAAAAGTTGCCAAAAAGAGATCATGCCAAGATTTCGTGCCAAGCTCCCACAAACAAAAAAAAACGGGAAAAGCTTCATTCACTCATCGATCAACACAGCTTCCCACAGCTTCTACAGCTTCCAAAAATGATTGACCTACGCAGGGATCGAACCTGCAATCTCCTGATGCCATTCTAGAGGGTATACACCCTCAAGATCGTAGTCAGACGCCTTGCCATTGGGCCAGCAGGCCATACCATGTATTGGTTGAGATGAGGGAGAGCTAGATTGTCTAAAGAGTCTGCACGCTAGCGACCGAGGAGTGTCCGACAGTGAGCAGGGTTCTGTGAGACATTGTATTCTTTGCGAGTTGACGATCCTCCAAGAGCTGTATCGCCAAAGCCTTGCCATCGATTGGATCACTGCTTCTTTCAAATCAGTCATGACGGTATAGTACTGAAACACTCACGGAAATCGATACTCAGCAAGCCTAGAAATTCTACCCCCAGTTCCTCCTCCGTCGAATCCCCATCCAATTCTCATCCGGCTTCTTCGAAAATCCCTCATGAGACTCCAACTCTGTCTGATACAGTTCAAATTCATATCGATGAAAAGCAGTCCCAACAATCAACGCCAACTCCATATGCGCCACATTCTGTCCCACACACGCTCTCGGGCCAAAACTAAAAGGATTAAAGCTGAGTTTCTGCCTTGGAGTGAGATTTTCCGGTAGCCATCGATCCGGACGGAATTCCTCGACATCTGGACCCCAGACTTCTGCTAGGCGATGGATGGTGTAACTTGGTACGGATAATACGGTGCCTTGAGGGAAGAAGTGGTCTTGATATTGGATTCCACGGGGGGAAGTGACGATTCGAGGTAGTCCGATGGCGGATGTTGAATGCAATCTCATTCCTTCATCGATGCAGCGGCGGAGAAATGGTAAGCTGCGAACTTGCTCGTAGGATGCAATGTCAGAGGAAGCTGGGATGGTAGTGGCTAGTTCAGCTTGTAGACGTGAGACAATCGTTCCTGGCGCTCTTCGCTCGCCGTGCATGATCCAGTAGAATAGAGCGCATGCAGTGTTGGATACCGTGTCAGAGCCCGCGATCAACTCCGTCAAAGCCTATCAATCGTCAGATCACGTCACACATCATGGAATCGACTGGGAAATCTCACCTCTGAGACCAACTCATCTCGAGGCATCGGGTTACCATGAGCGTCTTTGGCCCGTACAAGCATGTCAAGTATATCATGTCGCTGTTTCTTTTCTCCGCCAGCTTTCACCTCGGCATCAAGTCGCTTCGAGACCGCTACTTGGGCGATTCCGTGGAGATTTTTGACGGCTTTCAATCCATTGCTGAAGAACGGATCGGGGAGATATCTGGCCCACGGCTTCAACGGTAGCAAAAGACCCAAGGTAGAGCTTATTTCTCCTCTACGGTTTAGTGTCTCTGCTCCTGAGGCAAGTACTATTGGTCCATGTGGTACGAGTTGGGCTTCGCATTCGTCTCTGCCTTTGTCGACCATACCGAAAGGGGCTCCAAAAGCGAGATCACCGACTGAAAATGTTAGTTAGAGTTTCATACGCTTCACTGCAAACTTACTGATATCGAATGCGAGAAAGGTGCACCAAGGCATCATATTGATCCTTGCAAACCCGTTGCGAGATGTTGGATGGGACGATATCCGGTCCAATTGACGGACCCATCGCCGTAGGTTATCCGCCATGTGCTGGTCGGTATTAATACACAGCTCTTCGATTCAAGGCGGGACTGGAGACGTACAGTTTCGAATGCATGAACAGATCCAGGGGAGAAAGCATGTGCAATGATTTTACGTTTGCGGGTATGTTCAGCACGATCACGTACATTGAACACCCCTGGGACTCCCGACACAAACGCTTCATAGAAATGACTGTAAGAAAGTTAGCTTCGTATCATCGATCCATATTTCAATTCACGCACTCTTTCAAAGTCGAGGCCTCGCCGTGCGCATAGACGACTTTCAATCCCTCTGGCTCAGCGATGGAGACATGGTTGTGACCAACTCGGACGATGGAACCATATTTCTCGTGAGCMCAGTGTACCCATGCGAACTTCTTCCCCTTTCYGGCTCCTAGGGCAATCCAAGTGTTGCTGAACTTTGCCACGAGTGGTCCCGGTATGCGTCTGAGGTTCTTGTTCGTGGTGAAGTATGGTAGAACGTAGTAGAGAATGAGCCACGCGGGTAGGAACAAGTAGACCAAAGCGATGTACTTTTGAAGCGCCATAGTGTTGATTGTATCACTCATACACTGAGTTCAATTGAGGTTGAAGCGCAAGAGGTTCGTCAGCGTAGGATCGATAATAATGATGGTCAACAGAACAAGCTCTCGGACCTTCTCATGTACCTCAACCCACTTTGTGTATCCTAGACCCGCACATCTCCGTCAGCTGAACGTACCGGGGTGTTTATGAACGTAGGCAGGGAGCTGCAAGCAAGCTGCAGATCCCTCGAGGAGCTTCTCCACTGGTTTGTCTTCCCCCACTCTTGTCGCTGCCTATCACGGATAAGCCGAAAGCCTATCGTAGTCGCATTGAAGAGCATTCAGCAATGTTCAGTCGTGGCGGCTCGCGGTATAGCCGAGGGTGGAAGCCGCATTGCAATCGTGGAGGTCTTGTATTGACCTCATGAAGCTATCATGGAGAGTTCAATACCCAAGTCTCCATACGTAGCAGAGCTTCACTCTCGTCATTCAGATTGATTCACCTAGGTTGATAATTGCCTCATATCCATGATTCATTCCATATATCTCGCTTCGAACTAGAATGCAGAACCACGATGAATCCTTCCACGGAATTCGAGTCAAGCGGCAGACGGCACGCTCAAAAGAAGAACAACTGAATGTAAGCACAGCATTCCTACTACTGCAATGCAACAAGTCTAACAACACGTAGGTCATCATTGTAGGCGCAGGGCTGGGAGGTCTAGGAGCCGCCATTGCTCTTCTCTTAGCAGGCCACAAGGTCCATGTCCTCGAGTCTGCAAGCCAGATCGCAGAGGTTGGCGCCGGAATACAAGTTCTTCCCAACAGTGCTCGGGTCTTGATTCAATGGGGACTAGGACCTAGGCTCGCCAGCCTGGCTACAATCCCAGAAGAGGTCGTAATGCTAAGCTGGAGAAGCGACCGGATTACATCAATGAACTTTGCCGATGCCGCAGAGGAGTATCAAGCTCCATTCTGGGACTTCCACAGAGCGGACCTCCATAGTGCCTTGCTCAATCGAGCTGAAGAGTTGGGAATGACATTCCAGACCAGATCCAGAGTAATACATGTCGATGATTCCGATACAAGGCGTGCGACTGTGGTCCTGAGCGATGGTCGAAGAATGTCGGCCGATCTAGTCATTGGTGCAGATGGCATTCATTCCAAGTGTCGCGAGGTACTGCTTGCTGGACCCAGTCCTCCCACACCGAGTTGTGACCTCGCTTATAGGGTGCTCCTCGATACTAATGGAATGCGAGATGACCCAACCCTCGCCTCTTTCCTCGAAACCCATCAAGTTCGCTATTGGATGGGACCAGGCGCTCATGCCGTCAGCTACAAGCTTCGCCAAGGAGAGCTCCTCAACATGGTTCTCCTAGTACCGGACGACATCCCCGAAGGAGAGATGACCGTCAATGCCAGTGTCGAGGAGATGCGTTCGCTATTCGCCGGGTGGGATCCACGCATCTCCAAAGCTCTACAATATTGTAAATCAGTGCAGAAATGGCGGCTCTGCTACAGACCAGGATTGACCCGGCGGTGGTACAACGCAAGTGGGAGCTTTGCTCTTCTTGGTGATGCTGTACATGCAACTCTTCCATATCTGGCGTCTGGAGCTGGAATGTCTCTTGAAGACGGTGCTGTACTGGGTGAATGCTTCGCTCGGATATCTGGAACCTCGGTGGCTGATAAGACACTGGCGTTATCAGTGTACGAAGACTGCAGGAGACATCGAACAGAAAGCATTGTTGAAAGAGGTAATCTGCAGCAATGGCTCTATCATCTGGATGACGGCGAGGAGCAGCGGGCAAGAGATGCCCGCTTCAAAGCGTTCGGCGATGTGGAGGAGCTTCTGAAGAGTAAGGATCGATCCCTGGAAGATGGTAAACTGCCCGGAGGTCTTGAGGAAGGGTCCGATCCTCTAGCGTGGAGGCGTAATGGCGTCGGAAAGTGGCTGATCAACTACGACTGCCTGCTTGATGTTGAAGCAAAGTGGTCAAAGCCAACAGAAGAGGTTTTTCGGCTTAGGCCATCTCTTTGACGATATAGATAATCAACTTGTTCTTGAATTGCAATCTTTTCCCGGCGTAATGTTCACAAAGTAAGCCGCCGAACGACCCAGCGTCTGACTTGTCGATTGCCCACAGCTGGTAAGGACTTTAAACATGTCCGTGGGGTCGAATTTGCTTGTCCTACTCATCTCAGGTGATCATCAGAGGTTTGAAGGTAAAGACTTGAATCGAATTCCCTCATTTGGTCGAATCTCCTGCCTCCGCACAAGCTTCTGTCGTATTTGAATGCGATGCTGGCGTTGGAAGAGCATTTCATAGCGATCCCAGTCGGGTGAATGATGGTCGAACCATCAACTCTGATGCAGTTTCTAACTCAGGTTCAGGAATCCAGAATAATACATGTGCAGCCAAGTTGCAGCTTCCAATGCTGAATTGTCTACGCCAACATTCCATCGACTGACGTTTCCAATATAACCATCTGGTCTGACATTAACAATGGCTACCTCATCGTTCGCCATGTTCCCGATCCACTTTTGACGGCAGCTAGTTGACCTTGTACTCTGTTCAGCCAGATCGTCCAAGTAAATGCTCCATCGACTCTGTTGGAAGATTCTAGGCAGACTGGCAATCTCAAATTCGGACTTGCGTGTCTCGGTCAACAATGCGAGTGTAAGCAATTGACTGCAGGCTGTGTACCGCTCAGGCATGATGTAGCCATCCGCATCGCTCACAGGGTATGGCCGCTTCGTGTAAGAGGTACCGTGAAGCTTGTTGAACGGCGCGATGATTGCTTGTGAGATCTCGTCGGCAAGAGCTTCCAGAAATGGCAACGCAGCGTTCACATCGGGACAGATGAGGTAGACACGAAATTGACCAAGCATCGGGATGTCCAGCTGGATATCCACCGGATTGGCATCGATGTACCGAGTGACCTTTGCAGGTAGCAATAAGGATCCTGGCTGAATGATCGTGGTATGCTCAGGGTGACCATTGATAAGATTGGGACCATATTCAGCACCAACACCCGAGATGAAGCGAATGTTCTTCAAGAAGTTGGCCGCAAGTGCTTGCGGATCTCCATCGTGGAATGCATTCGCATGCTCGTAGTCGAAGTTTATGAGATCCTGGGCGATCTTCCTGCGTTCCTGTTCGTATGTGGAAAGGAGCGCAGGCTGCGAGATGCCCCTGACAGCCAGATTGAGCTTCCAGGCGAGGTTGAGAGAGTCGTGCATTCCAGTGTTCATGCCCTGAGCGGCTTTTGGAGAGTGCGTGTGGCTTGCCTGAGATATGTCAATTCTGTACAAATTAGGCCGTTGGGTAGAGCACAGCACTCACATCGCCCGCAATGAAAACACAGGTTGTTTGGTCCGTGAACTTGCTTGCGACTCGCTGGCCGATTGTGTAGACTCCGAACCATTCTATGTCTGTCAGCATTGTGCCAGAGGCTTTGATGTTATGCGTCACTCACCAACGCTAGACCACTCCAATGTAAAAGGCTGTAGAATCTCGCGGGCGCGCTGCATGACATACTCCTGCGTGGCCATCTCTTTCGCAATGCTGCGTCCATTCTCTGCCTTTAGCTCGATATACAATCGGGTCATGTTTCTCTCCCGTGGAATGCACAAAACATTGCCATAGCTTTCGGAGTAGACCACAGCCTTGCTCCAGAGATCAGGAAAGTCCGTAGCAATCTCTCCATCGAGGACTCCCCATATGGCTTCCGAACTTGCTCCTTCCGCCGCCACTCCCATAGACTTTCGCACCTCCGAATGGGCACCGTCGCAACCGACGAGGARATTTGCATTGACATGAACCTCTGAGCTGACTGTTGAGTCTCGGTACGTAATTCGCAACGCTCTCGCAGCGTCAGTGCTGTAATCATACGACAGGAATTTGGAATTCCTTCGCACATCTACTGCTCTACTGTGCAGGTCGTCCAGGAAGACTTCTTCAACCATTCCCTGGTGAACAAGCAGGATGTAGGGATCCAAGAGATCCACGACTGGTGGATAGTGAATCTGCCTGCCAGTCCTTCGTAGCGCACTTTGCGAGGACGAGCTCCAGAACGCAATGTCGTAGATCTTTGCACCGCGCTTGAGAAGGCTGTCCGACAACCTCATCTGACGTAGTGTCTCGATTGTCTTTGGCTGGATGCCATCTGCTCGTCCAGTGGATGTCTTGTCTGGTCGGTCGTCCAAGATTATGGTCTTTATACCAAAGCGCACGAGGTTTGCGCTACGAGATATCAGCACCGCAGTTGGTTATTAGGAGCAAGCATAAGGTACATGCATACGCAAGCATTAAACCTGCCGGTCCGGCTCCAACAACAACGACATCACAGTCGTTGCCCTCACTGGACTCTGTCAATCTGCTCGGTGACATCTTCCTGCGTATGTTACGAAGACCTCCTTCCGGGCGGTCGGCCTCATTGGAGATATGTCTCTTCCGTGTGTTCAACATGTCTTCACGTGTCGTGTGACGTTGCCGCCATCCAGATCATCGGATGCCACCACTTTGGAAAGTGGCACTGCATGGAAGGTGAGGGCCGGCTGTTCATCTTGATTGCTCTGTGGATAGGCGTGTTGTCATCCCCACTTCTTGCCCGCACACATCGGGCAGGCGATGATCAACGAGGCGAACCTACCTTACCTTAGGACCTACGTGTTCATGGACTATGGAAGGGTCAAAAGTGGGAGAAGTGGGTGGATTTGTCATGCGTCGGCAAAATTCCGGCATCTACACTCCCCTCATCACCTCACCTGCATGCAACTTGCAACGACAGGGGCTGCTTATCGTCGCCCGATCCCCATCATGGGCAAGTCTACCCCTCCCGCTAGGCCGGACTGTAGCAGTCTGACAGCAGAGCGACGGCCATCTTGACGGGACTCGGACTCTTGCAAGCAGATCTGGCCAACCATCCATCTTTACCATGGGCAAGAAGAGAGTTCTAGTGAGCTACGGTGAGACCAGCAGAACAAGACATTATTGTCTTGAAGAAGCTGACAGGAAGAACCGCAAGGCGTTGATATTGATGCGGTAGCGGGCTGGCTGGGTTCATACGGTGGCGAAGACTCAACTTCAGACATCTCTCGTCAGATCTCTACACAAGCCTGACCGGTAGACTAGCACTGACATTGAGCAGGAGGTCTTTTCGCTGGAAGCATTGGGACCACCAGACTGCTGAAGTTGTTTGACAAGTACCAGATCAAAGCGACCTGGTTCATTCCCGGTATGCTGCAAGTACATCGCCAGGCAAAGCTGGTACTGACAGGTCGTGGAGGTCACTCTCTCGAGACGTTCCCCGAAGAGTGTGCTGCGGTCAGAGATGCCGGACACGAAATCGGTCTTCATGGCTACTCGCAGTACTTAAGGCACCACCTCTACAGAGTGTGACCCTAAGCTAACAGCGTCGTAGCGAGAACCCCGCAGACATGACTTTCGAGCAACAGCGAGACGTCCTTGACAAGACTTATAGGATGTTGACTGATTTCTGCGGCAAGCCGCCACGTGGAAGCGTCGCTCCGTGGTGGGAGACGAGTGCAGAGGGTACTGAGCTAATGCTTTCCTATGGCATTGAATATGACCATTCCATGAGCCATGAGGACTGTCAGATGTACTGGTTGCGTACTGGTGACTCTTGGACCAAAATTGACTACACAAAGGATGCCAAGACCTGGATGAAGCCTCTCGTCAAGGGCAAGACTACCGGACTTGTGGAGATTCCTGGTATGTACTGTTCGGTCTTGCTTCCTCTCGCACTTACTTATGCGGTTTGACAGGATCCTGGTACATTGACGATTTGCCGCCGTGAGTGAGGCCAAGCTTTCTGCTTTTCAAAAGGAGTCAGCTAATCGCTTCATAAAGCATGATGTTCATTAAGAAGAGCGCGAATAGCCATGGATGGGTATTGCTGATCTATTCCATGGTGGCTACATGATTTCAGCTTTACTAATGATATACGCCAGGTGAATCCCAGAGATGTCGAACAGATTTGGATGGATCACTTCGACTACTTCTACAGAGAATACGATGAATTCATCTTCCCTATGACGATTCACCCAGGTGGGAGAAGACACATATCACGCGAGCAGAGCTTCCCATGCTAACATCGCCTTTAAGATGTGAGCGGACGACCTCACGTACTCCTAATGCATGAAAGAATCATTGAACACATCAACAAACACGAGGGTGTTGAGTGGTACATGACTCCATGCCTTTAGACGTAATGTTGTATGTTCACTGACGTCGTTTAAGGGTCACGATGGAGCAAATGTGTGATGACTTCAAATCGAAGAACAACCCGCCCGAGGGTGCACTGCTCCCAGCTACTCGTGAAGAGGTTGAACGCAACATTTTAGGCAAGGCTTGAAACTGCGCGTGGTCAAACTAGCAAGAACAAGTAACAAATCGAACAAACATTTTACACTGTGCATCTGCCGATTTTGTCCAATCTTCCAAGAAGACTGAATCAGGGACTGGTTAAGTTGCCCTACCAGAACGCACCGGCACAATCGCCATCGCTGATTTGCCTCTAGTGRAGCTCCCTTGTCAATTCTTCGTACTATGGGAACCCCCACCCTTGGTTACAACAAGCGGTTCTACTTCAGTTCCTTTCGTCCACCCTTTTCCTGTCTTAAACACCGCAAGTTGGATCTTCCCAAAGCATTCATCTTCACTCCAATTCAGAATGCCGTCTGCAATCACACCGCCGCCTTACACGCCTCTTCGGGACACGACATTGTTCAAACCCACCAAGCTAGGATGTATCAATCTGGAACACCGTATAGTCCAGGCTCCCCTCACTCGCATGAGAGCAGTCAAAGAAAGCGACGGCGTTCATGTTCCCGGTGATCTTGTCCTTGAATACTACCAGCAGCGTGCCAGCAAAGGTGGTCTGCAGCTTACCGAAGCGACCGACATCAGCCACTATGCAAGCGGCTACCCAGGCATTCCTGGTCTCTTCACGGAGTCTCAGATTCAAGCATGGAAACGGATCACAGATGCCGTTCATGCCAAGGGTGGATTCATCTTCTCGCAGCTGTGGCACACAGGTCGAGCATCTCCGTCGAGCTTCAGGAGCGGCCAGCAAGCATTCAGTGCGAGTGACATTCCGAWCTCTGGAAAGGCTCTCGACGGGACCGAATACAGCGATAACCCACCACGACCTGCCACTCTTCAAGACATCCATGAAGTCACGAAGAACTTTGCTGAAGCCGCGAAGAAAGCCATTTCTGCCGGTTTCGACGGCGTCGAGATTCATGGTGAGCACTCTCTTGTGGGACATCGATCCATTCTGACTAGTTTGCAGGCGCCAACGGATATCTGCTGGATCAGTTTCTACATGACAACGTCAATCGACGGACAGACCAGTACGGTGGCTCAATCGAGAATCGCTGTCGATTCCCCTTGGAAGTCATCGAAGCGGTATCCAAAGCAATTGGCTCTGACAGAGTAGGGATCCGACTCTCACCGTACAACTATTTCCAAGACACAAAGGACAGTGATCCAGTGTCCCATTGGTCGTACCTTTGCGAGAAGATCGCCAGTCTACCCGCAGATGTACGGCCAGCTTACGTTCACAGCGTGGAGCCACGGTTTGATGAAGTGCTCAGCGAGGATGCCAAACTTACATCCCTTTCCGGGGAAGCGGAAGCAACTCGAAAGACTTCGYACTCTCTGGACCCGTTCCGGAAGATCCTCCAGCAGGGTGGAGTCAAATTCCTTGCAGCTGGCAATTTCGACCGAGACAACGCTTTGCCAAAGATTGAGGCTGATGCTGCAGACGCTATCGTGATGGGTCGATGGTACATTGCCAACCCTGATCTTCCAAGAAGGCTTGCAGATGGATTGGAGCTGAATCCCTACGATCGTACAACATTCTATGGAGCCGATCCACCTCAGAAGGGCTACACGGACTACCCATTTTTTGGTGACGCAAGTCAGTAAATGCTTAGCTAGCATTACGGCGGATTTGTTCTCAACAGGCGAGGAACGACTTGGATCTAGGCGAGAGACGGGTATGCATCTCATCTGCAGATTAGAATAGAGCTACATGTAGCGTCCCCCACCTTTGATACATCCCATGCCTCGTCATTTCCCTACCCCACTCTTCTCCACAAGTATTGATCGACATGAGTACAGGTTACTGCCACTCCCATCCTTGACTTCTGTGGACATGGAAGTGGCATTTACGCAGTCACCGTTCTGACACTCGCCATGTCCACCACAAAGCAACCGAGCAAAGCGGATGGCCGCATTGAATGCCAATTTACTGGTTGTACACGCTCATTCAGTCGCTATGAGCATCTTCAACGTCACGCTCTGAATCATGCGGACGGTGACTACACTTGTGCCAGATGCCGTGCACATTTTAAGCGACCTGATTTGCTAGGTAGGCTCACCTTTACGTATTCTGAGATTCTGCTAATCGAAGGAGATCGCCACATGACGAGACATCGCCAGAAAGACGCCGAAGGCAGCGAGCTGATGACCCGGAAGCGGGCGTGGAAAGATCCTGAAGGTCGAATTGTCAAGAAAAGACCTTTCTTGGACAGCACTCAAGACGTCCCAACGACTGAGGTATCGCAGACGAATGTAGTGACCGTTCCGCTTCCACCATCACCTCCTGGAAGTGCTTCATCCAATCTCGCTGCATCTCCGAGCCAGCTCTTCGACCCAACTCAAACATATCATGATGGCTTTGAACAAGTAGACATCCTCCAGCCTTGCACATTCGAGGCTACCGGTGGCCAAGACCTTTTCTGGGAGAGCATTCCACCCTTATCCGATCCTGGACATAGTACTGGTCCATTGGACGACATCTTCATGCCTGATACTGCAAGTTCGTTCAATATGCCTTACACCACCATGACGAATTACAATTGGCTCTTTGATCTTTCGCTGGATCCAGAGTTCCACTCTGATACATCCCTCGGTCTCAACGTCGTCCAGAACGACCAGCCTCGAGCTCCTCCTCAACAGGGTCATTCCGAGCAGATTGCACGCGAGAAGCATCAGAACGCTGGTGCAATAGGTGTGTCTTCAACCCAGGGCAACGGCAAGGAGAAGTTGAGCTGCTCCTCCTGCTATCAATCTCCACGCAAGGTCCTACAGGAAACTCCCATGTGTCTATTAGAGCCCAACAAGCAATTGCCTACTCTATGTGACCTCACGCGAGACCGAATTCTGAAAGTCATCGATCTTTGCAGACCTACATCTCCGGATGGTACGTTGCATCCCCTTATACACCCAGTTTCACCGCTCTAATCTGACGTTATACATTAGGCAATACCATAACCAGTTCTCACCAGCTGCTGACACTTGCATCTCTCCAATCTTACCTCGATCTATTCTTCACTCGCTTCAACACGGTGTATCCTTTGATTCACCTGTCGACATTCAACCCAACAAGCATTGAACCAATTCTCTTACTATCGGCCATCCTATTGGGAGCAACCTATGCCGACAAAGAGGCTCATCAGCTTGCAGTTTGTATTCATGATGTTCTACGGCCCTACATATTCAGCTGTCCTGGGTTCAATGCACGAGCGGAGCTTCCAATCCTGCAGGCTATCCTACTGACAGAGTGTCTGGGTAAGTCTCGAGCAGGACAACGTCAGCACGATATGAGCCATCTATTCCATGGACTTCTTATCAATCTCATCAGAAGAAGCGAATGTCAGACCGCCGACCCCGAGACGGTGGGCAAAGACTTGGATGGCGATATCGAGTCTCACTGGCGGAAATGGGCGGATTTGGAGTCCAAGAAGAGGTAAGTTGTGATCAAATTCACATGATAGACCGAAGCTGAAAGTGAAAAGGCTTGCGCAAATATGCTTCATCTGGGATGTTCAGCATGCAGTACTATTCAGTCAGTCGCTGTGCATGTCAGCTTTTGAGCTACGAACAGCTTTGCCTTGCGATCAGTCAGTTTGGGAGGCCACATCTCCACTGGCATGGAAAGTCGCTTGGAAGACACAGAAGCAGACATCTCTCAATCTTCTCGCTGTGCTGAAATCATACCTGAGTCCCCATCGAGAGGTAACGCAGCGCGATCTCAATGCCATCTCCAGAATAGTTATTCTCCACGGTCTCATGTCCATCTCATGGGATATGGAAAGACGGGACCAGACATCGCTAGGATCTTTGGGCAACGGAATCGTCTCTGGATCCTGGCGTGAGCGAATGATACAGTCATATGATCTCTGGAAGGCAGACTTTGATCGGTGCATGGTGGATATGAAACTCCAACTCCCACCCACGTCAAAAGACCCAGTCCCTAGCGAGGAACTATCTTGGAGACAAGGTCTCGCGACTTACGAGATAACGAGCAACGCTATATATCACGCTGCGAGTCTAGTCCTACTATCAGAGATTCTCGACCTACAAATCTATGGAGGAGCCAGACACATTCTAGGTCGACCAGTCTCCAGAGCGGACTATGCTCGTTCGCAAAAGATTGTGAAGCGTTGGGCAACTGAAACTCCCAAGCGGGCTATAAAGGCAACATGGCATTCTGCATGTCTCTTGCGAGATTTCTCAGAGAGCAAAGAAGAACCTTTCATCTCCGTGGACGTTTTTCATCATCCTTGGACTATCTTCCTGGCCAGCTTGACGCTTTGGGCATTCTATCAAGCACGACCAGCTGATAGTACTGATAATGACGATGAGATGATATGGGATGCGAAAAAGCACATGAAAGAGCTCCTCGATGGGATTGTTGGACTTGATTGTCACGGCCAAGAGCTGCTTGTTGTCCCAATGATACATCGAGGGAGTAATTGTACTGCGGGACTTACTGCTACGGTTGTGGGTCATTTGAGTAAAATTCGTTGGGCTGTTGTTCATGATGGTATGATGGTTTTGAAGGGGTTGGTGCCCTGGAGGTTGATTTGTGAGGATGATGGACGGAAGTAGTATGTACCAACGCTTTATCTTGGGATGATATGCCTCGTACACACGCTTGGTCGATCTAATAGTGGACGAGTGTGATTGAATATCTTGTCGTATCGATTTTAACTTGTGAACGGCAAGCTAAGAGTGTTTCCATACATTCCATAAGCGATACGTTCCTTGATCGATTATCAACGCCCGATTATCTTCTTTTCAAGAAGTCTCAAAGGAGGGAATAGTAGTGCTGCCCAACTCAATCCAATGAGAAGCCCAAGATCACTCCCATAATCACCAACCATCAAGGCGATTGGGCCAACGAAGTAAGTCTGATACATACCCAATACCGATCCAACATAGCTCAGAAGGAAAGTCGCGAGTGCAGCAAGACCGATAGGTAGCTTACTTCGATCATTCCAGTCAGTCCAGTTGTATCCAACTTTCCTCCGAAAAATAAACTGCTCCTCCAATGCTAGAAGCAAAACCCCAATTAGCGATTGATTGTCCAAAACGACAACCTCCGACAATACTTACTAATCACCACCCATATCGTACACCAATACCCCATAAGAGATAAAAAGCTCTGAAAGATATCATAGAGGTGATTACGCCCCACGGCAGCGCATACGGTGTACACAAGGACCGCAAAGCTATTCCACACCATCCGAGGCACTCTCAGGGGCCAGGAACCAAGACATTGAAAGCCGAGTCCGCAGGCATATGTTCCAGGAGCGTTGTTCGCAATCACACCTAGCATCACGATCGTCGCGAGGAACTTTCCGAAACCGCCCAAAGAATCGAAACTAGCGACCAGAATGGCGCCTGGGCTTATTTCGTTGGCAGCGTACCATGTTGGGTTGTTGGGAATGCCGGAAGCAATGCCAATACCTAGGTATAAGGTGAAGAGATATCCCAGAGCCTCACCCGCCCAGGTGAGAAGAAATACTAATGTCTTGGGAGTGGTTTCCGGATAATAGACGTAGAAGTCTGCGGCGGCTGGCGCCCATGCACTTGTAGCTCCTAGACAGAGGGAGAACATTGATAGTCGATTTGCTGTTATAGTCTCGCCGTYCCCAGTCGATGGCTTTGACAGATCAAAGTGCGGTCCGGCACAACCCGCCAGTATTAGTAGAGCTACCGCTTGGGGTATCCAGCCGTATCGTTCGTATATATGTAGCAGAGGTAGTCCAATAACAGTGATGGCCCATGTCACAACCTGGAGTTGAAAATCAGCTGCATCTTCGGTATTAACACTCATTGGAAAACTTACAGCAACGATGACCACTCCTACGACAATAGAGAGATTCTGTCCCCCTGCAACAGCAGATATCATCTGGCCACCAACAACGGAATCGATCACGCCATATCCTATCATAATGACAAGATTAAGCACGACAACCAAACGGCTAGGCCACCATCCCATATGATAGCGCGTTACAATCTAGCAAGTGTCAGCAAACAAACACAAGGGGTCTAATCATAACAACTTGGAACGCTCTCTCTCTCTCACTCACCATCGTTCGATTCCCAGACTGTGGTCCAAAAGTCGCAATGTAAGCAGTACATAAACACCCCGTCAAAACGCCAAAAGTAGCACATAGCGCCGAGTCCAGAAATGATAATCCATAGATTTTCGGTCCTAGAAGACCCAGTGCTAAATGATTGGCGGTCAAGTTTGCGCTTGTCCAGAGTGATATCATTTGTATGTATTGTGTTGATGAAGCGGATTGTCGGGCATTTGGTGGGACTCGAGATACTCCTCGTGTCTCTGTGAGTTCTGAACGGAGGGCTGTCCAGAATTGGGTTGTTCGAGAGGATTTTATTGGGGTGATTTGACCTTCGCTGATGGAGGCTTTACTGGTTGTGCTGCTTGCTTCGAATTTGGTCGTGGAAGTTATCTCGCCTTTCTCGGGGTCGTTCGTTGGGTCTGACATCTCGTGTGAAAGTGGTTGGACTGTCGGGTAAGAGCGCGATAGTGTTTGTATAAAACGTAATTGATCTGTGAGGGCAAGGGGAAAGTTGTCAAGTCGAGATAGAACGGGCAAATTCAATAGCTATTCTTGAGCACAGAAATGCAACATGACCACCAGCACGACTACAATGCCGAGCTGTCCAAGCCATAGGTGAGTCCTTTACATCCTTGACAATCTGTCCACTTGTGCCCTGAACGGCACGCTATCACTTGCTCAGCGTACTATCTGCTATCTGTGGGTTTTGTATAGATCAACCCCTGAAAGGGCCCAGGTGGCGATCCTTGCAGCTTTCCGTATCTTCCCACTCTTGAATCACCATGGACTTTACCAAAGAGTCGGTCCTTGTGATTTGCGTCGAAGTAGGATAGGATGATGTAGCTTTTGTGGATGTCTAGGGCGGTCTTACGAGACACTGTGCAAAAAGTCACCAAGGCATGAGGTGATGCGCATTRCCAGACTTCCTCACGGTAGACTGATGAATACGATTACTGCTAGGAAGCGAGGTACACAAGGCTAACATGTGTAGCGGAGAGTCGATGTGCCTCGAAACAGCGTCACTTTGAGTCTTGAGGGCCCGATGCAGAAAGGGCGACATTTCCGGCTGTGGCAAGCGTGGTGACATTCTTTCAATTCAGTGTGCTATCTATCGTATTTGCAAAGCTTTACTCATTCATGATCAAGAACCTACTCTTGAATACCTCGATCAACGGATCAACGATGTCCTCGCACTTGATACGTCTCTCAAATCTTGCTGTGACATTCCTAGTAAGTCATCTTCAGCCGCTGGACCAGATGTTCACCACTGAGATCAAAGGTCAGCATCTCTACTTTACTTATTCTCCACATGAGATCAGACTCACCAATTAACAGGCTCATACTTCTTTGGCTTATCCGGTCCAAAAGTGCCCGGAATAGCATCGATCATGCTGTCGTGATTGGGATGGCAGAAGTAAGGAATGGTGTATCTTGCCGGATGGACCTCTGCCGTTGTTGGTGGCTGTACAACGCGATGTACAGTACTCTTAATGCTATCATTTGACCATCGAGCGAGCAAATCACCTGCATTCACCACAATGGTTCCTTCGATCGGCGTAGCATCAATGAATGAGCCGTTTGGGGATCGGACTTGCAAGCCTCCCGCCATATCCTACAGATGTGAGCCTTCATCCATTGATCTTCAAGTCATGGAGACTTACTTGAAATAGGAGTGTTATGCTTCCGTAGTCAGTATGGGCTCCAGCTCTGACTTGATGTTCGTTCTTCTTGAACACCTCAGCACGAACTTCGGGGTAATGCAGCAAGCGGAGAGTGTTGTCTCCCCCATCGCAGTATGCATCGAACCAATGCTCATCAATGTCCAAGCCTACGGCAATGGCACGCATGATTTCCATGTGGAGGTTCTTGCATACATCGAAGAATTGAATCATTTGCTGCTTGAAGACTGATCCGTCTTGGTCAAGAGGCCAGTGATTGGGAAGTCCTGGCTCGTTTTCTCTGCCAATCTCTATGCTCTCTTTGAGATCGGCTCCCTCTTGTGCTCGAACATCCTCTATCTCAGCGGCTGATGTCAAGTCGGTGACCTTTTCTCGTCCCGGTTGGGAGTAACCTCTGTTTGCCTGGAGGGTGATGGATGTTAGAGACCGTTTCATTTGTATGATGAGTCAACAACTACACACTTCAGGGGTAGTCCAAGCCAGAGCATCTTTCTCCTCTCTTGGCCTTTGAAAGAACTTGGCCGACTCTGCAAATGTGGCGTCGACAACAGCCTGGGGAATTCCATGATTCTTGAGATAGATGAAGCCTGCGGTTTGAAAGCCGTGAAGAACTGCTTTCGCAGTGGTTGTTTTGGTGGATATCTCGTTCGATTGAAAGGCTGAGAAATCAATGAGGGGAATATCAAGACTGTCAGACAATGACACGGCAGTGGTTACAGCTTGAGGCTTCATGCTGAATGACAGTGAGGGATGTTGTGTTTCAACGATAGAGTCAGTGTAAATAGATGCTCACCCTAGAATTTCAATGTGTTGATGTATATCGTCAGTAAGTCTTGCTCCCACAGAGTAGACGAGCTTTGGCCACTCTCCACTCCCACTTCTGGACTAGGTGATTGCCAAGTATGTCAGCATTAGTGTCCGTCAGTCCGGGGTTTGAAGCATCGAGTGAAGCAACTTATCTAGGCGACCTACTTATCTATCGCGACCGGCTCCCACTTTTGCAGAAGCATTTCGGCTGAAGCACGTCCAGGCTCGACTCGCTCAAGTACGGCAGTGATGCTTGAAGACTTACCAGGCACGACATAGGGCAAAAAAAGTGGAATTGACGCCGGCTGATGCCAACAGAGGTCAGGATAAACCTTAGCATCCTATGTCAGGGTAGATAAGGTGCCATGACCTCCAAGGTACCCACGTGATGTTGGCATGTGACGAGTATTTCCAAGTCTTGGCGCTAAAAATTTCCGCTCAAAATGGATTTTTGCGTCTATACAGACACCAAAAGGACAACAACACTCTCTACAACTGGCAAAAGAAGAGCAGAGCCTTCCAATGGTCCCTAAGGGGGTCGAACCCTCGACCTTGGCGTTAACGATTAAGAGGGTTCGACCCCCTTAAGGTATTAGCACCACGCTCTAACCAACTGAGCTAAGGAACCAAGTGAATGATTTATGTTTGTGAAGGAAGGTACAATTTATCTAGCTGTTTACAATTGCTCCGACGAAAAGCCGTCATCAGAACAGGGAGGCTATCGAACTCATGCTATACCTATCTTCAGTAAAGATGTTCGTGGTAGTTGACCACCATTTAGCCAACACCTGCTTCTCGAAGCTTGAACAACCCGCATCGGATGACTACTGCGAACTCCACTTGTTGCCCGTGCTCAACCGCCGATCCCCAGACTTGAAAYGATGATGTCGTCTATCGGAATGCCAACATGAGCTCACCATGACCGCGTTGTACCAAAAACAGCTTATTTCATGATATATGGCTAGGCCTAGATCTCCAATGCTACGGTAAATGCACAGATTCCAACAGACTCTCTCTTCGCTAGCAACCACAGTTGTTCGCCCGATTCCCTATACTCTCACCTCCCAAGCAGCATCGCGTGCCGCCCTGATCTCTCGCACAATGGCATCGGCCCCTTCACCCCAATCGCTTCCAGAAGCACCATGGAAAGCCGAATTCCTCGCCAACATCAAAGAGATGGATAGTCCCGAGTTCGTCTTCAGCTCATTGGCACCTGCGCCAAAGGGCAGTACCACGGAGTATCTTCCACGAGCTCGATATTGCATTTATCGATCGATGTGGGCTGAGTTGCCGGAAAACAAACACAATGACGCTCCCATGAACGACCGCGTCTACGAGAGTGACATGCCCTCGTTTTCGAGTGATGTTCGTATGAACAAGGTCTTTGAGCTGTTCGCGAGCTCTGCTGGAAAGGCCGACGATACTAGTCTCACACAGGGGAGTGGTGGAGGAGGCCCTTGCGAAGCTGTGTGGTGGGTAAAGACGGACAAGACCAAGGTGCAATGGCGTATCAAGGGACATGCGTATGTTGTGGGAAATGATATTGAGGACGACCAGGAAAGCAGTGGAGTGAGGACTGTCAAAACTGAGCTCTTCTCTCGTATGCGAGTGGTTAAAGAGGAGGGCAAGCATGACTGGAGTTGGTCGAAGGAGTTGACTGGGTATGAACGACTTCATGCTGATTTACATGACATCGAAGCTGACAACCTGCATAGCCATTTCGGCAACACATCTCCAGGAACGCGAGGTCAGTCTTTCATGCAACATCTGATGTTGCGTTTGGCATCGTACACAAAGATCAATTTCTGACCAATTCCCTACAGGAACATTCAAAGCACCCCCTCCAGGACAGCAAGTCGACAAGCCATATAGCAAAGACTTGCAACCCGGTCAGGTCAAAACTTTGGACGATGAGACCGCRAGAACCAACTTCCGTGTTGTGGTCATCAAGCCGGATGAAGTTGAAAAGCTTGACTTGAGCAGCTCTGATCCTAGCGAATCCAGACGATATGTGTATACGTTTAATGGACAGTCGGGAAGCTGGGATATGGAGGAGTGCTGGCCTTGAAGTGATTACATAGCAATGTCATGCTGAGTGGTCCTCATGCGTACCGTATCGAGTGTCTGGTCCTGGTTCAATCCCCTGAAACGACTGCATTCCTTCGCAAGTTCCACAGACACTATACTTGTAATGTTAGAATGATGTTGTTATACGTGAGCTTGCTCGCAGCAAGATCTGTGCTCAGCCCTCGTAGCGTCGGACATTCAATTGCGAAGCACTTCGTTGGGCGTCGAGCAGTGTGTACCGAGAGAAGTGTGAGCATCCAGCAAACCAAGTTCCAGGCGGTTTTGGGTCTGCATCACCAAAAGTTCAAAGCGTGACACCAATTTGCATGGGCTTGTATTTCGGAATCAGAAAAGTGAGTGAATTGACCGAAATTGAGCAGCATGCATCAACAACATCTTTGAGTACCAGCAGAGGCGACCAAAGTCCGTGGTATAGGAGGTCTTATACGATGCTCCAGCTCCGAACTTACAGAATGCATCGTGATCGTGGTTTGATGTTGCTGCTACTACCCCAACCCTAACCCTAAACTGTCAATTCAGCGATGGAGAGGTCTCAGACCAAGATACTAATCGACGACAACCATAGATGGATGAAAAAAGAGCTACATTCACCTCGCCTGAAGCCACAGCTGCGGCGTGACGCTTTATAGGGTACAGAGCCGACAAATTGTAGCTTCGCGGAAGTTTTGACTAAGCTGTGCAGTGTGATGTGCCTACATACTTAGGCCATTTCTCGGTAGATTGGGTACTCATCGCCTACTTCCATAGGAATAATGTTGAAGCTCACGTACGAGTCGATGTTCTCTRCAGAAAGTGTCAGTATGTCTTCATCAACCACCTCAAGACACCACATACCAGGTTCAAGTGCCACAATCGCCAACGCGGCATTCTTCTGACGTGTGCTGACTCGGTAGCTACCAGGCGGAAGCTCAACATCAATACTTGTGGAGTTGGTGGTTACCGTAGACAGGATCGCGCCCTCGTAGTACGAGTCTCCTAGCAAAGCAGACTCAATCGTGAGAGCCTCCACTTGTCCGCGGTACGTGTAGGGAACTCGCTCAACTTCAAGCCCGGAAKCTTCGAGACGAGTCACCAAATCAGCCCACGCACGCGGGATGATATAGGCTTCAGGTCTAGACCGAGTGAGGTTGGCGGTCACTGGAGTGGTGGAGTAGAACTCTACAGGAACCTGTACCACATCACCAGTCTCGTATTCAACGAATGTCCAGTTCCTCATTGACTTCTCGGTACCATCGGTGATGACAATTGGGTCATTGCTGGAGATGAAGCTCTCAATTCCACCTTCAATGGTTTCGAGAACCTGCTCCGCATTGTCGACAGCTACCTGGACGATGCTTTCAAGCAAACTCAGTCCAGCAACGGTACGACGATGGAACTCCTGATCCGCGATTCCGATGCCACGCATTTCAAAGAGGAAGGTTACAGACTGAGTGAGGCCCATTCCGTTGCGGCCAATCTTGGCATCACTGCCAGCTTCGTAGTATGTGATGGTCGAGTTGGGATCCCTGCTGCTGGATCCTGTCACGTAGGGTTCCCAACGAAGTCCTTTGGCGACCAAGTCCGCTCCTATCGCGGGCGCAAAAAGCTCCTCCGATAACGTTCGAATGTCTTGATTGATGTTCAGATTCTTCGCGGCAGAATACATAACATCAGCACCTGGAAGATACAGTCCTCCGTACCGAGACGAAGCWCCATATTCGTGCATATCAGCAACAACATGAGGAGCAAACGTTGTCATCGTCTTTTTGATGTTCCGAGTTTGCTGTCTTGCAAGCTTGATATGGTCGCGATTGGGGTCGTAGTTTGTGGCAAGAGTTCGCTGGAAGTATGCAGTTCCGTCGGGATTATATCTTGGTAAGATCATGATATCCGCCTTGTCGAGGACGGAAGATGCCCAAGTCTGATTAGCATCCATCTTTCCCAGAAGTGCCAGAATAGCCTGGTCGCCAGCAGGCTCATTGCCGTGTGCTGCAGCCTGGAGCCAGATGCGGACCTTTGAACCTGATCCATTGTTGGTCATGTTTCCGCTCGCTTTGGACAAGTAAGCATAGGAGAAGGATCTCCCCTCCTCCGATGAGTACTCAGCTGGTACGAAAGACATCCAGTCGTTCTTTTCCGCGAGGCTGTGGATGAAGTACTCTAAAGTGGCATCGCTGGTGGGTGGTGCAGTTCCATTCGTGAAGCCGGCTGGTATTGAATCTGCCCAAGCGAATGCTGGCGATAGAAGAGTGACATTGAGGGATGGGAAACTGGCCTCCACTTGCGGAGGATCACGTCTGATGGCGACATGGTTGTTTCCATACTTTTGTGCAAGAGCAGTGCCCAGCAAGAGGGTGATGGCTGCGTGGTATGCCATGTTGCGGCAGAGTACAGAGATGCTCGCATTCGGAGCGGCAGGCCGGCACTCTTATGAAGAAGGCCAATGCCATAGCGATGTCGTCGTCTTCGTCCGAGTTGCCCGGTCGCGACATGGGTCTTGGAAGTAGTTATCTTCGGGACGCATTGGCAAGCTTGGCTCCTCTAGTAATCTATTAATTGGTCCCCGCAATTTGATCTGGTATTGATTGTGTCCCTCAAGTTTAGCATACAATTGGACGCAATCCCCGGCAAACTCGAGGACATTGGCAATTTTGAGGAGAACCTTATTTCAATCTTCGAGCCTCTTTCCTTGTTCAATCGTACACGTTCAAACAATACGGCATCTGCGTTGTTCAAGTCCATACAACTCGACAGAATTTCACCTTCTGCATTTGAATCTTGGCTATGCGATAGCATCTTGGCACGGCCAGCGGGCAAAGGACGGCCAAATGCCGTGCCGTGTCTTACTTGCTGAAGAGGGTATTGAGTATATAGTCATCAGTCGAAAGCTGTGGGGAAGCTGTGTTGTCGATATGGATATGCTTAGTTCTCTGGAATGTTCGACCCACTTTCGATAGAGGCCTCCCCAGCTTTTGGTCGAGATGAGACGGCTTCAGTCGTGCACCTTTGGCTTGATGAATTTTAGTGTTGATGTGCGATTACAAGAGAGACGACAAGACTGGAGAAGGAACACCGGCTTTGTCAGCCTGCAGAGTCATCAGCCTGCTGACACAAGCTTTGGATGTTGTTGAAAGGGCGTAGTGGTGCTTATCGAAACAATACCCAGCTTTTGACTTGTTTCCCATCTTTCTTTTCATTTTCGCGAGCAACAACAAGCAGGCACAATCAGTACAGCTGCTTTGAACTTTCACAAGAAAGAACGATAACATGACTTCCCGGCACGAGGAAAGCAATTCAATACCAGAAAGCGTCGAACTTTCCGGCCGCGGTCCCTCAGCTGAGCACCAATCCGATGAATGTACGGCGTCAGCATCCGATTTCCACAGTCGAGCACAGAATGCACTGCCTCCGACAGATCAAGGACTCGGAGCGTGGATAAGTCTAGCGGGAGCATTTGCCAGCGGTGCACTCATCTGGGGATTCGCATTCTCCTTTGGGGTCATGCAAGAGTACTACACCAACAATGAGCCTTTTGCGTCCAAACCMAAAGGTATTGCCGCGATTGGAACGACATGCACAGGTCTGATGTATTTGACCATGCCAATCTTTCTTTCAGCATTCCAGAGATGGCCACGAGCGAGGAATTATTCAATGTATGCTAGCTTGCCCATGGTGACTGCTTCACTGATTGGTGCTTCGTTCGCGCAGAACGTACCCCATCTCATTGCTTGTCAGGGAATCTTTTATGCACTGGCTGGAAACGCATTGGTCATGCCGAATATCAACTTCATCAACGAGTGGTTCGTGAGGAAGAGGGGTCTTGCTATTGGTGTCACGATTGCCGGGGATGGAGTGGGCGGCATTGTCATGCCGTTGCTGTTGCAAGCGCTGCTTGGACGATTGGGATTCCGCTGGGTTGGTATCATCGAATTGAATAGTAGGAATTCGAGCTGACTTTCTCCAGGCCCTCAGAATCGTGGCGGCCATCATTCTCGTGCTCTCTGCACCTTTKGTACTCCTCGTCAAGCCTCGACTTCCAATCTCCGCGACCCATGTCTCTCCTCGGTTGGACGTTTCATTCTTGAGCAAGCCAATGTTCTGGACATTTGAGCTCTTCAACACGATCCAAGCACTCGGGTACTTCCTCCCAGTCAACTATCTTCCATCCATTGCCGAATCTTTTGGTCTGAGCGCCACTCTCGGCTCACTCACAGTCCTGATGGTCAATCTGGGCATGGTTTTTGGTTGTATAGGTGTTGGTTCTTTGGTCGACCGTTTTGATGTGACAACGGTTATGTTGTTCGTGGGCGCCATCTCAGGCATAACGGTGTTTTGCATCCTTGGATTTACGACATACATCGTACCATTGTACATCTTCAGCTTGATGTATGGCATGAGTGCTGGTGCTTACTCCACCAATTGGGGTGGCATGATCAAAGACATTCAAAAGTGGAACGAGGGCGCCGATGCCAATTTGGTGTTTGGACTGCTTGCGGCCGGAAGAGGATTTGGGTCCATCATCTCGGGTCCCCTGAGTGAGGCTTTACTTGCAGATGGCAGGGTGTGGGGCGATGCTGCTCCATCTGCGTACTCTAGCGAGTATGGTCCAATCATCATCTTTTCGGGGTGTACTGCACTTGTCGGAGGCTTCAGCTGGTTTGTGAGAAAAGCTGGTTTGATGTGAGCTAGTCCACTGCTGGAAGTGCCCTACTTGCTTCGAGAGCTGCGTCGAGAGAGTTTGATTATCTCGCAGATACTGCGCAAAAGCCCAGCAAATAGGCCGCAAACAGGTCATCTAGGGATACGTTAGCCAATCCCCATCACTTGGGAGTTCCCATTGCAGAGGAACGTGGGTCACTGCGCAGTGAAGACCTCAACACTGAAAGTTGGCGTTAGTTTCGAAAGTCAGGTTCAGTCATCATACATCATACTCCAGTGTCACCTTTCGCCTATGTCCATCGGTCTTTGGCTGTCTGCCGATGGACGTCCCAGTCACAGTGCGTGGTAGTCTTTCATGCCTAACCACAKATCGAGAATACCAACCTTGGGAAGTCTCGCTAGTATGTCGATACCCACGTCTTCCGAAAAGCGGCCGCTAGTGTGGTGTCCGTTCTCCTGATGTAGGAACGACGTGGTCCTTATATGGCAAACAATCCGACGAGCATGGGGCAATGGTCAGATCTTCAGAGTGGCACTCGGGCACAGATGGTTGCCGATGCGCGGGGTTGCTCGCCTTCGTATTTCGGCAAGGAATTGATGAGCGACTGCGTTGCAGATCACGAATGCTGAGCTGCCAGTGTAATTCAGTATCGGTATCGGACGTAAACGCTTGGCAAGATGCTTGCGTTCAGCATGCATGTAGGATTGCGGGAACGGCGACGGCGACGGCGATCGCATGACGGACAAATTGCCCGGATATGATCAGAGAAATGGAGCCAGGCGGAGTCCGGTCCAAAAGTTGGAGGGCAGAGAAGCAATCGCACAACGGCCAGCGTGATACACAGCGGATCCGTAAGCCTTGCTTTGAGTGATGCCTCCAATGTCATCACGGCTTTGCCAACTTACATGTGCAGGCTGTTTCGGAAGGTGCCTCGGGTACGCCAGGAAATGATCAAGGCTACAATGCCAACTTGAGCTACCACAATTGGACATACATGGTGCCCGGAGTCTGCAGTATCTGTCTAGACAAAATGGTCCTCCCTGTTGGCCTCAGAACGTGCCTGTGAGATAAAGTCTACGTCAGTCCCGCCGCTTTTGACGCAGAGCTGGGTAGGCTTCCCCATGGAAACCACCAGTAAACCGACGCAGTCGCTCGGCATATGATCCTAGAGGGCACGCCGGGAGTAACATGTTGCAGAACGAGACGTTGAAAGCGCTGGCGAAAGACATTCTCAATCCGAAGGAAGCCCAGGAGGCTGCTGGATACGACTAGGCTTGAAGAGGCTTGAAGATGACGATTGATGATATAGACTGTTGCAAAGTCCTGACTGCGCGGTATTGTCCTGTCTTGTCCCGTCCTGGTAGTGCTTGTCGTGGATGTGGAAGGAAGTGAAGTGAGTGAACCTACGACGCGATAAATTGGAGATAGGCTCGCGTGCCAAAACCACGCCACGACTTTTGACATGTGCAGACGCGAGCTCCCTCCACCGCAGCATTACCTAACCTTTGACATTCGACACCGACAACACTTACCACATGCGCGCGAATTAATCTGGCGGGTTCGCGAAACGACAAACAAGCGTGGAAACTGGCGTGTCTCTTGGATCGAACAACCGACTCTCCGCGCCTGGCGACACCACCTTCACATCGAGCTCGCTCCCGAGCAGCGCATTCGCCATGAACTCGATCTGGAACCCGGACAATGTCACAGACGTCGCGGAATCCGTGGGAATTGCCTCGCTGAACCGCGATGTCGCCGAACATCTGGCGCGCGACGTGGAATATCGCATCTCCCAGGTGGTGGAGGAGGCCTTGAAATTCATGCGGCATGGAAAGCGGACCGCCCTCTCGACACAGGACATTTCACAAGCCTTGCGGCTGTTGGAGGTGGAGCCGCTTTACGGATACGAATCGACCCGGCCGCTGCGGTTTGGGGAAGCTTCCATCGGACCCGGACAGCCATTGTTCTATGTCGAGGACGAAGAGGTGGACTTTGAGAAGCTCATCAATGCGCCGCTGCCCAAAGTTCCGCGGGAAATCAGCTTCACGGCGCATTGGTTGGCGGTCGAGGGAGTGCAGCCTAGCATCCCGCAGAACCCGACACAGGCCGATCAGAGGAATCAGGAGCTGGCCGCCAAAGGACAGGGCTCAAACACCCTTGCAGCAGTCAGTGGGAATGACAATGTTGCCGTCAAGCCGCTCGTCAAGCATGTTCTCTCCAAGGAGCTGCAGCTTTACTTTGAGCGCGTCTGTTCTGCTATTCTCGACGAATCCCACGAGGAATACCGCTCATCAGCCTTTGCATCACTCAGGACCGATCCCGGACTACATCAGCTCGTCCCGTACTTCATCCAATACGTCGCAGATAAGGTTACTCACAACCTCAAAGTCCTCAACACCCTATCACAAAGCATGCACCTCATTGCCGCGCTGCTGGAGAATCCCAGTCTCTACATTGCGCCATACGTACCTTCCGTTGTACCCTCTGTGCTGACCTGTCTGGTGGGCAAACATCTCGGTAATCCAGCCGTGGATGGCCCCACAAGTCACTTTCAACTTCGAGACTACGCCAGCAGCCTTCTCTCCAGCATCGCCAAGAAGTACAGCTCGAGCTCCTCCACGCTCAAGCCTCGCATCGCACGCTCCTGCTTGAAGCACTTTTTGGACTCCCACAAACCTTTTGGCACTCATTATGGTTCCATTCTCGGTCTAACGATGATTGCAGGCGCGGCAGGTATCCGGTCTCTGGTCTTGCCAAACCTCAAAGCGTATGACGCGCATCTCCAGGAGGGTTTGAAGGATGAGAGTAAACGTGAGCAAGCAGAGCATGTCGTACAAGCCATCATGCGTGCGCTGGATCTTCTCGAACAGGATGCCGTGGGAGCAGCGCATACCAACGGTCATCCCGAGGGCGACGCGCTGAAGGAGCGGCTGGTGGGCGCTGTTGGTGAGGTGATTGGCGTGAAAGTCTTCGWAAGTGGAAGACAGACTCTGGTGAATGCTGTGCTGGAGACGGATCTTGCGATCTAGGAAACCAAAGATGATTGCTCTTCTCGACCGGTGTCAGAATCTTCTCACACGATGGCGGGATCTTCTCGAACGGCGTCAAGATCTTCTCGAACGTGGTCCTGACGGCTTCTGGCGATGATATTATTTAGCGAGGCGTTTAGGAGTGGGAAAAGTGGGCTGTGTGGTGTTGGGTCGGGATGGAGTCGTTCTAGTTTGGAACAGTGTACTTGCAAGTGCAGGTGTCTCAAGTTCTTCTATCCACAATGGACTACACTTCGAAAGTTCTTTCACAACTTCGCCTCCTTGCTCCCAGATGTGCCCAGTCTAGCTATTAAAACCTCGACGAACTGCGTGGGCTACACTGTAACCCAAGATACTCCAATTTCCAAACCTGCCAATGATCGCCTGCAAACATGCAGACTTACCTCTACAGCCTTTGGAGGTGACTCTCCTCGACTTGCTCTCCCAAAATGTGGCTTCATTCGTCCCAGAAGATGGAAGATACCTACTCACTCACCTCTGCGCTCGAATCATTCAATCCTGAGATCTGTGCGAAATCGGAAAATAGAATGGAACACTTGTTAGAGTGGTGGCGTCCGCGGACCTCCAGGCGCACGGACGTCGGATCACATGAAAGACATGTTGCGTCGGGCATGTGTCATTCACCCATCCTAATCGAAAAACGGTTCAAAGTACCATCATCTTCTTCGACTAATCCCAGCAGTTCTAGCGACATCACTCCTCACGTTCAATCCGACAAAAGCGCTGCGGAACGTTGAATTAATCTTGATAGATCCTTCAGGACTCCAAAGTTTACCCTCCTGCTTCACGGAATTGATCTCTACCAGTCCAAAACTTCCTCTAAGATTACAGTCTCTATCTTCCTCCTCTTTGCTTCCCCCTCCAAGCTCCACCATCTCCAACCCAATATCCCGGTATCCTCTACTCGCGATCCTCTCCTTGTGAAATCTCAGCGTAAATCTCCACTGAAGTCTGATTTTCGACCACTGGTCTTACTTCATCGTCGTAGTTGATTTCGGAGAGAGTCGCAGAGGTAGCCGACCAACGGCTAGGACTTGACTGCGTATCACTGTCGTCTTCGAGCACCACAGAGTCTACGTATTGCGTGACGTTGAGAGTCGCGAAGTATCATTTGTTCTTCTCTTGCTTGCATTCATTGTGGAGATGCATTGCAGCTGCGAAGTGAAAGATATACCGAAAGATATATCGTTTGAGTCTGCGACTCGGTAAATGCGAAATTCGGCTATGATGGTCGGCTGGGCTGTACTCTTAGCATCCTTCGTAGCAGCATTGTGGTGGAATAGTTCACTTACTCTTTGGGATTCAGGATATTCTAGTGGGAAAGAGAAGTTGCGCAATGAGGGGGTGTCAGAAGTGGGAAAAGAGTTACATGAACATCATTGACTTCAGTTCGTACTTTCAGCTGAAAGCTTTGGAACCTCTGATACTGCGCTCCTCATCTCTCTCACCGCAGAGCTCGATGGGCGATATCCCGTCTGAACTGCATGCCCTCGAATTTGATCTGCTCAACGCCCTCATAAGCCTTCTTTACAGCTTCCTTCAAAGTGGCTCCCGTGGCAGTGGAAGCAATGACTCTGCCGCCAGATGTTACCAACTGTCCATTCTTAAAGTTCGTCCCTGCGTGGAAGAACTCAATGCCTTCCGCTGGCTTTCCGACCTGCATGACCGTGCCTTTGGGGTATGAACCTGGGTATCCATCGGCTGCTACCACGACGGTACATGCACTTGCTTCCTTSACCTTGATGGTCTTGGTGTCGAGAGATCCGGTCGCAGCTGCCAGCATAAGCTCGGCAAGGTCGCTCTCCAGCAAACTCAAGCAAGACTGTGTTTCCGGATCGCCGAACCGGACGTTGTATTCCAACAATCGTGGACCCGCAGGAGTGAGCATGAAGCCAGTAAAGAGACATCCCACGAATGGCATCTTCTCCTTTTCCATCCCACGAATTGTTGGAAGGAGCGTGTCCCTCTCAATTTCCTCTAGTATCTCCTTTGTAGCCACAGGAGCTGGAGCGTAGGTTCCCATTCCTCCGGTGTTGGGTCCCGTATCTCCCTCTCCAATCCGTTTGTGATCTTGAGCTGGAGGAAGAGAGAGGATGGTCTTTCCATCGCTGAGAGAGAGGATGGAAATCTCATCTCCTTCCAAAAATTCCTCAATCACGACCGAGTTGCCTGCCTCCCCGAATTCCCGATTCTGCATGATGTCCTTCAAAGCTTCTTGCGCCTCAGCTTTGGATGTAGGGATGATGACGCCCTTTCCCCCCGCAAGACCATCCGCTTTGATGACCACATTATAGTCCACCTTGTCCAAATGCTGTTGTGCACTCTCATAATGGGAAAAGTTCTCATATCTCGCGGTTGGGATGTTGTATTTTTTCATGAAGTCCTTGGAGAAGGTCTTGCTTCCTTCCATACGAGCGGCCTTCTTACTAGGACCAAATATGTTGACGTGGGCCGCATATCTGGCAAAGTGGTCGGTGATTCCTGCTACCAGAGGAGCTTCAGGACCCGGGATGAGGAAGTTGATGCGGTTGCCAATGGCGTGTTCGGTGAGGCGGGGAAAATCGGTCGCGTCGACATTGGTGATGTTCTGGCATTTGGGCAGGCTTTCTTGTGGTCAGTGAAGGACTTGAAGGATGGGTTTGCATGTTTCCTCACTTTGCAGTCCCGCCATTGCCAGGAACGATATGGATGGCCTCGACAAGAGGAGATTGAGCCAATTTCCAAGCCAACGTGTGCTCTCTTCCTCCATTGCCCACCAAAAGAATCCTCAAAGGCTCTTCCTCTTCTGATGAAGACATGATGTGTGGTGTCGTGGGGTGTTGTTTAGTGTTGTGCTATTGTGAAGTGACTCCAGACTTTGTGCATAACTTTCTTCGAGGCACAAGCTTAAATGTTCAGCCCTATGGATATACCCCACCTTCCCCTCCAACGCGAGTCATGACGCAACGCGACCGCTCGGAGTTCGGCAAGATGATGCACGCTGCGCCCCAAATTCACCAGCCACAACGACGCGCATGTGCTTTGCGAGCATGCTGCACGCCGAGCTCGGTTGGACTGCTTCTCTTCATTCTGCTGCCTACCTTGCCTTTCTCGACAACTATCGGTAGYTGCTATCTACAAAGATGGTGACCCGCAAGCCACTTCCCGCAGGTACCAACAGCATGGATACTCCTACTCCTACACCGCATGCAGCTCCATATCCCACCTCACCCACCGAGCCGAGCCACGATTTCTCGGAAAAAGACGGGAAGAAGTTGACTCGAAGAGATTCAGATGGYAGTATTGCCTCCAACGGCACATGGGACGACAGCGACGACGAGGATGGATTTGTCGCCGTGCCGCAACCGCTGAAGATTCGTCCCAGTTCGCAAGATTTGGCGGGCAAGAAACAAGAAGATGGACTGCCGGCCGCTTTGAGGCCGGGAGGAGGGAATGTGCAGGCGGATCTACCAGCGGCATTGAGACCCGGCCCAGCAGGTGGGAGTAGGAATGAGAGTGAGAATGGTCTGGAAGGCGGGAACCCATGGGCAACAGCAGACAGCAGCAAGAATCCCTACAAACAAAAGATTGGGGAGGATTTGTCAACAGAAAGCACTCAGAACGTTTGGCAACAAGCACAGCCGAGTCATGCTCCACCATCACAGCCAGCACAAGCTCCTCCACTACCGCCGGCAGAGGATATGTCCAAAATGTCCCTACATGACGGTCCGACGGGCAGCTATGAGACGGCCGAGGTGTTGTCTGTTCCCCACAAGGGAATGCCGCCCTTCTCACCTGTTGCACCTCAATCGACCGGCAACTCTACAGAATCGTCCGCTTTCCCGTCTACCAATCCCTGGTCAGGTACTGAAGGTCATTCTGTGCCATCACCGGGTCTGCCTCCCAAAGACCCGCTGCCGCCAGCAGGAAACGCACCTAATCAACCATTCCAACCTCCTTATCCGAATGATGATCCGCCTCCCATTCATAACCAACAGCATTATCAGCCGTCTGTGCAGTATCAACAACATCAAGCCCCGGCCCAAGATCAGCAACAGCATCAACATCAAGWTCAACATCAGGCACCACTTGTCCAACTCCAACATCACCAACAACCGCCTCCCATCCAGCAGTATCAGCCGCCTCCTGGACCTCCTCCAACGTCATCCTTCAATCACGACGATGCACCCACGTCTTCTACCGCAGTGCCTCCCGCCCAGGTCAATGAAACCACTCGCAATGAAATCTACCAAGTCAAACACATTCGATGGTGGGATGCTGCTTCAAATTCCATGCGCAGCTCTCCCATTCTTACCCAAAATGCCAACGGTCCATGTCCCCTCCTCGCTTTGGTCAACGCCATCGTGTTGAGCACTCCTGCAGAGCTCAACACGCCTCTTGTAACCGCACTCTCCGACAATGGAGTCCGCTCGCAAATCAGTTTGGGACTCCTACTCGACGCGCTCTTTGACGAACTCACATCAACAGGGCGAGGCGAGGCACTCCCGGATGTCACTGAGCTATACGCCTTCCTTCTCGCGCTACATACCGGAATGAATGTTAACCCTCGCTTCATCACTCCCGCAATCACTCCAAGAGGATCGCTCGATGGACATCCTTCTGCAGTCAACCACATCCACCCTACCAATCGCTCTCAAAGCAAAGCCGGCGCCTTTGAGGAGACCAAGGAGATGCGACTCTATAGCACTTTGAACATCCCTCTGATTCATGGTTGGATTCCTCCTCCGGCAACTCCTGCTTATGCAGCATTCTCCCGATCCGCACAGACGTTTGAAGAAGCACAAAACATTCAGTTCCTTGAGCAAGACTACCTCGCCCTCCCTCAGCTCGACGACAGACAATCACAAATGCTGGAAGACATTCGCACAATCAAGCAATTCCTCTCGAACTGGCCTACGCAGTTGACCGAATATGGCCTTGAAGCCATCAGCAGTAGTCTCCAGCCTGGACAGATTGCGATCTTGTTCAGAAACGATCATTTCAGTACATTGTACAAGGAACCGAGAGGAGGTGCATTGATGACGTTAGTGACTGACACTGGATATACCTCGCATGAAGAAATCGTGTGGGAGRGTCTCGTGGACGTGAATGGGGCTGCGGCAGAGATGTTCAGTGGTGACTTCAGGACAGTCTCTCATGGTGGGGATAATACTAGAGTGGAGAGGAATGAGGAAGCTGGTGGAGTGGCGCAGTGGGAAGAAGCCCAGAGTGGACAGGAGCAGGGTATCGTTGGCTCAAATGCTACAAGTGAAGCCGTCGCTGAGGCGGAGGTCGCGCCGCCTCTGCCGGGTCCACGACCCACCACAGACGGCCCAACTATGRGCGCCGCAGAACAAGCAGATCACGACTTCGCTCTCGCCCTACAACTTCAAGAGGAGGAGGAAGATGCACAACGTCAAGCGGATGAGCGTAGGAGAAGAGAGCGAGAACTTAGCGAACGCTTCCTCTCAAGTCAAGAAACACCACCTACGATCCCTCCACGAAGAGGGAGTGGAAGACGAACGAGTGGTGCTCCTGTATCTCCACGGCCCAACGGGAGACCGGCAGTTTCGAGACCKGCCGGAGATGCAGGTGGAGATGCTCCCCCACCCAGCTACGAGCAGAGCAGGACTGACCGGGTTCTGAGGCCTGGAGAGAGACCGCCGCAGCCACAGACACAACAACAGCAGCAGCATCAAGCACCCATGATGCACGGGCGTGGTGGTACGAGTAACTCTGCTGGGAGAGGACGAGGTGGTCCAACGAGAGGTGGAACGAGAGGTGGGAGGGGAGGAGGCGTGGGAGGAGCGGCGAATGTCAAGGATGCAGAGGACAAATGTGTTTTGATGTGATGCAGAAGGCGCTTTTGGAGGTTGGTCTCGCTTGGATGGTCGCAAGCGGGAGTGTGTGATGAGAAAACGATGGAATGAGGAAGTTCGATCAGTAGATACCCTTTTAAGCAGCATGCATACCTTTCTGGATATCAAATAATAAGTTTTGTAATCTCATCTGGAGTGGAGATGTTCAGCTTCAGTACTTGTGGAGTAAAATGGTGTAGTACATGGCGCCACGATACCGTCGTCTTGTGTTGATATCCGGTGGAAATAAACTTTTGTTCGACCAATCGACAATCGAACAAACATACTGAAGGGAGACATTGAAGTTGTCCATGTGAGACCGAGAAGGTTAACGCAGGGAAAGGAGAAGAGCTCATGGAGATGGTGTTTAGTGGATCTTTGGACAAGATGGAGATTCCAAGGCGATGAAATCATCGCAAATACTTTCAGCTGATAGCAGTTTTGAATTGAAGCTGTTGATTCCTGTAATCTATGCGGCATCCTTTGCCCTTCACTTCCAATCCTTCTAAAATTGAACCTCAGTTCAACAAAGCAAAGCATTCTAGTCAAAGAGGGTCGGGTCGATCGATTGATTCAGCAAGGTCCAAAATTCATAATCGCCTTCTCGACCTTCTCCTCAATCCACCCGGACGTCCAATTTCCGATCCTTCCCTCCTCGTCCTCTTCATCTGCAAGAGCCTCTCCAACCGAGAAGAACTGCCCGAAGAGACAGCTTGAGCCTAACTCACCCTCCGCAAACATCCACTGAAGACAGTACTTGTCCAATCTGCAGGCCCTGGTACATTCTGCCTTGGAGGTATGGTTTCCCTCCCACGGTTTCCGGGCGCCATTGTCCCAGAGCGGCGTTTCCGCTCTCCGCCGTCCAGCCAGAAACTCTGCATAAACATCGCTAAAGAAATATGGAACACCCTCCTTTTGTTCCATCGCCCAACGTTCGCTGAAGTCATGAATCTGCTCGACCTCATCCGGAGAAACGTGATGCCATGTGATGGGAGGTCGACACCAATCTTGCAGCGACCAGACGAAAGAGTCAGGGGTAGCACCTTGAAGCTGGAGGAACGTCAGACACGATACCTTCCACAACGACCATATACTCACCATCGGACCCGCTCTCGTCAAACGGACTCCTGCTTCTTCAAAAGCTGCCGCAAGAACAACATCCCCACAACAGTTCTTGTTGGTGATCTCTTCCCACCTCCGATCATAGTTCTCCACACCTTCCCTCTCTCGAACCTCTAAAACTTTCTCAACCGCACTTCTCGACCAAACCACGCCGCTGCCTCCATGTGCGAACAATTGCCCGTTGAGCGGACCAACAACGCATTTATTGGCTGCTCCCATATATCTCCTTGGTATCATCAGCATATCACCAATCTCCGCGTATAGAACAAGGCAAACTCACGGCTTGTTCGCATCGAAACTCGACAGCCACCAAATAAGATTCGTCCAGCTTAAACTCGTATCTCCCTCAATCATGACGAACCACTCAACCTCCTCCGGTGCTTGTTGGTAGCTCTCAAACAGCATCGGCATGAACTTCCACTTATCCAAGTCCCACGCACTCTGACTCGCAAGCTCCTGGATGGCATCCTGGTTCTCGGCTCCAAGTTCCTGCAGTTGGCGGTAGACTTTAAAGTCCTGGTGGTGTTGTTTCCACGAATCGCTCACATTCACAAGTATGTCGTGCACAGGGTATCCGGAGAAGGTCTGAGATAGGCTRGAGAGGATGAGAAGATGTTTTGCTGCTGGAAGAGTGGTGTTGATGTGTGCAGGAAGGCGGGAGGAGATTACCGAGGCTCCGGTTTTGAGGACTAGGAGGATGTTGGATGTATCGTGTAACGGTGGAGGGGGAGATGTGGTGATGTTGGAGGGTTCTGGAAATGAGATCCAAGGGATTGAGGATGTTGGAGGAAGAGACAGGGAACAAAGATGCCATGTCAGGAATAGGAGGAAGAATGTCGTGGGGATAGTTGCGTAGCGTAACAATGTGGGGGAGGAGTACATATTGTTGAACAACTGTTGAACCCACAGGTCGAAGGCTGCCTGAAGAGAGTACCTATAGATCATAACTAGAGCTGACATCATCTTCAATGTGAGAAGGTGACAATCTCGGAATCTTCACGGCGATGTTGTCGGATGGTCTCATCTCTCCAGTATTGAGAAGGGCGTCTTGAAGTAAGGTTTCCCATCCCTGTAACGGAGGTGTACGCGTCTGAAGAAGCCGGACATGGACCGACGCCAGATGTTACTAAAGGGAGTTCGGGTGATCTGACTATCCAGATGGCCAGCGGATTCGTCGCAGTCGGTCTTCGTGGTTCATGGGTTAAAAGGGTTCGACCGTCCAGTCCAGCACTCTCCTCGAAAGTCATGGAGAAGAACAATCATGGCACAAGAACAAGATAATGTCGGCACCTACCTGAAGCGCGGATCGTCTTCGATGCAGTGCAATGCCGGTGGCCCCACCGTGCATGTACCGACGCTAATATACATGTTCCAGGAAGTGGTTGCCTCTTTTTGTATGTGCCATGCCATCAGCCAGCGGATATGGAGCCTCGCCGAGGCGTTGAGATTTGCCATTGATGATTGCGCTCTTGGCATTWGGACTGCTGGCATCGCCGCTAGGCGCCGCCTCGACGCGCTCATGGAGATCATGGATGTGCCGGGTGTATAAGGCAGAGCCCGCATCGGATGGTGATGCAGCAGTCGCGGAGAGGCCAGTGGGCAGGAGGGCAAGATCCATTGATGAGGTGGAGTGGACCGAGTACGGAGGAGTAGGGTACCTGGTACCTTMCCGGGCTGCCCACTCTGCATTAGCGTGCATTACAGATCGGCAAAGTCCTGCATCCCTGCATGGCGTGGCGTTCTTCCTCAGCCTCATCCAACTGCGCCTTCCAATTGCGAACTTCACCTTTCTAAGGTACCTTGCCGCCGCGGTATACTTCGCCACATCTTGTTCGAGCGGCAAGCGTGTCGGAGACTGCCCTTTGGGGCCTTGCCTTGATGAAGATGTGATGCAGCCAAGATGTTTCTCATCAACACCAACTCCATGAAGCTCGAAAGTTTCATCGACGTGGAACATTGCCCGGAGTACGTCATTCTATCCCATCGTTGGACCGACGATGAGCTTACCTTCAAGGACTTCGTCAAAGGGCGAAGAAAGGATTCTGTTGGTTACTTAAAGGTCCTCGATTTCTGCAAGCTTGCGCAACGTGATGGATTCGAGTGGGCTTGGGTAGACACCTGCTGCATTGATAAACGTTCCAGCGCCGAGCTACAGGAGTCGATCAACAGTATGTTCCGGTACTACAGACGGGGCAGATTGTGCTATGTCCATCTCGTAGACGTGACGGTCACTCCTGCTGATGCTACTTTCGAAGAGGAATTCCAGCAAACTCAGTGGTTCACTCGGGGGTRGACATTACAGGAGCTCCTCGCACCCAGCAAGATCGAATTCTATTCCAAGGATTGGACGTCGCTGGGCAGATTTGGTCGGTTCGTCAACTCTACTGGCACATGGTACCCCACCGCACAGGACTCATTATTCAGGAACTTGGTGTCCCGCGCTTCGGGTGTTCCACAAGAGTATCTTGCTGGTGAGGGCTCGATATTCGACTGCAGCGTGGCTTGTCGCATGAGCTGGGCGGCGAAGCGGGAAACAACCCGGGGCGAAGACGCAGCCTACTGTCTCCTTGGACTCTTCCAGGTCAACATCCCGCTACTATATGGCGAAGGGAAGCAAAGGGCATTCCTGCGACTCCAGGAAGCGATCATGAAAGTTTCCGATGACCACACCCTATTGGCATGGACACTCGACCATGATATTTCGAATGACAGGCGTTCCTCATGTCACGGTCTACTTGCAGATGAACCTGCTCAGTTTTTGGACTCGCGAGACATTTCCCCATCTCAACCGCGGCGATGGGCGGACGCTGGTCCTTTTGAGCTTACCAGCCATGGGTTGAAGATCACACTGCCTCTACTGTACTATGCAGACGATGTCTATCTTGCGAGACTAGATTGCGAGGCCGCTGAGAATCTCAGTGAGCCTACCATAATCCTTCGTAAGATCTCAAACAGTGAGCCAATCTTCCAGCGCATCTTCTGTGGCGGTCTCACCAGTGCTCGGGGCCGTGATAGTGATTGGACACTGGGAACAATATATGTCCAACAGTTCCAGAACATGTATGATCAAGTCTGGCGGGCACCAAAGGAATTCTTCGTCCTTGATCCTATATCGATTGGCCCTTACCAGCTACAAATGAGCACATGTACAAGCTCCAGCGGTAATGTCAGTAACGTGCGGCGCTCGCAATTGGCACACTCCGAGAGTGGGTTCCTCTTCAGGGGGCTGTTGGATTCCAGATCTGCAACGCTGCACTTGAAGCACTCCACCACCAAGGAGGAGTTGGTGGTCACGCTCTCCGCAATCTCTCGCTACTTTGTGGGATTCAACGCACATCTGTCCGGCACGCCGGCACTGACGGAACCACGACACACAAAAGTGATGGATCAATACATCGACACCAAGAGTGATCCGTTTGAAATGCTGACTGGCGATTCATTGACAGCACGTCCGGAGGTCTGTCGACTGGGCTCGGAGATCAGAGTGCTTTCGCGGCATGGTAAAAGATGGTGTCATCGCGTGAAACTTGGCATCAAGTCGATTCATGAGTACGGTCCGGATAAAAGATATACTCTTCATCTCGACCTGGTATACGAGCGCATCACTGACAATGGTGGTGTGGGCTGTGACTACGACGTGATCGCCCCTTCTGGAATTCATGCCGAGATTCTCAGACAGCCTTCTAGTGTGACGTTACTGAGGTCGACGCATGAGATTGGAAACAGGGGTGGTGGAGATGACGAGAGGAGAGGATTTCGAGTGCAGGACATGCCAACGTCTCGTTAGTCGTCAGATCACGCTTCGTCATCCTCTCAAGTCGGCGTGGGATTGCGGAAGTGGGCAAGCGATATGAGAATCATGCGGTGATGAAGCCATCGGATGCGATGAGGGTCTTCGTGTAGCTGCTGCTGTGACTTATGAAGATTACGCCGACTATGACCGAAATAGGTGACTACATTGCGTCCGGTATGGGAATAACACCACCTTCGAGGACAGAAACCTCTGGTTCAACACTATCAGGCTCTGACTTGACATCAGCTGGAACCTCGACTGCAAGTGGGACGCCAGCTCAATATACTGGAGTAGCGGCGAGCATTAGACTCCGAGGCTTGCTCTTTACGGTGACGCTTTTATTGGTTGTGGTCGACACTTAGACACGGTGGAAAATCGGGAACATGATCAGTGGCTGGGAACCGTGGACAACAAACACTCTCAAATGTGCTATGCTTCAGTGAGACTTCCTCATCTCATCGCAGCGGCTCCATAACTAAAGTAGTCTCAAGACAGGTTCACCTTCCCCGGAATCGGAAAGTACACCCACAAACTTCCTTCCCATCGTCAAACACGATCATACACCGTACAACCTCGTAAGCCTTTGTCTCATACAGTCGCAAAGCATCCTCTTGCTCCTTCGATCTGACCAGCAAAGCTTTACCTTCCACCCCTTCCGCATCTTCGGATCCGCATGGCAACACAGGAGCATCCACCAAAGCCTTGTACTTCCCTCCCCACTCCTTCAACAAACCCTCGAATACCCTCGCAACGCACAAGTCGTACTCCTCATCTTCGGATCCTTCGAAGATGGATCGTAACTTTTCCGGATCTTGAAGCGTGCCGTAAAAGAAATACCAAACGGGGTATTCGTCTTGTCGCGGCCGAGGACTTTCCCTCTGGTCTTCCAACCGATGTTGAGGTAGGGTTGTATTAACTCCAAGCACAGGCGCCATGGAAATGTCGCTGAAAGACTTTGGGGCGAGGGAAAGGGTGATGAAATCGGKAGGTGGGCGATGGTGCTTTGCGCACCATTCCACGATCGCCTGCTTCGTAGAGCTGCTGATGATACAGAACTCCGATCTTGTATGCTCGTCTTCGGTGGATGTACCGCTGTGTACAATTGGTGTCGTAGCGAGACCTGCGATCTGCTGGAGATGTTCCGCAGAGCCGATGTGGCCTTCAAGTTTGACGAGGTATTCTTGATCTGATGAAGGAGCGTTCATGCCGGCAGTCTTGTGTGGTTGTCGCTTCGAGGTCCTGATGAGGTGGGTATATGATTCCCGGTCATGTCCGGGCGCTTCTCCCGATTCCTCTGCTAGTCTCCATAGATCTTCGGAGAGTAGACTGCACGACAGATCTTGGCGTTGTTGGAGGATTAGCCTTTCCGCTTCTTCGACTTCATATGAAAAAAGGCGTTGCCATCGCTCAGTAGCAAGTGCGATGGGCTCAAGGCTCTCTGAGACTCGTACGTTATCTGCCAGTGCGTTGAGTTCCGATAAGTCGTCCATGCTGTACACGCTTGGTTTATACCTCTAGAAGGTGTATGGCCTGCTTGGAACAGATCCGTGTGACCGAGATGAGGAAATTTTCGCTTTCGTACCGTATCATTAAAAGCGACGGAAGTTGTCTTGCAGGACTTGTGTGGGGGGATGAATCAGAAATCAATCTGGCTCATGGTATTAAGCTTCCGCGTGTGACCGCGAGAACACCTTGGTACCCAAGATAAACCTACCGAATGTCTGTCACGGTTCGCTACTGGACGGGAAGGTACGATGGCAGAACTTTCATCTTTGAGTTGGGAAAGTGCGTTGGAGATTATTGCCCTACCTTGGCTTCTCCGCCATGAAAAGGGAAAGTGCATATCGGTTTACTTCGTGCTCTCGTCCGTCACTCTTGCCGCGGACCTCGTTCGTGACGTCCTCAAGCCATATTAAGATGTTAACAGCGGTTAAAGTAGGTATCGCGTACTATTTCGAAGGTACATGTATAGAGTACGCATCGGGAGGTGATAAAGTAATACGCTAAGCCTAATGCGGGATTTCCTCGTCCGTGAACTACGAGGTAAGTGAATAGACGATCAAGGGCCTCCGAAATTGAAGATTGCCGTCTCTCCTTGTGGTGAGTCGGCGACAACGCTCGCGAACAGGTGGCTACAAGCACAAAAGGCAGCAGTCTCACGGAGAGCTAGGTAAGAATGGTCGGATTTCTGGTCGAATAATGTCTTCTCAATCGTACTGTCGTTATTGCAGAAACTATAAGACTTTTGCCAGGTAAGGTAGGGCGGCAACCTTCAATTTCACCGGCCCTTGGATGGAAGGTGAGGAAAGCACGTGGCAAGCTTGGCAGATTTTTGATCCGAGATCCGAGCCCATCGCATCTCCCGACTTCCACACACAACTGTCGACATCAATAGCAGCGGAAGTGGACACGTACGATCGACAACGCAGAGAGCTTGTTCCCTCACAATCGTAGCGACAACGGTATCGAAGCACACTTTTAAGCYTTCATAGCCGCATCCGGCGACGGCCAAAGCATTCGACCAAAATCGACGCAAATTCGCCGCGGCATGGTCAAGACAACGCTCGTCTGACACGGCCGAAGCAACTGTCTGTGTCTTCCTATGAGCGAGTAGAAGCATGCGCGGCTGCCGTGAAGATGTGTGTATCGGCTGCCAGCCACATACAAGTGCAGCATTCCGACCAAGCGACAGTGAGTCTCAGAGAGTAAATCYCGCAGCTGACCCACCTGGGGTCATGTCTGTCTGGAGCAGTCATCGCCGTCATCTGGAAATTCTCTTTCTCGAAGGGACGAGCTTCCCAATCATCTTCTCTCCTACTCCTTCGAAAGCAAGGCGGTACCTCGCGGGCCTGCTCTCCACGCACTCTTCAGCGGACGAAGTGTTCGAAAGGAGCGCTCTCCGCCCCTGATCTGCGCTCGTTTAGGGAGTGCCGCTGGTCGTCATCCCAATCAATGTGACGACGCATCCTGATAGCCATGCCGGTCCAAGCTCACATCGCCTGCATTCGCATGTCGAAGCGGTCGGCTAACCGGATTTCCGTCTGGGAATTGATCGAAGGCTCGCCGGTGCGGCTGGTCAACTTGCTAGGGACCACGGTCTGGGATAGATACCAGCTGAGTACCACCACCATCCTCAAGACTCGCTTCTGCAGCACTGCAATGGCTCCTGTCCGGATGTGGGACAAAGAAACCTGATACAATGATGAGCGATGGCTTCTCCCAATGCGGCGGGTCCAAGACAAAGAGACACTCTCAGTCGTCCGCACGAGAGTTGCCATCTTTTGAAAAGCAAGCGAGGCCTGTCCTCTGCAGTCTCCTTCATTGAAACTTCCATCGAGATCAGCAGAGTCTAGGTACAGGAAACATGCAGGCCAATCCCAGATCCTTATGGATGATACATCAAACCGATCTGGATCTCAATGTTGATGAGACGGGAAATTGGGTAGAAGGCACGCCTCGATATCGGGTAAAGCCAGGCGCACGCAGGTTCAAGAACGACTCGAGGGGTCTTACGACGGCAGATCAAGCCACCTACCAACGTGGAGGCATTTTAGTCAATGTGAACCTCTCCTCTCAAGCAAGTGAACATGAGCAGTGGGGGACTACAATGCTATGCGACGGAGACACATGCGTCAAATGCAATCCCGGCAACGCTGGTGTCGGTCCCGGAGCCCCCGAGGGAAWGCCATTTGTACATGCTAGCGATCTACATAAGAATGCACCGCCACGTGCGATGGCTACCGTCCCAGGCGCGCTCTTCTGGCGTGAGGGGAGCCAGCCGCTTCCCACGAACACTCAGGTCAATCATTACGAAACAAAGCTGATCAAAATCGAGGTCCCAGTCGGTGGAGGCGGCATTTTGCATGCAGCGGCTGCTGTGTGCATCCCCGAGGGCTGCTCTTTCTGCAGCCAGATAATGGAGCAAACGCCCAGTCCCATCCCTGATAACGACCACCCGATGAATGATGCGGACAACATCAATACTATTCCCAGTGCTACTCTTGCTGTAGTTGGACTTGGCGAAGGATTGTATGAAGTCAGGGCCATTGTCGACTCCCTTCGCTCCACACGTACACGCAAGTTTCAATACAAGGTCTGGTGGCGAGGCTATCCAAAAGATGAGGCTACCTGGGAACCGCTTGATCAGGGAATTGGGGAGAATCATCTTTACATTTCTCTTTTCCATGGGGATTATCCGCAAGCTGATAGACCATCAAGGCAGGAGGCAGCTGAATTCGGTATTGAGCAATTCTTGTGGAGGACGCCACCTTCTCCTTAGACGCGAAGACTTGGTAGATTGGTTCAACATGAGTTGAACCATCACGTCAATTCCATTCGTCGATGAATATGTCGAAAGCTCTGCGCGATACCTCCTGCTCATGCTWCAATAAAAATCATTCAGTGACACCTCCCCACTCTTTATCATCCGATACGGCGGCGCTGCTCCCATGTCATTCAAGTCGGTCGCAGTCCCAACCCGGCGATTCGAAGACAATGGACTACCCAAAGCATATCTTGCGCACCGGGCTCTCCCTCCGTTTCTTCTCGGCAAATTCATCGTCACATTCTCCCCTTCTGGAGTTTGGTACACTCAATCATGACGTCCCGACGAGACCTTCGACCCGCCTCACCAAATGCAGCCTTCTATGGCATGGCAAAGAGAGGCGGTAAACCGATGGTAGACTTTGGATGATTCACCAAAGACACTTGGCCCCAAACTTCGCGAAAACGGCGAGTACCAACCCGACCAGGCTCGGTATGTGGTCAACGACGCCGACTTATTCGATGCAAGCGACCCGGCTTACCAGCAGGGCGGGTGGGTATTGAACGTCCAAACGCTACCCAGAGTCGAAGGTGACGATTATTGGAGTTTGATCATCTGTGACAGAGCGTCCTGCCCAACTTGTATCCTCGATCAGAATCGGCTGGTCCCCACGCGTACCCAAGGTCTACCACTTGTGCACTCCAAGTTTGTGAACAATGCGTCAGGTCATCGACGTATATACAGAGACAATGCTCCCGATTCAACCAGGTGGATGCCTTCAGGTACCGAAGAAGTGGACTGCACGCCGGCCTTGGTCCGTTTCATCCAGCCTGCCGGCGACGACGGCGCAGTCACCCCCACCGACACGCTGGTGGAAGTAGCAGTCTGCAACCCGGCAAGCTGTGAAGAGTGCGAACCCGATTCTCCCGTCGCCTACTCCGACGGTGACACCACAATGACAAGTACTGCTCGTGTATACAAGATAGCATCCCTCAACGWCTCCCGCTTCAACATTGCTACGAACCGGTTTGACTACGAAGTGTATTGGGAAGGCCTTCCGGATGATCAAGCCTCTTGGGAGCCCATTGGTAATGTCGTGGCATATGGGGACTTTGATGCTGTGAGGGACTTTCACCAGAGTTTTCCAAATTTTCCCAAGCCATCACGCAACATCGCAAGGAGACATGGCGTTTCTAACATTATTGGATAGCGTTCATACAGCTGCGGGTTTGATTCCTACCATGTACGTAGATTTAGGAGTAAATAGTACGTGGGRACGTCGCCTAATGCCAGCGATGTTTGCCTTCGGCCCTGGGAATCAAAGGCTCTAGATATCATTCTCCAGGACCACACAATGAAGGATTGAGTGTCTGCTCTCAACCCTGCAGCGATCAGATGACCCTGCTCTTGGGGTCTACTATGTGATATGCTCCAGCAAAGTCGGCAATAGTGTCCCGTAGATTCCTTCCAAGTAGCTCACTGTTACATTATCTTTGAGTGAGAAGATACTACCCCAACCCTAACCCTATGACACTTGTTCCACCCGAAAGCGGAGGCGCTCATCATGCTTCTGCCTCTCGCGCACTTTCTTCACACGCTTCCGGAGACACGAAAACCCGACATAATCTCATCAAAGGCGCTCCACTCGCTATGAAGAGGAAGGCCAAGACGTCGTTCGCTGCGGTGAGTTGTGGCCGAGTCGGTGTTTTCAGCCGCACCAGGCCAGCTTTCTTCATCTCTATCCCACCACTAGACATGTCTCTCTTCCAACGACATTGATTCAAAGATGCTCCATGAAAGCCTTCCTGGACCCTCACACTCCTTCCAATACACGTCCATCTCCCAAGGCAGCATTCGCATCTTGCTCCTCCTTCCTGGCCTGCCCGGCGATGCTCTCCGCGGTCAACTGCAACACCACCCGGTTGACGAGCTTCCAAAGTATCACGCCATCTCGTATGCATGGGGAAATCCGGTCTTCGAGTCCGCTTTAGAGCTCGACGATGGCAGCCTCGCCATCACCGAATCCTTGGAGGGTGCTTTACGACAGTTCCGAAATGAGGAGCATGCGACAATGTTCTGGGCTGACCAGGTATGCATTGATCAGCAGAACATGAGCGAGAGATCGCAGCAAGTGGTTTTGATGTCAGAAGTCTACAGTCAGGCTGAAAACGTCTTGGTCTGGCTTGGAATGGACGGTCCAGGCGATCGCATTGCATTTCGAGCAGTCGCAAGCATCTTGAACCGAATCCCCGGCGAGTCTCTGTTGCATCTCAGGTCACGGATTGCCAAAGATGTTCATGCCATCGTGGGACAGCAGTGCTTGGACAAGACCGCACGGCTGCCCAAGACCGACGCCATGAATGACACCGAGCTATTCGAGTTCGCTGCAGGAACACTCTCGCAACTCCTGGAACGCGCATACTTTGGTCGCCTCTGGCCTGTGCAGGAAATTATCCTTGCTCGCACAGCTTCTCATGATGTATATGCAGGTGCTTGGCCAAACATCACTTTTCACTGTGGAGAGCTCTCCGCAACTTTTGCCGACATCTCACTCTGCCTGGCAACATTCGAACACACCATCTTCAATCAACAAGCCCGGCCTCGAAAACCTTGGGTGTTCAGTAAAAGCTGGTGTCATAGTCGTGTCTTGAAAACCGCACTGCTCACCATGGTGGACGCATATGAGCTTCAAACTGCTGTGGTCCACGACAGATTGTATGCAATCCGCAATCTGACTACCGATGGTCTGAGTGAGATGCTGACACCGGATTACGCACTCCCACCAGAGGAGTTATGGAGGAGAACGGCACTTTGTAGCCTACGGCCGCGATGCGACAAGGACTCGTCACCGTGTCATGTCCACATTTACCACCACAAATCTATTTTGCTTGCGCTTGCCGGCATCTCAAGAGCAAATGGCGATGTACTCCCTTGGTCGTGGGTATCAGATATGAGCAGGCTGACTCAAAAACACCTCAACAAGAGTAGGCAGTACGAGATGGCAAAATTTCAAGCTGGAAGTCCTGCAGAGACGAGTCGCAAGCAAAGCAGCTTTTTCTGCGACCCAAAGTTCCCCGACGTCATACAGGCGATGGCAGGCGTCGTTGCTAGAGTCGATGGAGTCCTCACAAACTCCTCCCTCGAAACGGAGGACATTTCAAGTATGGTGTCTTGTTATCTTACTTGTCGACAATTCGTCTGCGAGAGGAGCGGTCCGTCTTCAAAGTCTCTACAAAACTTTCGATCTTTCTTCCAACAAGGGCAACGTCCGGCGAACAGCACTGTAGCTACTGGAACCCTGCGATCCGAGCACAATGACCTCGCGATATCGCAGCATCGCTTGGCTACGGGAGATAAAGTTGATGCCTCCACAGTCTACAACGATTTGGCGACGTATACGACATTTGACAGCGATGCGCTTTCACAGCAGCCGTCGTTCGACGATACCCACATCCTGGCGCACTTTGATGATGGACGATTTGGATGGATTCCTCATACCGCCACCAAAGACGACGTTGCTGTCATCTTACATGATGCGCCTTTTCCGTTCATCTTCCGCGAGAATGACGACGGTACTTTCACCAACAAAGGTGACTGTTATATCCATGGAGCAATGCATGGTGAGGCTTGGCCGTTGAGTAAGAATGGGCGATCTAGTGAGGGAATCATGAAGCCAGTCAAGATTCGCTGAGAATATTCTAAAGCCCAATTGCGTTGAGGGTTCGAGGAGAAAGAGCGCCTTTGAAACGAGGTACATCGACTGCTTACTGCAAAGAGTGGCCAGCGCGATGTTGGTCACACGAGCATACACGAGACCGATTCGTCTACGCCGTCCCTGGTGCCAGTCCTCGGTTATCGAGAAGCGCGTTGTGACAATCAGGAGGCGCCCAAACTTCCCAAAACTGAGCCTGCGTCATACATCGATAGTCGCCCTCCGCAGCTCGCTTCTCGTCGAGGAGGCTCATATGAGTGTCTGCTCTATGACGATGTTATGCGCCGCTCGGAGCATTTTGGTCGTCGCTTCGCAGCTGGGTGGAGATGCGCGTAGGCCAAGATGGTTTATCGTCACCGAAGGATTCGAGGGGTGGTGGACATGTATGCATTCGAAACCCGTTCGTAGAGATTGGGGTTGTTGGTGCAACATGGTATGGCCTGTAGCAACCGCCAAGAAATGCCCGTCATTGAGGCTGAATGCTACCCCTGTCCTACATTTTGGCGGGCTTACTTAATATTTCAGGGCGAAGTCACAACGCTTGCGATCCAGGAATAAAAAGCTTATTGATCCTACACAGGAGAACAAAACATCCCACTGGCCGCAGTCGCGCAGCCTAACCGTCTTGAAACACGCCGCCACTTTTCCATCACCTTGCAGCCGATTATCACCAACATGGCAGTGATGCCATCGTGCCTCGACGATGCTATCTCGCAGTCTTGAAAGTCTTGGTATATTCCTTCGCGGCTTCGACATTGATCTTTCAGGATTGGATTGTGTTGGTGTCACTGTGCTGCGCCAGTTCGTTTGGCGAAGGAGGGCGGACACTGCTGCCATTGCTGCATGTTGGGAAAGGTATATAGATCAAGAGGATATCTCTGTCTCATCAATCCATCATCAGCATCATCTTCCACACATCCAGCATACCAAACCAGCACATCACCACCAAGCAACATAAAATCTCAGCAAAATCTCCAAAATGCGCACTTCAATCTCCATTTCGGCACTTCTGGGTCTCGCCAGTCTTGTTGTCGCGCTACCAAAGGACGGCCTGAACTACGAGCTCTACACGAACAGTCTTGGATACACCGCCTCTCGCTTCAAGCCGGGAATGGAACCAGGCAGCGATGACTACGCCCGTCGATTTGGCGCAGGAGCAAACAACATCACCCTGGACCTCACTTCAGGGGATGGTCAGCTCACGAAGCGTGCCGAGAACCGGAACACCGACCCATTCATGGGCAGGAAGCAGATTGCATACGGTTAGTGCTCCTTACCCTTGATGAACTGCCAGTCTAACCCTTCCTCAGGATGCGACACGGACATTCCTGGAACAGTCTTCGACAAACTCCACACCTTATGTCAAGACACGCACTGTGATGAGGGAATCGAAGAGACCATCGAGACTTCATATCCTACTTATGGTCGCAAAGAATCAGCTACCATAACCATCAAAGCAGCAGGCAACTATCCTTCCGGCATGAAGCATGCCTTTATTTGGGCCGTCCAAGCAATGGCCATGCCTGAGGCGGTAGAGTGGAAGTGGATTGAAACGAACGTTGATGCATTGGGCCACACGTGAGTAGACCAAGAGAGCGAGCACACGCGGGGAAGTGTAGACTACTAACGTTGTCAACTCCAGACCTGCACGGGCCGCTGGCTGCGATGTTTCGTACTCCAGCAACTTCTTTTCTGTGGTCATGCGCGGCGACGACGGGTCCCAGATGGGAGAGATGAACGTCGAAGTCGACTTCAAGGTCGATGGCGAGGATGTAAGTGAGCTCGATTGAGATTTGAGGACTGTAGTACTGATCGTATTCCAGGCGCTGTGCGATCTTGTCTTCCCACTTGGTGAAGCCATTGCTGGGGCCATTCATGGTATTGCAGGAGGCATCTTTGGAGTTGTGTCAACCTTGGCATGCTCTTAAGCCTTGAGATGGAGAAGGCAGGACAGAGTGGGAAGGTGAATGATGTGGAGGGAAGATGTTTGAATGTTGATATGAGAGGACGGGTGAACATTTAGTCAGTGTGTACAATAGCCGGTATTCCCGAATGGCCGTGCATGAATCAATCTAGTTGTCGCATCGCATGGTTTACTATTGTGGGAACTGCCTTTTACGGACGTAACCTTACGGACGTAATGTGGGGGATATCCCAAGTTGATGTAGCACTAGAAAGACGAGCATATCCCAGCACAGAGTTCATACTAAGGTGTTGACTCGTCTTCCAKGTCTCCCTCACTACCATCGAACACCTCGATCGATATGCCTCTCCGAATCATCATAGTTGGCGCTGGAATCGCAGGCCTTGCTGCGGCTGTGTGAGTAACGAAGTGTACTGTTTTGACTCCTATACTAACCTTGCTTCCACAACAGAGGCCTCGCTCGACATGGCCACAAAGTACAAGTCTTTGAACGAAAGACGACATGGGATGAGACTGGGAGTGGAATACAACTCCAGCCAAATGTCTCGAAGATACTTGAAGAATGGGGTATGGTCTGCCGCAAACCCACCTCTGGCAACCCGCTGACTTTTGGTATTCCAGGCATGCTGGAAGAAGTCAAGAAAGTCGCCCACGACAACGAGCAGGCGGCGTTGAGGGACCATCGATTGGGACTGATTGCATACCATGACTTTACACAGCGAGGTCCGGCGTGGTAGGTAAAGGGAGGAAATATCTCTCATCTCGGGATTTGTCTAACAAAGATTCTCAGGTATGGACTTCGTCGTGTTCTCAAAGATCTCTTCCGACAGTTCGCCGCCAAATACAACGTCGAGATCCACGAAGGCGTCAACATCGTCAGCATCAATCAAGACCGGCCCTCGATCATCCTTGATGGCGGAGAGGAAATCTCCGCAGACTTGATCATAGGCGCTGATGGTTCCGGGTCTTTGGTCAGACAAACCTTATTCCCTTCCTTTCCAGGCCGAAAGATCCTCGACAAGACCGTCTGGCAAATCTCCCTTCCATTGGATATCGTCCGCAACGACGAAGTCCTTCAAGGTCTGCTGGATGGACACCGGAATGTCATCACCGTTGCACCAGCGAGGAGTATCTTCGCCTCTCCATCTCCATCACAAAATACCTATGATTTGCAATTTATTGACCATGAATACACGCAAGCACAAGATCCCAACCCCGCCGCCTTGACAGAACGAGTGCGGGATCTCTCTTGGATCAAGGAAAGATTCAGCGATTTCGACCCTGCAACACGAAAAGCACTCGATCTCGCAGAGAGTGCTTTCAAATGGCGGCTAGTCGAAGTCTTCGATCTGCCCTCTTGGTCGAGCAAGAACAGTAAAGTCGTCCTATTGGGCGATGCATGTAAGTCTCAACACTCCCAACGTCTGTACAACGAACGCCTCTAACAAGCCAACGCCAACAGGCCATGCAATGACCCCTTACTCTGGCCAAGGAACAGCAATGGGTCTCGAAGACGCCGCTGTTCTATCCGAGCTACTTGCAGATATCCAAACCAGCGATCTCGGCTCTGCGATTGAAATGTATCAAAATCTCCGACGACCACGCTGCGACAAAGTCTTCAATCTCGCACGAGCTTTCGGGACTTCATGGTCCGCGAAAGATGCCAGACAAATCGCCAGGCGGAACGAAGTTTGGAGGAAGGCGTTCGAAGATAGGGATCGTCCTGTAAAGGCGGATGGGAATGCACCGCCTGGAAGCCCGGCGTTTGGAATGTGGTTGGAGAATTATAATGTGTTTGAGGCGGTGAGGATGGAGAAGCAGAAGCGGAAGTCGAAGATATGATTCTGATTTGATGTCGACCTCGCAGCGTTGCGTGTTAAACTCTGCTAGTGGTGTTACAATGTCTTAAAGCTGTCATGAATGTCGTTAGAGATGCTTCCTCCCAGGCCGTCGTATCCTGAACGCCTATCGTTCCAGCCGACTTTAGTGTCCCAAATGATGCTTTCCCTCCACCCAATCCTACCCAAAACGCCGGTGCTTCAATTTCATCATTCCTATCGCATCAATCACGGCATCCCCTTCTTGAGATTCTCGTACTGACTTTCGGGATAATCAAGAATGTTCTCCGACATCTCCAATTTTGGCATCGCGTCAACCGCAATCTTAACCAGCGACTTTGACTCAGTAGTGTTCCCAGGTTTATCTCCACTGGCCTCCCACCACATGGTGCCTCCGAGCTTGAGCTTCTGAATATACTTGAGCTTCTCGGCGGTGACATCAGGACTGTCAAACGACACCATCGTTTGTGTAGACTCATCATACGTCCACGAAGCGACGGATTCTTCGTCGTAGAAGACCTTGGCTCCAGACTGTGGTAGAGCTTTGTAGTCCCAAACTCCATTCTCCCAGCTTCCGGACCCAACTCCTGTGAATGGCGTCCCGGGTCCAGTGGTTTGGGTGAAAGATCGTCCGTACAATGGCATTCCTAACACCRGCTTCGCTGGTGCTACTCCATTCTTCAAGTAGTATTGAACCGCAGCATCAGTGCTGAAAGGCGTACTGTTGGTGTTCTTTGTAGAGGGGTAGAGATTTGCCTGATGCCCGGCTTCCTTGTCCCAGGAACCAGCGTAGTCGTAGGCCATCAAGTTCCAAAAGTCCATGTGCTCATCCATACCGCTGACCTTCAGCTTTTCGTAGTTGGTAGGGCCGGCTGGGACAGCGGCTGTGATGAGAAAGTGCGGCTTGGATGGCAATGTCGAAGAGTAGTTTGCAAGAGCTGCTTTGGTCTCACCAAGGAGGAGGACAAAGTTGTCCGCCTCGGTCTGGGTGAAGGTTTCAGCATCATAGGCGTGGCCAACAAGGGAGATTGGCTTACCTGATCCTTAGGATACTCCCAATCGATGTCCAGTCCATCGAATCCCACTATGTATCAATGTCATTAGCAAAATATTATGGGATTGTCTGTGGGTGAGGAGGGGACCTACAATCCTTCAACAGCTTCACTGAAGATGAAGCAAACATCTGTCTGCCGGCTTCCGTAGCAGCAGCGGCCTGTGATCATGTCAGTTCATGCTCATAGCATACTCCTGGGATGTCATTTCGGTACGCACTGGGAAATTCGCTGAGTATGTCCACCCGCCGATGCTCAACAAAGTCTTGATGTGTCGATTCTGTTTCTTGAGAAGGTACAACTGCTTCACACACCCATAGACGTTGTTCCCAACGTCATTCCAGCTGTCGGAGGGATCTAGCACCACAGTCATCAGTGTCGAGTTGCAGCAATGGGTAGCGTAAAAACCTACAATGCTTCTGAAGGTCGGCGTATTCGTCGCTGAGGTAGACCTCTCCTGTTCCAGGTCGTACGTTAGCGAATGAGTAGAGAACATGGGTGATTGTGTCGACGGGGAGGTCTGAAGGCTGGAAGTTTCTTCCATAAATGTCCCTTCAACATATGTTAGCTATGATCCCACGTCTGGATTTCGAATCGAGTTACCAGTTGGGAAAGTACATGACAGATTTGCTGCCAGTAGCGGCGTCCGTGTTGGCACTAGTTGTGGAGGTGCTTGTTACGTTGGCTGCCAAAGTTGAGGATGCCGAAGTCGAGGCTGCCAAAGTCGAGGCACTCGTGGTGTTTGCCGCATCGTAAACAGATCCCGATACCCCAGCCGCAGATGCAGTCACGGTAACAGTCGCAGTTACTGTGGTAGTGTTTGCAGGTCCTGCATCGATATCCCGGGGAAATCGCCGAGGAATGCTAGCCGACGACAACGAGGCGAAAAGTGCGGAAAAAGCGAGATAGCGAACCAAACCGGCTCGAGTAAGTTCAGACATTGTAAAAACAAGTGACAAGATTGATGAGATCGAAAAGACAAACGAGTCGTGACTGATAAAAGAGGTCGATGTTCCAAGCCGCTTTTCAAGTTGCCTGTTCGACCCTCCCTCATTGATCCACATTCCTCGATGAGTTCACGCCGGGATGGCCTCTCGGACTGCGATCCGTGTTGCGCATACACAAACGGTCTGCCGCAGTACACGATGTAGTTTCTTCACCGAGACGGATGGTCGCATGGTGCGACTCCAAGTGACAGCCGAGCCGCTGCGTACGCCACGGAATTGAAGCCACATTCGTAGCTCATTCATCCCTCAATCGCAAGATCTCACCACACTCCCAATCAGCTGCAGCGCTGATGGTTATTGTGTAGTCGAGCTGTTGAAATGCGTTTGGCAGTTGAAACGGGTGACCAGTCTTGGGACAAAGCAACCACAACGGCTGTGCCGCCATCTACCTCGGTGCGGAAGCACGAGCARACAGCCAGGTTGTCGGGATATGGGACCTCGACGGCCCGGCATGCTGCCGCGTCAGTCATTCACAAAGAGCCACAAGAATGTTGTGGCATAACGCGAGTCTGCGAGGTGTGGGCTGTGAATCAGTTGACTGTTGACAAACGCCCATCAAGCCTCGTTGCATTCTTCGAGATCRTTCCTGCAGTTGATCTAAGCAAGGGGCCGCGGCGCCACGCGAAAGGCTAGATGGTGTATTTAATGATAGGGCTGACTTGACACTTACAAAGCCCCATGTCAAGACTGGTGAAGGTGAGATCACATGCCGCCTGCACCTGAGGAGTTGAAGGTGGCACTTGATTTATACGTCACACGATCTCACAAACCAGCTGGCTTTTCCTATTGAGCTGTGGATGTTGTCTGTCGTCGGCGAGAGCGTGACCAGGGTGGGAATATGAAGAACAAAGGACTCTTCATCTTGGCTGTACCGAATCGGAGGTAGGAGATGATTGGACATTGAATAACGATGGCCATGCCATTTGTTGTTTGCTTGAAAAAGATCGAATTGCGTCCTCGAGTGCCTGTTAACCTGGATGGACGGCTTCACAGTTCGGGGGGCAGTCCTGAGCCAGCTGACCGAGTCATAGAGTCACTGCTCCTGATGAAAGTTACAGTGTGCGATGCCAGTGAGTGTGTAGCAGCTGGTGTACCTCCGCACCGTCCAGTTGACAAAACTGCCAGCGAAGCAGGACTATGACGCCCGGATTGTGTGGCAGGTCACATTGTTCAACGATACAGCTTGATCGCGCTCGAGTCCCGCGCCAGTGACTGCCTCAGGAAGAGCGTAGGTTCTGAGAGAGTATTGGAATGTAGTATGCGAGCCATGATGGATGTTGTAGGAGGATACCTAGGTAAGAGATGGAAGACGGGCTTGTTGTTGCTGTGCCAAAAATAGCCACGCCCGCACTAGGTTCCGCTGCCGTCATAGCCGACAGGGGTCAAAACGCGAAACATGCCCCACGCGACGTAAAGCTTGTCTGATGTTTCTTGTTGGCGGATACCAAGGTCATGATGCGATGTGATCTCAGAGTGCTGCTGAGTGACTGATCTAGGCGCCGGCGAGGTGAGCTCAGCGAACAGCCTGTCACATTACACTCTTCTGTTACTTTCATTCACTTGGGTTGGCGGCAAGACGGCATCTTGCAGGCGAGAGGCTCTTAACAGGAGACAAGACAACGTACAGAAAAGAGGAAGGACAAACGCACAGAAAGAAAAGAAGACGGGACAGACATCCAGGACGGTGCAGGAGTCATGTCTTTCAACAACACCCTCATCAATTGTATGACGGCGCCCGCCAGCACCAAGTCAGACGCTGGTGTTGCAGGAACAGGCGTGAGTGAAAGCATACGGCCATGAATGACAGCGATCTCTCCCACTGACAGAATAGATTCTCCTCGCCTTCATCATCACAGCCGGTCTCGCCCTCGTCTGCTCCTCCATCATCATCTTCAGCGAATGGCGCGCAGTCAACGTCCGCAACATTCCCCGGCGAATCCTCTCCGGCCTCTCCGATCAGCAACTCATTCAAGGAATCGGCATTCAGGTCGTCGGATTGGCCCGCGTGCGAACCATGGTGCCCTACCACTTCTTTATCATCTGGATGTTGGCCTTGCTATCCACTGCCACAAACTTTGCGGCTCTGCTAGCTCTTGTGCAAGACTTCAAGCGGGACTGGGTATTGCGGTGGATGCGCCAGTTCGCCATGTTCATTAATATGGTTCTGGGGATCGTATACGGTATCTTCGTGTTGGAGAGTAATGTGAAAGCCCTGGCGCCGACGTTGCCAATCGCGTGTGCCTGGCAGGAGCATGCAAAGAGTCGGGAGGCGCAGGGAAACCAGACAGCCAGCGTTGTAGGGACAATTGCAGTCATTGCAGTTAGCTGCGTCATCTTCGTCCTCGGGACATGGTATTTGCATATGCGGAGGTTGGTTATTTAGTAACCATTCCATCCTTTGAGACGTCTACTGACATTCCTGACAGGCAAATCTGGGGAAAGTCTGTTCGGGCCGTCTGTCTGGTTGTGCTCATGGCCATGGCCATTGCTGCGACTGTGAGGGTTATCCTCGTCTCACAAGCTTTTGGAACACCTTCAGTAGTCTTGGATGACGCTGGAGAGCAAGACTGGTCATTCGGCCAACTGCTTACTATGCTACTGCTGGTCTTGCCCTTCATCTCTGCATTGGAGATCTACCGAGGTTCGTTTTCCTTTTCTACAAGAAAAAGAATCTCTGCTGACTTGGATCACAGGCGAAACCAAAGTTCCACAAGCAACTGCTGCTGGCTACTCGGATGCAGAGCAGATACCTCTGACTTCCACCGAGGGCTCGGGGATGAAGGCATTCCAAGGAAACTCTGGGTACACATAGGCCAAGTAGTCATTCAATACCTACCTATATCTCACCCTTTTCCCCGGGAGAATCCTGTTGCAAGCATTCCCCGTCACTTCCATCACATTCTTGCAAAAGCCGTTGACCTGTTCTCCTCCCTGGCCAGTCAACTCCACATCCTCAAACGCAACATCTCTGCAGGGCGCCGCAGCGGAACAGCCCATCCGAATCCCATGCTTGCCACTTACCGTCCCTTTGATGTCCTTGAACTTCAACTCCTCAAAAGACAACGTGCTCGAATCGCACGCACCGACTCCTTTCGGCAGTCTTCCCTTGTGATAGCACTTCTTCACACCAACGGCCGACTTCGCACCTTCAACCCTCAAGCCATGCACACTGACATTCCTCACCTTCCCATGTCCACCTCCACCTTTCTCCAGCTCAATCCCCGGCCAGCTCTTGAACCATATCCCACCAGAGACCCCAGATCCACCAGTCTCCTCCCGAATGTCAGTACCGACAGTAACGTTGGCGATGTTGACGTTTTCAACAAAGTCTGCAGCGTCTTTGTACTGCCCCAGACTCCCAAATGACACGCCTCCACCCAGGCATGTAACATTTCTCACCTCTACATTGGTGGTATTCCCTTTGAAACTCAAACAGTCATCACCTCCTCTGAACACCATATCTTCAATCACAAGTCCGTCTACCCGAAGGGTATCCACCCCATCAATGTTTGATTCAAAATTCTTTCCCTTTCCGGCTGGATCTGCATTCGTTCCGTTGACGTACAACCCCGATATCGTAACGTTCTTTACGTCTTGGAGATACAGCGCCCAGAACTGCGGCTGTCTTATCGAGAAGTCCTTGACTACTACATTCGTTGCATTGAAGATGGTGAGGGGAATGGGACGACCAGGCTGATTACTTATCCCTTGCGCTCGAGTCATCCAAGCTTGTCCATGTCCATCAATTCCACCTTTCATCCACCCGCCGCCTGTAATCTCGATATTCTCGCCCGAGACGATGAACGCGGTGGCTAGTTCCAGGTATTCAATCCTAAAGGAAGAAGTGCTCCAGTACTCAATATCTGGGAGGAACGAGAGTGACCCGAGAATCTCTAGCCTGGAGTTGGAGAGATGGAAGTGCAATCTCTTGGAGATGGTGTAGATGTAAGGAGCTGGAAGGGTGATGAGTCCATCTCTTCCGCATCTGGAGACTGCGTCGAGAATTTGGGAGGAATCGTCCTGGCCAGACCCGCGTGGAGTTATGWTGCAGTGATTTGAAAAGAGCGGAAGTCCGAGAGAAGAAGCTTCACCAGGAGGTGTGGACGGCGATTGCAGACGAGGGAGGACTGTTGGTGGAGRGCTCAGTGAGGATGTGGCTGCGGCTGGATAGAATATGGTCTCTGCTGCTTCGATTGGGACACAGATGGCCAGGAAGCTCAAGACTTGTGAAGCGAAGCGGAGCATATTCAATGCTAGGTGGAAGATTCGTAGTAGAAGTCGACTCGCTGTCCGAGTCTGCGATGGCGGCGTTCCGTCTGAAAATGAAGAGACGAGTGGCGTTCTTTCGGTCATCTCTGGAACCACGTTCATTCATTGGTAAAGGTTACCAAAACCAACATCACCCGCTTTGCGACCCACGGGTGCTATGCGTCTTCATCCAATAGCTTCTGTGGGATGACAGAATGCTGCAGACGGGACTTGTAGAGCCAGTTGATTCTCTTCGCTTCTTCTCCCACCATGCTATGCAAGCGGGCACAAAACGCTCATATATACACATACAGGCCAATCTAGAACAGATTTGATGCACTTTCGTCGTCCATGCGGTAAGTCGTGAACAGCGAAAAGGGCTACACGCTCGCTCCTTTCAGCTCCAACCCGCTCATGAGCCGGTACGTACAGACTGTGCACGCCCAGCATTTCCATATCCTCTCATCTAACGAATACCTTGACGACTCCATCACCGCCTGCGCTGACAACCAGCCTCCCGTCTTGACTCCAGCATACATCACAAACGCCTTCGCCACGGACGGCGCGATGGGCATTGATTTCTTGCGTACAAGACCGTTTCTCTAGACTCCAGAACCGGATACCGGCGTCGTGACCAGCAGACACGGCTTCCCTTCCATCTTTCGACAACGATAGGGCGGAAATGGCCGATGGATGGGCGAGCATCGTATAGGTACATTGACCTGTGGTTCAAAATGTCAGCAAAGCAGTTGATCATAACCACCTCTTCATCCGACTTACCGCTGTTCGCATCGAAGAACCTCACGARTCTATCTTCATGGCCTGTGATGACAACACCTTCCAGCCCTTCTCTACCACCTGTAGCWCCACCGACGACTTCCTCCGCCTCCATTCCTCGTACAATCTCACTCCCACCGGCGCCAGAGCCTTCCAGACCGAGGCTGGTAGCCACGACCGCATTGATGCTGGTGCCCATGGTCCCATCATACGTCTCGTTACTCGCCATGCCGACGATTTCCTCCCCAGTCCGAGTGTCAAAGATCAAGACCGAAGAATCAGAGTATGCAACAATGAACGTCTCACCGCTCGGCGATAGTGGACAGATGCTGGTTGGGCTGGGTTTGACGGGCCCGGTGGTCGGCCTTTCAATCGAGTGGACGAGGGTATAGCTGAATGGCGTAGGACTCGCCACACTGGGCTGCGGGCTGGAGGGGAAGTTCGAGCCGCTTGTAACACTATGTCTTCGACTCCCTCCGACCCCCCGTCTGCTTCCCGTTGATGGCGAAGATGTTTGCGGAGGTGCGCTGACGGCCCAGACTTTCACCGTTCCATCCGCAGAGCCAGACACAAGTAGCACGCGATCTGGACCACCAAAGTTGCCGCTCTGGGGTCCAAAGACGACGCCAACAGAAGCGGGTAGTATGCAGATCGTCCAAACAGCGTCCGTGTGTCCTTCCAGGGTGGCCTTTGGGTCCACACGGCCTCTTTCCCAAACGCGCACGGTGCAATCTTCTCCACCGGAAAAGACCCAGCCATCTCCATTTGCCCGACCACCCGTGCTGAATCCGGTGCTCGCAGGACATGCGGCGAGAGCTGTCACAATACCTTCATGTCCTCTGTGGGTAAAGTAGGCGGAAATGTCCAGGTCCGCGCCGGGGTTAGTAGGGTTGTAATTCTGATAGGTAGCAGGAACTATCCAACGTTTGATAGTCCCATCATCACTCGCTGTACACACTTCTGGCTCACTCGGGCTTCCTCCACCGCTGAAGATCACACTACGCACCACATCCAAATGACCGCGAAGAGCAAACTTTACCTTGAACATGGTCGGGTCGTTGTTGACCGCGACATCAGTACTTTCGTGCGTTTTGCTCTTGTTGCCTTGCGAGCTTCGTCGCCGCTCCATGCTGGAGGCTCCCTGTGAGCTCTTCCTTCTTCCGTGGGAAAGAGGGCCTGTTCGCGTTGGGGATTTCGCTGGTAGTTGATTTGTGCCCGCCGCGCTTGGAAAGAGATCAGTGTCTGGTCGACGGGGAGGCGGTGCATCCGGTGGGGGATGATCAGGATGTAGTTGTGGCTCTTCGTCGAATTGCCAGCCATCAGAGTCTGGCTGTTGTCGGAGCTGGCGTTGGGATACTTCTTCAGCAACGGGCCGTCCTTGTGAGTCGTAGGTATGAGTGATATTCTCTACCTGTTCCTCAAAGTCGGGCTGAGAGGGCTGAGCCAGAGGTTGAACGACCTCGGATTGCGACTGGGCAGAGTTTGTGTACTCCACATATCCTAGTCCACGGGCTGCTTCCTCTTGCTGTTGTTGCTGTTGTTGCCTTGAAGTTTGTGGCAGGCTGTTTGGGATTGGAGGTGGTTGGTGATTGGGCATGGCAGACTGTTGAGGCAGAACCTGTCCCGATCCGCGGGAATTTCTCTGGTGACGGGCATACATTTCTTCGACGGAGAGCGGCGCGTCAGGCAGGCCAGTGAAGTTCCCATTCGGCAACATCTGCGGGGGAGGTGGATGCTGGGGAGGAGTCAGAAGGTATTGAATCTCCTTCATGCAGTTTTTGAGGTATTTGGTCGTGTTTTCCAAGTACTGTTCGCGCTCCAGTTCCGTCGTGTCACGCGGTTCAGTGTCGAGGAAGGAATTGTGCGGCATGTTGGTCGGCCTGCCATGTTTCGGGGCGTGTTGCCCATCTTCTGCCACACCGTTCGGACCACCCTTGTCGCCTGCAGCTACAGCTCCATCGCCCGCCTTGCTCTTCGCGCGCTCGTTCTTCAGCGCCGCCTCCAACATGCGAATCTGGCGCGTCAGCTGTTCGTTGATGCGCTTGGCCTGGCGACATTCGCCCTCCTGCTTGGCGATTTTGCCCTTCATCTCCGCCCGTTCAATATCCCATGCATTTCTTGCCCGTTCATGCGAATGCCATTCGATTTGGAGGAAGCGCATGACTCCTGGAAGGGGTTCGCGGTGTCAGTCTCAGCTCTCTCTCCCTTCATCCCATTACACCCAAAATTCTTACCCTGCAGTGTGTATTCGGTCCCCTGTGGTCCATGATGTTCACCGTTGATACCGCCGCCACCATTGGCCATGCCGCCTTGTTGCTGGAAGGCCATGCTCCCGCGGTTTCATGAAATTACTGTCGCTGTTCGCGCATCGAGGAGCCGGAGGACGTGGGTGGCTCAAGCGCTCCCGCTGTTGACAGCGCAGGAGGCCGGTGAGGGTGAGTATCGGTAGCGCGCCCGTGCGAGCAGCAGGTGGATGCGCTGCCGGCGGGAAAGCAGTCGGAATGTGAGGTCGGAGTTCTGGCACTCTCCGCCCTACACGTACGCCGCCGGGGCACCTCCATTAAGATTAGCGCGGAGGAGCTTTGGCCTCCTTGAAGCGCACCTGCCCCCCAGCAACCACATCGATCGTACATTCATACACGTCTTGTTGGACATTCGACAACAAGTAAGCCTTTACTTACTGCACCGTCATCGTGGCAGTCATACAGCATCTCTTTGCGTCGGAGGTTGTCACGTCTCACAGAGTTCTCTCGAGCATCTCAGCGCTGGTGCGTTGACAGCGAWTCAATCATCGCAAAATCACAGCGGAGTCGGATCTTTGGTCATGAAGAATAACGTCCGATGCAAAGAGACGCTGCATCTCACGGGGATAAGGGATGGTGGAAGCGCRCCTCGATATCCTTCCACGGCAAGGTCGCGGAGCGTAGCTCAAGTTCCTTTCATCCACATTTTTCTACATTGCCACGCTTGTGCCTCCTTTTGCGGCGTGGTGAAACCATTGACCATCTCGGCCAGCGCCTAAACTCCTGGTCACTTGCTTGTTGCTTGAGCACTTCTGCAGGCTTATGCAACAATGTAAGGTCGTCCCCGCGATGATGTTGCAGCCCCGCAAAACCAAGACTACCTCCTCCACCATCCGTGTCACTGTCTCTTAGCACATCTCGCATTCTCATCCATTTGCTGCCCCTCTCACAATTTCTATCACACTCAAAAACAACATGACGTCCGGCAAATCAGTCTTCATTGTTGGACCCGGCTTCATTGGCTGGAATGTCCTAGATCTGCTCATTGCAGAATGCTACGCGGTCACAGGCTTCGTCAGACGCAAAGAGCATGGCCAGCAGATACAAGCCTCCGGCGCGTCGCCAGTGTATGGCGATTTGAACGACAAGCAGTTCATTAAAGAGCAGACTCTCAAACACGACATTGTCATTCATACAGCTACAGCCGACCATCTCCCCAGTGTTGAGGCTATTCTTGATGGGGTCCGACTCCGTGCCGAAAAAGGCCAAACGACGACCTTCATACACACGTCCGGCACCTCAGTATTGGACGACTGCGCCATGGGTGCCTTCAAGAGCGACCGAATATACCACGACGACGTTCGATCTGAAGTTGACAGTGTGTCTGACAGTGCGCCTCACCGAGAGATTGACCTTGCTGTTGTGAAGTGCCAGAGGGAGCTTGGCACGAAAGTAAAGATTGCCATTATCATTCCGCCGTTGATTTATGGCTGTTCGTATACGGTTCCCGTCAATCCACACTGCTTGCTGACAGCCGGTAGTCAACCCCTCTCATAAGCGTCTTTCCATTCAAATCCCCACTCTCACCCGTTTTGCCCTCAAACATGGCTACGCAGCGCATGTTGGCAAAGGCTTGAGCGTGGAATCCAACATTCACGTTCTGGATCTCGCCCGAGCATACATGACTGTCCTGAAGTACATGACTGGGAGTGCACCAGTCGAACTTTTGGAGAATCCATACTTCTTCTGTGAAACTACTGGAGACAAGGAACCATCTTGGTATGATGTTGCCACACTGATTGGAGAATCGCTTTACCAGGCCGGCAAGATTCACTCGCCCGAACCCAAGAAAATCGCCCAGAATCTTTATGGAGATCTGTTTGGGGATTTTACAGAAGCCGTCATTGGCTTGAACAGTCGAAGTCGAGCGGACAGGTTGAGGGCGTTGGGTTGGGAGCCTCGCGAGAAGGATTGGAAGGCAAGTTATGTAGAGGACGAATTGCCCGAACTGTTGAAGGAAGATGTTGGAAATTTTGATGGATACAAAGGCATTGTCCCCTCCTGATGATGAGTAAAGCGTTAAAGACACAACAAGTGCGTTGAGTGGTGAGCTGGGGACTTGGAAGAGGACCGCAGCCAATACTGCTCATGTAGGAATCGCTATACTGACCGTCAAGTCGTGCTATCACGGCAACTAGATGCACAACACCTTTGTAATTCGACTGTCATGAAATCAAAATGTGAGCTTACTGATTCCTCTGCACATACCGTGCAGCATTCGCTGTTTCATGTCGGGGAGCTTCTAGGCTCGTGCGATATGCTCTCCATCGTTTCAACATATGGACGACTGGTCGCACATGTCTCTGTAATGTTAAGGCGGTGTTCAGCGTCGGTGCCTTTTCAACATGCCCCCTTCGATGTGAAGGATACGCGCTTGTTATTGAATGGATTGACCCGAAGCCGTTAGCTCACGAAATAGCTTTCCATGTGCAGATGCGATGACTCTCCTTGATAGATACACCTTCGGTCCGACAGTGCAGATGGCTCGGCTGCGTTGCATCATGTGGAGGTCTGGACCTCGCGTCTCAGCCACGCTCTTGAAGAGGGCTTCGCAAGTCGGGGCCCGCCTGTCCAGTCTGATCACATGACCTGGTGGTTATGAAGACGTGGGAATCGTCGAGCTCGTCAAATCCAGGCTGAATCTTCGACACAATCCAGTCGCCCTCCTCCAATAACCTTATCAACCTTAGCGGATGAAGGCGCGCAACAAGACAAGGAGTGGCCACTCCGTCGGGCCGTGTGATGATTCTGAGGGTAWCCACTCCGCCGGAGGTGATAACGACGAAGTCTCCAACTTCCAAGTCAAACGCGCCGTATCTTCGCCGGCGCAATGTCGGATAGGGATAGGGCTGAGATGGCTCAGCCCAGAGGCCGAATGGATCGTTCAATTGTGGTGTTTGGTGCTCGATGGAGCAGTGTCTTGACCTGTGAGKGAGTGGACGAACCTGAAGAGTGGTCTCACTGCCGTCKACTAATAACGCTTCGCATCTAGACTCAGTCGCATCTTGAGCTCCAACAAGCCGACATCCTGGAAATGTCACATTCCTAAACCGGATGGCCAATTTCGACCTGCAAGGATGAGTGCGAATGACGAGCCGAGGCCGTGAGTTTGGCTAGCAACGGCTTGACAGACCATGCGATAGAATAGTCTTTGCGAATCACAGTCCAGACGGGGCGACACGACGCGGCCTCTGCGGCGGCTAGACACCTGACGAGGTACACAAATGCTGCTGACAGGACACTCGCAAGGCTGCGTGGCGACAATCGTGTTGGCGTCGGCAGGACACCCCAGTCCGGCAAGGTGTCAGCTCCTTCGCCCGCTGAGTCTCTCTCCTAAGGTTAAGCTTCCCCAAGAACGCTTGTCGGTTAGATAAGACTAGCAAAGACATGTGGCAAGCTCGTGCCAATCCGCGCCAATCAGTGAATTGTGTGGGGATTTCGAGAAATCTAGAACCCTAACTTCGGCGCTAGCATCCTTCTGTGCAGCCCTGATAGCGGGCAGCCCGGAACCGGGGCAAGCAACGTGACATTGCACATGCACATTGGTGCGGCGCAGGAATCCTACTCTGGTGTCAATATCTTGCGCGCCCGTCCCTCCCTTGGTTTGTTCGTCTCACCCTAACCTCACCTCACCTCTCCACCTGGCACTCCATCGATCAGCCATGTCTCTCGATGAGAAGCACCCTGTCGAGGCCGCTCCGCCATACCGCGCCTCTTTGAGCGACCATGTCCGTGGTCGTCAGTTCAGCGTGGACGCAAATGACACGGCCATTGTCAATGCCGACCAGAACCAGCTGCATCGCAGTCTGAAGGGACGACACATGCAGATGATTGCAATGTGAGTTGGTTGGATAATTTCATGATGAAGATGATCATACTGACAACCCTCAGCGGTGGAGCAATTGGTGCCGGTCTGTTCGTTGGTTCCGGGTCTGCGTTCCAAACAGGAGGACCTGCGTCCGTCCTGCTGGGCTTCATCATTGTCGGCTTCATGGTGTACCTCATGATGCAAGCTCTTGCAGAACTCGCTGTCATGTACCCAATCAACGGTGCCTTCACCATGTACATTGTCCGCTTCGTCGATCCTAGTTGGGGTTTCGCAGCAGGTTGGTAGTCCGATTCATGGAGAATCCGCAACAATGTTAACGATCCTCCCAGGCTGGCAGTACGCTATCAGCTGGCTCACCGTCTTGCCATTCGAAATCTCCGCCGCGTGCAACATCATCCACTTCTGGCAAGGAAGTGAGGGAATCAACAACAGCGCCTGGATTGTTCCTCTGCTGGTTGCTCTCGTTGCCATCCAATTCTTCGGTGTAAAGGGTTATGGAGAAACCGAGTTCGTTCTCAGTCTCATCAAGATCTTGGCTTGCATCGGCTTCATCATCCTTGGGATCATCACCAACTGCGGCGGTGTTCCAACCGACGACAGAGGCTACATTGGCGCCCGATACTGGTACAACCCAGGTGCATTCCTCAACGGCTTCCACGGCTTCTGCTCCGTCTTCGTGACGGCATCTTTCGCGTACACTGGTACCGAACTCACCGGTCTTGCTGCAGCAGAGACGCCGAACCCTCGCAAGGAGATCCCTCGCGCTTCGAAGCAGGTTGTGTGGCGTATCGCATTCTTCTACATCCTCACCCTCTTCCTCATTGGAATCAACCTTCCCTCGGACAGCCCACTCTACAAGTCCCCGGGCTCATCCTCCCGTCACTCTCCATTCGTTCTCGCCATCGAGGCAGCAGGAATCAAGGTCCTTCCGGGTATCTTCAACGCAGTCATTCTCATCTCCGTCATGAGTGTTGCAAATTCGTGCACTTTTGGATCCACCCGCACAATCCAAGCCCTGGCAGCTGAGGGTATGTTCCGTAATCTGTCAAAACCTTGAAAGTATACTGACACTCTCCAGGAATGGGACCCAAACTCTTTGCATACGTCGACAAAGCTGGACGCCCCATCGCCGTCGTCGTCCTGCAGCTCCTGTTTGGATGTCTGGCATTCATCAACCTCGCCAAGAACGGTGGCAACATCTTCAACTGGCTGCTGTCGTTGTCGGGTCTGTCAATCTTCTTCATCTACGGCAGCATTGCGCTCGCGCACATTCGCTTCCGCATGGCGTGGAAGGCAAAGGGACATTCGCTCGACGAGATTCCCTACAAGGCGGCTTTCGGAGTATACGGATCCTACATCTGCCTTCTCATCAACATCATCTGCCTTGTCGCGCAATTCTACGTGGCACTGTACCCAGTGGGCGGACCATACCTCGACCCCGAGATCTTCTTCCAGTCTTACCTCGCAGGACCTTTCCTCTTGGTCCTGTACCTGGGATGGAAGGGATACAGTTGGTTCGCACGACCTGAGCACAGACCCATGTGGATCGCAATCAAGGATATCGACATCTACAACGGAATCCGGAGAGTAGAGACGATCGATGGAGTTGACAGCGACGACTTTCCTGATGAGCAGAAGAAGAAGGGCATCAAGGGCTGGGCTACGGCTGGCGTGCGGGCCATTATCTAGTAGATGTGACTTGTATCAGCGGCAGCAGTGGTTCATAGGCTTGGACATACAGAACCAAAGACTTCAAATATTCAATGTGACTTCTCAGACTTTACACATCCAAGCTCGTCGTTCAACTGGCACGCGTCTCGCAGGAGATGGTCTGTGTTGGATCTCTCGGTTAAGCACTGCGATGTTTGCCGCCTTGCTATGTATGGTGTTGCTGAAGATGGCGTGTAAGACGGTGTCATTAGAGCACTTGCAGAAGGGTACTCTGCAAGTTGATGATGAGCAGTGACCAGAACCTTTGAAAGAGGAATATGTAGTACATATCGCGTAGATGTACTGGCAGGGCGTAGTAGGGCGCAATCCTTGGCAGACCAAGCGCAAACTTTCCTGGCGACGTCACCTCTCGACCTCTCTTGCCTTGACAATGAACGTCATTGCTCTCACCTTCTTCAGGCACGCGGTGTACCGAGACTTCGGCATGCATTTGAGAATATCTTTACACACTAATACAGACATGTGTACTCAGCCGCATGAAAGACTTCAGCGCCATGTCTTCAGTCGGATCACGCCTTCCCTACCGCAGGATGCACAGCTACCCTGCCATGCCGCCTAGCTCGAGGCTTGTTGAGGAATGCCCACAAGTCTAGGACACTACTCGTCATTATTCGACCCTGCAAAAGCCGATAGCCATTGTCCTCCGTTCCATGAGAGCTGTAGGACAATCAGCCCATCCAAAGAACAGCTTTCTTGACCACATGCCGCTTGTGGAAATCTTGTCCCTCTGCGTCGCCATACATCACGACTGTGGCGTCGCACAGTAGAATCTCCTCTTTACCATCGAGGAACTTTGGGTCATCATCCAGCTCTCGCAGGTGGAGTGAGTGATATTCGAACTCACCGTTCCGGGGAATTTCAATACGCATGCGAGCCTTACGAGTCCAAAGACTCCAGGACAGCTCCGCAGCTTCCTCGAAAATAACCTGAAGCGAAGAGAGCGCATCGTGTCCACCAACGCCGCCGAGTACACTCGGAACAGATACCACCATATCTCTCGCCATTCTGCGCGCTACGAATGTCCGGCTATTGCTGGCGATCTTTTTTGCAATCGCGACACGAGGATCCTTGTCGTTTGATGCGGGGTCAAGTAGGCGAAGCACGTGGCATCTCAGCCCCTCGGCGCCAGTCTCGTCGCCTATCGTTCACAGTCAGCACATGGTGGCCAATTTGCGGACTCAGTCACCTACTCTTTCGAATCAATTTGGTCAATCCCCGCAGGGCGCTCCCTTGAGCGCCGTTGAGAAGATGATCCTCTTCTTCCTTGCCTTCAAATGCAAAGAACGGGTTTTGAATGATGCGGGTGAGGATGTCAATAGAGATCACTGCTCCAAGCAGGAGCCCAGATGCTCTTCCTGGCTTTCTCATGGTCTCGTTGTCGAGTATAGCATTCAGCAGCTTTTCCTCGCTGGGTGCACAACCGCGAACAACAAGTCTGGACGACAGTCTCTGTAAATCATGAGATTGCATGAAGTCTTCAAATGAGATCTTCGAGTACTGCTTTGCCCACTGCCGGATCTGGGTCTGAATTGATTCCAGCTGATGCTGGATGTCCGATCTAGCATGAGGCATCCACGATGTACTTTCCACCGACTTCAGCTGCACTGCCTGACATTCACGGACGGTTGCCTCGAGCGACTGTACACGACTACTCTCCGCTTCCAGTCTCATCTCGGCGTCTCTGAGCTCACGCTTGTACTCATCGTTCTCAATCCTCAGATTGGCGTTCTCGGCCCTCAAAGTCCTGCCTTGGCCATTTGCTTTTTCCAGATCCTTTTGAGAGGAGTGGCTTTGATTTCCGATCATGGTTTCGACTTCTTCCACCCGATCCGAATGAATCTCATTCAGAGTCGTGAGATTGTTGCAACGATTGATAGCACGGTCCCTCTCACGCACAGCCCTTCTGAAGAGGCTCCGAATTGCTCTCCTATATTTCGCTCCGTGTCGGTCGCGGGTGCTTCGTTGATCTTGCCCCGGCCGTCGCCGCGATCTAGTGGTCCCCACGTCCGACCTGATCCGGTCATCAACGTCCATTTCCTCCCGGTATGTGGCATCCTCGGTCCCGTCTTCGTGATGGTCACGACTTGGACGGGTCGCACAACGATGACCGGAGTACCCGTTCTCTTGCTGGTGCTGGTCTGGAGCGCGCATCGCTGAATTCCGGGGAAGCTCTCGTTCAGTCGTAAGCTCGAAGTGTCTGGCGCGAGTAGCTGCAGGCTGAGATGCACTGGAAGTCTCTTCGTGGCGCCGTTGATAAGATTGGGTGGCGCCGTGATGACCCGAGTGCTCGTGCTCGTGCTCGTGTTCAAGCTGATTGCGGCTTGCGTCCCCCATTGGAGAGATGTTTGCTGCCATTCTGTTGGACCTACTCTCAGCTTTCGAACTCAATCGCTCTCTGTGGACGTTCTTTCCGCTGCTCCTGGTCGCGTCGTGCTCAATGGATTCGAGTGGGTTTTGCATGAGTCCCGCCGACTAAGAAGAGCTTGGTTGTGTTTGTGGTGGAGAAGATGAAGGTCGTGCTTGCTGATGACACCATATGCGGATAGTATGCCACCTCATACAGTGAGTGAATGGAACTGCCACTTAGTCTGCTGACCAGTGCTGTTTGATTCCAGCGACTTCACTGTCCGGCAAATAAAGCACTCACTCATCCTTCTCAACTTTCACTTCCACCACAGCCATCTTTCATCAAAACACATCGAGCGTTCAACTCAGTACAACTTCATCTTCAGCCAGTCAACATGGTCGCCCGCAAGCGTGCACACGACTCGTCGCCTCCACCATACTCCAAAGACGCACCACCTGTCAAGAAACGTGCCATCAAACTGGAGACCAAAGACGCCAAGCGGACTACAGAGTCAGAAGGCGTTCACAGGATCATCGTGGGAGTTGACTTCGGCACCACCTACACTGGAAAGTCATACCACCGTGACTTTCAGCTCTGCGACTAACTTTTTGGTCAGGTGTCAGCTGGGTCYCCACCGAGGGTGCCCATAACAAGACCCTGGATGATGTTCACTGCGTCCGCGACTGGTATGCTCACTCGGGCCATGTAGCTTACTTACATTGAAAGCTCAAGACTGACGCACAAGTCAGGCCTGGCCCTGGCAGAGATGGTGACTTTGGCTGGAAAGCTCCTTCTCGGATCGCCTATGCCGCCGAAAACTCTAGCGTCGCTAMCTCCAACGCATGGGGTTTCGAAGTGACTCCGAAGATGGAGGGCTTCACCTGGATGAAACTCCTCCTTGACCCATCCGAAACGACCAAATTCGACGATCCAAGCCTCGGACAGAGTGAAGGCAATGGCGTACTGGCCAGACCGCCGGGCAAGTCCGCCGTTGATCTCTGCGCAGACTACCTCACTGAAGTCGCGATCTTCGCCTACAGCTCGCTTGAGAAGCGGGTCACCAGAGCAATCCTGGAGGCTACACCCATTGATTTTTGGTTCACGGTCCCAGCTGTATGGAGCGACAAGGCCAAGTATGACACCCTTCGTGCGGCCAAGATGGCATTCAAGCAGGCCGGAATCGCTCTGCATCCTGCATCCCGATTGTTCCTGATTCCTGAGCCAGAGGCCGCTGCCATTGCCACATTGTCCCATTTGACCAAAGGTGCTTCCGAGGTGCAAGTCAAGCCTGGAGACAGCATTCTGATCTGTGACTGCGGTAAGAGCTGCTTCGCGCACTGACAGCTCAGACGCCACGCTGACAATCACTTCTCAGGCGGTGGAACAGTGGACATCACCTCATACAAGATAAATGCCGTCCTTCCGAAACTCACTTTCGAAGAGCTTGTAGTTGGCACAGGTGGCAAATGCGGATCCACGTACATTGATCGGGAATTCATCAAGTGGATGGCGGGAAAGTTCGGACCTGCTTACACCAACCTGAGCTGGGAGAAACGTGGGCCCGCAAGTCGGTTCATGAAAGACTTCGAGGCAAGTTCGCGGCCCTGCATGTCTTTCAGTATACTGACATCAGCTTCAATAGGGGTTCAAGCGAAACTTCAAGACGGAGAGCTCTACTCGCTGCTGCGAGGCTCAGCTCTTCATGAAAGGCTTGGGTGATTCCCATTACTATGACGCAGACGAGAGCGCCGTCAAGATCCACTATGAAGACATGAAAATCATGTTCGATACAGTCGTCAATAAGATCATTGCGCTGCTGAAGTCGCAGCTTGATGCGGTGCATGCCCACGCTGGGACTCCAGTCAAGGTATGCTGGCAACAAACATGAAATTCTGAGCTCTTATGTACTAATCACCAACAGACCATCATCCTCGCGGGTGGTTTCGGAGACTCCAATTACCTGAACGAGACGCTGCGAACATGGTGTAAGGGTGTGGATGTCAAACTAATCTGCCCGGAGCATCCGTAAGCTATCATGTCTGCCGATATATGACACCGCTGACATCAACAGGCAAGCCGCAATCGTCCGCGGGGCAGCTCTTGGTGGCCTTCAGGACATTCAGCCAACGTCGCGTCGTGCTCGCATGCATTACGGGATCGCAGTCTCGCAACCTTTCGACCCTGTCATTCATCAAGTGCGTGACTCCTTCGCAGATAAGTGGGACGGCAGCCCYCGAGCCGGCTCCCAAATTAAATGGTCGCTTAACAAGGTAGGATCAACGCCATCGCACAGGGACACCGAGTGCTAACAATATGAATAGGGTGGAATTGTGGATCGGTCAACCCAAATTCAGTTCGACCTGACTTCTGACGTTTTCGACGACAACCAAGCTTCTATCAAACACGATGCGACAGTTTACTGCTCGAGAGCCGACGCTGCACCACGAACTACCTATGCTCCAAGCTCTCAAGTGCTCGGTGTCATCGGCCTCAGCTTCCGCGATGTCAATCTGGACGACTTCCCAGTGAAGGTGATCAACGGACGCAACATGCGCAGAGTCAAAGCTACCTACGTTGTCAGCTTCGGCGACCTCGGTGGGGTCCTCAAGTTCTCTGCTTCGGTTGGATCAGTGGAGATTGGCAACACCTCCTTCACGTTCGATGGGCCTGGTTCGCAGCAGCATCACACGGCCAATACGGAAGCAGGCGATTACATGCCGCCTTGTGCTATGCAATAGGTTGGCAGGCCCGAACGTCATAGGGCTGGCATATGGGCTTATTTTGGGTAGATCTAGGCAACTGACACGGTGGCRGACCCAAAGCCCTGCCACGAAGTCATTGTCAGAAGTGGATTTCCGCTTCGTATGTCTCGCGGACGTGTAGACTATATCTAGAATTGTGCCCAGGCTTTATCATCTCTCGACACTCTACACTTACTCTAACTCATTCTAACACTTGTTCTCTAAGACGATCTCCGCTTTGGTCTTTCGCACTTTCGACGAGTCTGCTGTCATGTCGGTCCATCTTTTGCGGTCCCTTTTGCTTCGATGCACACTGACGGTAGTCAAACAGAAGCAGAAGCGAAAGGAACTTCCGCGCTCGGGCGGCCTGGTCAGAGTTGAAGACACTCCTCCTTCCCATCGATGCAGGAGACGTTCGTGTGATGTTTGTGGCAAAGGTTCCGCTGAGAACGTAACGTTATTGAATAGTCTCGAGAGCGAGGGAATCTTACGAGACTTCACATCTGCTCTTCTAACAAAAGTGCAATGTCAACATTTTTTAACCTCCTGAGCGGGCTTCGCTTCTTCTTTGTGAGAGACACGTAGATTCGCACACAAGCTCGCGTCTCCGCTCGTATGCTAACGACACAGGTTTCCCAATGTTGGGAACGGAAGCCGACATGATCAGCTGACAGAGCATTTCTTTGCTTTTTCTTTATACATTTCAAATACTGGGCGCCAGATCGGCTTCGCAAAGCTCTCCGGCTCTATCTTGTTCGTTTACTGGACCATCTTAGGGCAAGGAGAACGTCTCGAGCAACGGTCGAAACGCCCAGGTCTTGGAGGAAAGGACCTCAGCATATTCTTCAGGTGAACAAACGAAGCAGGACTGAGCAACCCAATTGAAACATTTCGCACTGTCCAACTCCCACCGTAACACATCTTCCCGGAACTGCGTACGCTGCACGCCTTTCTTCTATTCCTACCTTGGAAGATCATGCTTTACCACTCGGAAAGACAGCTGTCGGTTGCGGCGGTGGTCCTATCAGACTTTCGGAATGACATGATAAGAGTAGGGCTGGGGCCGTATCCTAATCCCACTGAGACTTAAATCTGACCTACGTGAGCCATGAAATACTTTGACCCCCCAAGCCTTGAAGTATCAGAGTGCCTGTTCTAAGCAAGAAGTTTGTGTCGAATGGCGTGTTGCTCGGGAACGTCTTTGTAACATGTCGTGCCCTCTGGGTATACCGCGGGCTATAGGCGAATTCGTCGCGCAAACTGAGCGAACCTATTCGCATCTACAGTTCATAGAATAATAGATATGACTCAGCATGGAGAACATGTCCCTCGCTTGAAATCAACGGCTTGCGAGATCTCTCAGGCCACGGCCAGCCCTCCACCCAATCTTCACATCCAAACCCGACTGCAAAGAGAAGAAACGCTGGGTGATGGTCCATGGTTTCTCTGGATTAACAAGCTCAACCTGTATGGTCATTATACATCAGCTCACGTCTACTGCATAGTAGAAGCACCTCCTGATACTTACATCAAGCAAGCGCACCAGACTTGGTACCAGCTTGTAGATCTGCATCTCAGCAACATGGACGCCAACGYACTGCCTTTGACCATGACCAAAAGTCATATCCAGAGACTTCATCCGTCGAAGTCGGTCTTTGAAATCATCATAGTCTTCGTCGATCTTCTGCAGCCAACGTTCCGGGTGGAACCCCTCAGCGTCCTCGCCGAAAACTTCCTTGTCAAGATGCATCGTGTAACCAAACATACCAACCTTTGTGCCCTCTGGCAAAAAGCCGCCGCTAGGAAGTCTCAAACCACAGGCTGGCACAGCCCGCTCGAGAAGAAGAGCAAAAGGTGGATGAATTCGTAGAGCTTCCTGGATGACGGCATTTAAGTATGGCAACTCGTTGAATGCTTGTTGGAATGGAACCGGAAGCGAGACGCTGGGAGCGTCGAGCTCTTCTTGTAGCTTTGAATGCATACCCGGATTCTTGAGAAGGTGGTACATGATGGTCCGCAACGCGATGGCAGTTGWGTCCGAACCAGCTTGAAGATTCGAGCCTACGAATCCAAGCATGTTGCGGTAATTCAAAATATCTGGGTGTTTCTCCTTGGCCTCCAGGAAGCGGGCGATGAAATCCCGTCGAGGTAACACCTTCTCTGATTCCATCTTAATACGCTCCGCCAGCATTGTTCGCGCTCGCATCATGATCTTGTGTGTTGGGCTGGAGAACCACGTCATGAGAGGGTTCTTGCGCCAGATCCAATCAATAAATGGCATCACAGCTCCCTGCAGTTTTGATAAGCAGTGGGACTTTAGGATGGACGCTGCCAACTCGACTCACAACCGCACGATAGTCCCCTTCGATCTGGATCTCCGAGAGCATGTTGTCGACRTCTTTCCCCTGTTCTAAAAGCCCCATCGGTCGACTCATAGTGATTGCTCCAATAACATCGTATGCATCTGATGGAATCAGCTAATGTGCATCGAACCGTTCATTCAAATGTACACCACTGAAGCCACTTATCCAATGGACAGCTATGCCCTGTCTGAATGAAGAGCTCATCCAGTCTTCGAACAAAGTAGTCGACGATGTCTTCTACAGCCTTTTCATAACCCATGACAGTGCTTACGGAGTATGCACTTGCGATTGATTTTTTCAGCCTGCTGTGATACTGTTTGTCCTGTAGCAGAATAGGATGGGGAATCAGGGTGTTCGAATTAACCAATCTATGCTGCAATCGAACTCACCTGGGTGGTCATAAGAGCCGGTACGACCTAGTAAGCACATGAGTATATCACTAATCTCCCCAACACTTGTATTCCTCACCTTTCCTTGGTACAAAGTCTGGGACGACTTGACCCAGTCGCTCTACACGAAAGTATTAGCGGCAACTCATCGCTTCACATCCCACTTATCCCCTGCTCACCTTCCCAAAGTCAGTTTTGAACCCGTAGATGTCATCGACAACATCTTTATCTGTAAGCGAGACCGAGTCGGGTCCAAGTCTGACTGTCGAGCCATATTTTCGGTGTAATTCGACGAGCTCGTATGAGAATTGCCCTCTCAAGATCATACCAGCCCGATAGAGGTTGGTCCATTTAGCAAGCCAGGGTCCTGGTATCGACCTCAATCCGGGCTTGTACACTATGAAGATAAAGTGTACGCCGAGCCAAGCACCTGCTATGAAAAGCAGGATCAATACCGAGAACATGGCGAGTATTCTTCCCGATACCAGCTGGACGAGTTACAGGAGCAAGATCTGGAAGAATGCATCTTTATGTAGTGTCTTGTGTCGTTACTATTTGAGAGTGTCATGGGTGCCATTGATCGGCAGTGAAGATGTAGATCCCTCGGCAAATTTGGAAACAGAAATCTAGAACCAAAAAGCAATATGCTCCAAATACAATGAATTGCGAACGTCCTGCTCTTAAGTTTGAAAACACTCCATAACATGTCGAAAGAGACTCCCAATGTCGCATATCTGCGTTCGATTATATCATCGATCACCGCTTCGATTGATGCATACGAGACCACTGTCGATCCTTCGCAAAGATCGAGCTTCCTTTCCAGCGTCGCTCAAAATTCCAAGCAGCTTCAAAATGCATGTACATCGGCTTCTGACGCTTTCGTGGACTTTACCTTCCAGCCAATGGCCAATGCATGCGTACGAATTGGGCTCTCGATGAACTTGTTCGACCACCTACCTACTGATAGAGGTATAGGGGTAGAAGAATTGGCAGACGTCTGCGAAACGGAACTGGATCTGACCAGGCGTATTACAAGGGGACTCGTCGGACTAGATGTAATAAGTCGGGATGACAGTAATGGGTTGCTGTCACACACACCAATGTCTCTCATATATGCTGATCCAGCTCGACGGTCGTGGGCGATCTGGATGTTTGATGTGATGGGCAAGGGTTGCAGTTCAGGCATCGGGCCATACTTTGATAACAGCTCCAGACCAATCAAGAATCCCTCGGACTCACGAAACTCTCCCTTTACCACTGCGCACARCGCGAAAGACATGAGTGTATTCGACATTGTCAAGCAAATTGGAAAGCTTCCACTTTTGAATAGCGCAATGTCGGGGACAAGTGTGGTGTGTGCCAAAGAAGCAGTAGCATCGTTTGATTTTGGTAGCCTCGAAGCTTTTGGAAGTGGCGTCGTGCTTGTCGATGTAGGTGGAGCACAGGGACAAACTATTCAAGAGATCCAGAGAGCACATCCAGGATTGAAAGGCAAGACAGTGCTGGAAGATCTACAATCTGTACTCGACGATGGTACAGTGCCAGGTTTGGAGTCGGACATTTTGCCGTACGACTTCTTCAAGGAAGAACAACCCGTGAAAAGAGCTGCCGCATATCTCTATCAACGCATCTTCCACGATTGGAGCGATGCTGATTGTTCCAAGATCTTGGCCAGTTTGCGACCGGCGATGGCTCCACACTCCAAGCTGCTAATCTGCGATGTTGTTGTTCAAGATACAAGACCGCATACTCGGAAAATCCTTCGCGACATCAACATGTTGCTTGTTAGTGGGATGGAAAGAAGCCAGCAGCAATGGACTGACATGTTGAAAGAGGGTGGTTTTCGGGTCAAGACATTCCATGGGCTGCAGAATGCCGATAACAGTATTATTGAGGCTTGCCTAGAATGAGATGTTCCGCTATGAAGGAGAGATACTTCATTCCCGCGTTGGATGTGATAGGATACATTCTGGGCTTTCATCGCGTTCTTGGCACACACACTAATTAGAGGTTTGGGGCTCAGAGCTACTTAGACGGGGCTCAGGGACGGTAGGGGCGTTTCTGCAACCGCAAGCAAGCCGTCCCTTGCAGTGTTAGCAAGGCCCAAAAGCAAGGTGTATACGTGCGCTATCTACCAGCTAAAACGGACTGCAGGGTGGGTGGGTGGACAACGCAGTAGAGGTGCCGGAACGCGTGAAGGGCGTATGGATAGAGCCCGAGGGCTAAGTTAACTCAGCCCTCAGAAAGGGAGGTAACGCCCTTGTGCACAGACCCTGTCCATCCCTGGAATCTAAGGACGCTGGCCTTTCGATTTTATGAGCATCGTCGACATAGGCCAACGTAGCAGTCTCTGAGATATCTTCTATGAATGTTGTAATTGCTCGGATAGCTGAACGCAGTAGCTAGTCGTTCGATAGGTACATAGGTATCTTACTTCTAGTCAAAGATCTCGGTATGTGACCTACTGTGGATTGGAATAGACTAAATAAGACTAGAACTATACTAGATCTACGAAACGAGTAGCACTTAGGCTCCCGGTTACTACCTAGACGACTTCCTCAAGATGTTTACTACGTACTGTGTGGCATAGCGAGTAGTTGTGTAATRGTAGATTTGGGAGGATAAGGATAGTTGCTTTAGGTGCTAGCATGTGGCGTAGCACAATCTCTTAGTAACTAGGAGAGAGAGCCGCTAGAAGGTTTGCTAACACACTCGCTGTACTTAGGCTCATTTTGTCGGCGGAGTTAACGCCCGGAGACGGCTCTGATTTACAACGATCGTATCCATCGTTAAGTTGCCTCCCGGAAGGAGAAATGGCTTAGCGATGGTTTCGAGATTCGATCCGACAGCTTTTAATTTGTTACACGCTGTTAGACTTAGACGCTGGATTCAAGAACAAAATCGCCGCTATGAAGAAGACYTGCTGGAATCCGCACTCGAAAAAGTGTTAGTGGCGCTGAAGTGTTATAATCAAAATGAACAATAAACGGCTGTCGCGTCTGTTAGTAGCGGTAAGAACTTACGCGGCTCTCGCGCTAGCAGACATACGACTTAGCTCGAGCATTGCGAGCTTAGATACCCTGGTAATTTGTTTAGCTAAAGAGATATGCTCATCTTTAGGCCTACGCAGCTTTTCCGCCGGAGCTAGTCTAAGACGTCTAGAACAACAAGAGCGATACCGGAGTGTAAGTGTCGCTTAATCTAACGGGGGCTACAGTTTTCAATCTGGTAAACATTCCCYCCGTTCGTTCGTAGACTACCGTAAGAGCGGATCTACGAAGCAGGTAGAGCACGAATACCTAAACGTTATGAGTATAGGCTACGTAATACAGACTTAATCTAGAGAGTATTAAAATAGAGTATGCTGTCAGGAGCGGACAAAGTAGCCCTTTCTATGCTTTTATCCTGTTCTTAATCTATAGATACTATATCGAGGGGTAGAAGCTTAGAAGTGGCTTGTGTACTATAGGATCGATAGGGGCGAATCGTTACTAAATAGTAGGGTAGGTAAGATAGACACCGCTATCGTACTAGAGTACGTAAAGGGCCTACGGAAAGAGGGCTAAATTGTATACGCCCTTTAGATGCGCTAGCACTACTATAGCTTTATCCTAGCTACCTGCTCTTTGTTAAACGTGGATTTGTAAAATTTATAGATAGCACACGTATACACATTACTTTTAGGACTTACCATGGGCGCCTTGCTTATAGATTATGAAATGAACGACTCGCCCCTCTGCCCTATAGTGTGAGTGAGGTCTGAGCCCTTAAACCTCTGCTGAGCGTATTTGGACCAAAAACGCGAAGAAAGCATAGAGCGCATTGTGTCGATGGAACACGCATCCTGTCTGTAGGATGCGTATTGTGGAAAGAAATGCGCAACTTGTGGCCTGGTGCGCACTCCTTCTCCGAATGCGCTTTCTGTCGCCTAATGCGCATCCTGTCATTCAATGCGCAACCTGTTATTTAATGGGCATCCTGTCGTCTAGTGCGTATTTCGACAAGAATGCGCATCCTGACAAAGTTTGACAAAGGTGCGCATCCCCTCCGATTACGCATCTTATCGATGGCGTGCGGATCTTTGTAGGAATGCGCATCGCATATCTGAATGCACATCTTTTCGTCTAGGGCGCATCCTCTTGATGAATGCACATCTTGTCCCTAGTGCGTATTGCGTCGACAGATGCGCATGTAGGAAAAATGCACACTAGATGCGCACTCAATGCGCATCTTTACTACATGCGCATCTAGAKAGGCAATGCGCACTTAGAGTCGAAATACGCACTCGCTAAGGAGATGCGCACTGAGGATGGAAATGCGCATTGAAGTAAAGAATGTACACTAGATCAAAGGGTGCGCATTAAATCAGAGGATGCGCATTGAATTAGCAAATGCGCATTCAGAGAGGCGATGCGCATTAGATTAGAGAATGCACATTGAATGAAGGGATACGTATTGAATCAAGAGATGCGCATAAGATCAGGGACTGCGCATGAAATCAGGCAGTGCGCATTGAATCAGAGTATGCGCATTGAAATAGAGGATGCGCACTGAAGTATAGGATGGGCATCGAATCAGATAATGCGCATGAGGTCAGATAATGCGCATTGAATAAAAGAATGCGCATCGGATCAAAGATTGCGCATTGAATCAGGAGATGCGCATTAAATCAGTAGATTCGCATTGAATCCATGGATGCGCATTGAACAAGAGACTGCGCATTGAATAAGTGGATGCGCATTGAATAAGAGGATGCGCATTCTGATAGTGAATGCGTTCTGTCTATGTGGACTTCAGACTCTACGCGAGTTTGATACTCCTCCACCTGTGCAAGCAGTACGACTTTAGGTTAGGGACTTAAGCTCGTGCAAACATACTTACTTAGGGTCGCACGAGAGTGTCATCATGCGTAACTCGGCTCTTGCGATTCAAAAAAAAGCTACTATGCTACAGAGTAACTTTTGCAGAAGCCTTGGCTCGAGCTACCTGCGGCAGCATAATGCTATTGCGAGCGCGTGCATTCTTCGCAGTCTGCGCAGAATATGCCAATTAGCATGTGGCGCTGCATCACATCTATATCAAGACTCCAGCAGTGCATACTCCAGGTAGTAAAATATCAGTTGATCCAATAGAGATTCAAGTTGACGCACTCTACACCAGGCTAGCTAGGCGCTTTCTTTTTGACCGCCATGTTTATCGATCGCTCGATTTCCAAGACAGTCAAGTCGCAGAATGCTGTCTAGAGCTTTCCGCAAACAGCGTGCCTCTAGACATCAATTCCGAGCTCGGGAACTTCGATTTAGTCTGAGCAGCCTTGATCTGTCTAGAGGACTCCTCAAACGGGTGAATTTGCTTACTAACTCGATCCGAAAAGACACTGTAGTTCGGCGATTCACGATTCACATCGCCTTCGTCCATCGGAGCAGAATCAGACCATTCAGGGCCATGTTGACAATATCGACCAGCATTCCTTCCCTGTTCATTGTTGTGGTTGCATGCGCGAGACGTTTTGGCGATGTTTTCAAAGCCTTAAATGATAAAATCACCCATTGCTCAAAAGTGCAATACAACACAAAATCTTATCTGTATGTAGGCTCGCCTCAAATACCACTTTGACGACTGCGATTGATATACACAATCGGAACACAATCCTCGCTGTATGTCGTCATTCGTAACGCTCCAACTGTGAGATCCATCTCATCTTGCTCACATTCTCACATGTCCTCTGACGCAACGCCATCGTAAAGACTCCTGGACACACTCTGGCTACACCAGCTTCACCGAGCTCAAGGAAATTCGTGAATGAGACATTACATCGTTAGACACGCCCATAGCCTCCGCTCATACATCGTGATTGCATCACTCGTTGCCGCCATGATCTCTGCTTCGAGTCTGTTTCCCATCTTCCGGATTTTTCATCATTCATGCTGTGCACATCCGCAACCCACTCTACCACATACTGCTGCGAGTTTCGATTCCCTTGATCACTGCACTTCTTGCCYCGTACTTTCCTCGCCCATCGCTTGCAAGTGTCCGCCGCTTGTGCCACTTTGACCTGAGCTAATGGCGCAACTCTCGTCTTTTGCCTTTGGTGCTCATGAGCTCTGCTCCGTAGATCTTCTACGTTAGATCTCGGCGCGACGTTTCCGTTGTTCCTTAGAGCCAGCAGTGGACCGTCCGAGTCTCCTCTCGCATGGCGCTGATATACGCCGCCGTTCTGATGAGCATTTGCAAGGTCTGCGGTCTTTTCATCTTGGTTCATGGCTTCATGATGATCGACGGCGTAACTTCTTGCTTCATGGTAGTTTCGTTCAGCTGCTCCATGTTCACGCCGTAGATCTCCTTGGGTGCCGACATATGATCCTGCGTGCGGCTCCAACAGGCTAGCAACTAAACGGACTTTACTCCAGAATGGTTTAGATGTGTGTACCAGAGCAAGATGGCCCATCTTGATATTTTGGAATCGATAGAAAGCAAGCCAGAAGAGGGGAAGAGTAGGCAGTCCGAWCCACTATGTAGGCTTGAAAGATTTTGATCCTTTGAGGGGAATCCGCGCGGAGTAGAATGTCCACTGATTGACAGAGCACTGATTCCAATGAAGACTTCCTGGTAGGCTTCAGGAATATTTAACTGTAGGTAAACACTCAGCAACAGGAATCACGCGCCCAAGAAAGCGAGGAGCCCTCCGCCATTTATCAAATCCGCATGACCAGACTTGTCGCCAGGAACGGAGACATGACCGTTCGTTCCATCTTCCGGGGACGGCTTGGAGGACAGATGTAGTATCCTCCGCGAGTCAARTGTAGATCTYGGTGGTCGYMRWAYMRWTRRA